CTGAGGGGTGAAGTCACATGCTCAGAATCCCAGGGTCCACTGGGATGATGATGATGGTTATGATGATGTAATAACCTGCTGACATCGAATGAACTCTTCGGAGGTGCGGAGCTTTCCAAACTGCGTCACCATGGCAACACGGGGGTTGCCCCGTCGGATGGATGTTACAGTCTGTTTCAGATACAGATCCTGAGGCACAGGGAGGCGGCACCTTGGCCAAACACAGTGAGAAAGAGAACAGACTTGGATTTGAACTTGAGTCTGTCTACCTCCAGCACTTACCTCTTCACAGTGATGCAGACTCTTCAACGTCACCCTGTGGCCAACAGCAGAACTTGGACAAGGACGCTGGTCTTCTGAGTCCCACGGGGGTGGCCATCTTGGGACAGTGGTGATGAAGATGTAATTCACAAGTAGGCGAGACGAGGGTACCATGAACCCAGTAGGGCCCTCCTGACCCCACCACAAGCTACCTCTCTGAGAAGGGGGTGGGAAGCAGGTGTCAGTTTGGGGGACACAGGAGCAGAGGCAGCCAGGAGAACTGCTTAAATAAATAACAGGAAGGCATCCAGGACCTGGGTGGGGGACCGGGGGACCTCTCCCCCCACATCGGAGGCTCCCAAGCCGAAGGATTCAGCTCGCACCCCTCCCCAACGAGCAGGCGCCGTTATTTACGATCACCTTGGAAGGGTCGAACAGACATATGTTGCTAAGGGTCGTTTATTCTTGTTTATAAAATTTATGGCTTCACCCCGATTACACACTGTCAACACGGGAAGGACTGGCCCCAAAGTCTCTTGCCGCATGACTGCCTCAGACGTGCGTACATCTGTTAACTCCGTAGGAGCTGTAGAGGGAAATAAGGCTGATGATAACTCAAAAGCTCGCTGTCCCGTCAGAGGTGTGGCCGGCAGGCCCCGAGAAAAGACATCCAGGGGCCTGCCTGGGAACCGAGGTCGGGGTCTGCCAGTGGCCTCACCAGGCGGCACCGGGATCCTGCCCCCGCCTGGCATGGACTCTTGTCAGGGGACTCCGGGGTGGGGGCTGGGAGAGGAGGAACTTGATTCCGATGCCCCCAGGGGTCCTGCACAGGACCCAGCAGCTGGAGAGTGTTCCAAGCCTGTGGCTCTCCCCCTGCAGACTTCAGCAGGGAGAGAAACGCTGACTCGTGACTGCTGGGTGGGGGAGGGGGTGGAGGTAGGTACGACCTTCCAGGAGGGCAGTCTGGCAACGCAGACCTGAGTCCTAGAAATGTGCGTCCTTACGGCCCAGCATTTCCACGGCTGAGAAATTCCCCAAAGGAAACAGATATATTGATGGAGCTGTTAAGATTTTTTTCAGTGCAGTGCTGTTCATTGACAATTTGCAAACAATTGTTTAACAATAAAGAGCTGGTTATTAAGTAAATATTTGACAATAAGGGACTATAAGAAATATCATAAAGCTCCAGAAAATGATAGTGCCTGTAGATTACTATGGAAAATTACTCACAATCTATGAAGTAAAAAAAAAAGGAACACCAAGTTCGCTCTGACTGGTGTGGCTCCGTGGAATGGTGTCGACCTGCAAACGGAGAGCTCACGGGTGGGATTCCTGGTTGGGGCACGTGCCTGGGTTGCGGGCCTGGATCCCCCATTGGAGGTGTGGGGGGAGCAACCAATTGATGTTTCTCTTGCATGTTGATGTTTCTCTCCCTCTTTTTCTCCCTCCTTTCCCCTCTAAAAATAAAGAAAATCTTAAAAAAAAAAAGAAAAGAAAAACCAAGTTATAAAATGGCGTGGGGGAGGACTGAATGTAGGCGTTGGGGTGGGAAGGGCAGAGGACAGTAATGGGGGGAAAACAGGGACAACTGTAATTGAACAATAAAAAGTTCCAAAAAGTAACACAAAACGGTACATAATGGATCCGACCCCTGTAAGAGGTATATGTGAGTGTATGTGCCAACGCATGGAGCCGTTCCACATGTTAACAATACTTATCTCTAAGTCACGGGGTTAGGGGTGTTTTAATTCCCACTTTTTGTTTATATTTTCCGTTTTTGGGGAAAACAATAAGTTTGGGTTGGATTTGTCAAAGGCTTATTGTGTCATAAACATCAGTCAAATTTGGGGAAGGACCTGACCAGCTCTTTCCCTGTCTGCAATAAATCGTCTGTGTCCCTTGGGATGTGTGTGGCCAAGAGGAGGGTGCCCTCCTGCAGCCAAAGCCACCGCCCCCCCCCCCCAATGTCTAGAAGCCCATAGAGAGGCTGGTGCTGGTTCTGCTGGAGACCGCCGGCTGTTGCGAGTGCTGGTCCTGGGCAGCCTGAACGTGGACGCTTGGCTTCCAGCACCCCAGCCCTTCTCGGCATCCAAGGACGCTGGCGCTCTCCAGTCCTGCCTCAGGCCTGGTCCGCCGGTGCTCAGTATCTGCTAGTAAATTCCTTTCCTGTCCCCGTGAGGCAGGGCTGGCTTTGGCTGCTTACGGCTCAACAATGGTGGTTGGAGCTGGGTAGTTTCCAACCTTCCAGTGTCACTTGGAGGTTGGACGCTGGGGACAAGCCACCCAGCTTGTTCACCTGGGGCCACTGTTAGAGCAAACCAAGAGGGATGACCAAGGAACTCTGGCCACCACTGTGGAAGCAGTGGCAAGTTCACTGTCACCGTTGCCTTCATAAAGAAGATGCTGCAGTCCCGAATGGCTCTTGTTCCCAGTGCATGAAGGAGCAGCTCCTCAAGCAGGCACTGATCTCATCCCATCTGGGTCCCTCGGTGGTGGGAGAGGGAGCGGCTGCTGCTTGTTAGGACAGCTGTGGAAGTGGTGGAGGTCCCGAAACTCCTGCGGCCCCCTTCCACCTGGGGAGTCTCAGTAAGGTGGGGTGATGATGATAGAGCAGAGCCGCACCTCTTCCTCAGGTTTCCCCTCCCCAACCCCCCTCTGCTCTTTAGCTCTGTAGCTGGGGACCAGTGCTGCTCTGCCGACTGTCTGTCACCTCTCCTGGTTTTGCCAGACCGGGGGAGATGGAGCCTGGGTTCCTCGGCAGGTCCTTAAGAATGCGGCAGGGCCTTAAGAATGCGGCAGGGCCTTGTTGGCGAAGTGAGTGCGATGGGACAGGGAAGAGCAGCACGCACAGCAGGCTCTGAACAAGGGCCAGAGCAGCCCCGGGGGCTTTGCTCCAGTTTGGCCCCTTTCCCTGGAAGGTTCTCCCAGCCCTCTCCTGCCTGCTGGTGCTGGGGAAGGCTCTGGAGTGTGCAGGCAAGGGTGCGGATCTTAGCCTCGGTGTACAGACCCTGGGACCTTGGATAGGGGGCTTCCCATCTGGGAACTTCAGTTTCCCCAGCCACGAAGGGGCTGTCCCATCAGTGTGGCAGTAGGCACTGGGGGCAAGTGATCAGCATGTGACCACAGGTCTCCTTGGATTAGTTCTGCCGCTCCCCCTCTCCCCGCCCCACAATGAGCTCCGTAGGGCAGGGCGGCGTGCACATCCTTCCCTTTGTACCCCGCACCCAGTCTGTAGACATAGGTGGCTCCTGCATGCCTATCTGCTGGATGCAAGGATGTGAGCCTTAACTTCCTGGCAGTCTGGCTTTCTGGGCCAGCTCTGGCTGGGACACCTGCCAGCTGCCAGGCCCATCTGGCACCATCTGTGATAGTGACAAAGCCATCCAGGCTGCACGGCAGACTCCACGCGGCCCCTCTCTGCCCCACACAGGGTGAGGCTCCCTTCCCTAGCTAGCTCCCCTGAGTGGGACACCAGCAGGTTGGGGAGAGTCAGAGGGGCCAGTCCCTGTGGGGACAGGACCTCGGAGCCTGTGTCCAGTTCCAGGGCCCAGTGCACAAAACAGCCTACTTCCCACAGTACTTCGGTCGCTCTCGCCAGTTTAGGAAAGTTCCAGGAAATGTGTCTGAGGCCTGAAGGAGTTCTGGATCTACACATTAGCCAAACTCAAGAGATAATCTACCTGGCCACATGCTGTCACACTCTCCAGCAGGTGACAGCTGCTAGATCACCGGGACAAAGGCAGGCTGACGGCCTCAGTGTGGGCAGAAACAGTGAGACCAGTGTTCCTCCAGCTGTGCTCCACCCAAATGTTCCGAGGCCCTTGCAAGTTGTCAGTGTTAAAATTGTCATTTTCATAATTACGTTTTTTTCCTAGTTATAAACTTTGGACAGTAACTTGTAATTAAAAGCCACAATATCAGAGGATGAGGCTTTAGATTTTTAGGTGGGCGTGTCTCACACCAGACGCTACCGATGTATTTTGGGGACCCCACAGCACGTTTTCCTTCAGTGGGTTATGGACACTCTATATACGAAGCCCGCCGTGCATGAGTCCCTCCTGGGTGCCCCGGCTGGGTCCCAACTGCTACAAAAGGGCCTGTCAGGCTCTCAACACCTCTGTCCCGAATCCCTGGGTTTCCAGGCCAGTGTCCTGCTCCGACCCTCAGGTGCCCCCAGGCTGGTGGGGGTGGTGCAGCGAGAGCTCCCAGAGGAGGGAAACGCCACCCACAGTGGAGCTGGGAAGGCGGGCAGTTGAGATGGGTTTTCTGTTGAGTGCAGAGCTGGGTGTGTTTAACAGAATGAGACTCCCTTATCCCGCAACCCGACCCTCACTACTGGAGAAGGGCTGAGCGCGTCCCGACAAAGCTGCAGGATTTATCCCGTGCACGTGTGAACGGCCGGGGTCCTTTGCAACAGACACCTCTAACACCCTTACACGTGACGCCCTAAAACGTGCACTGAGGGGCTGTGGCTGCCACTGGGAAGTGGGGCAAAGGGCGGGAGCGTGGATGGCACAGAGGTGACTTGAGCTTTATCTGAAATGTGTGACTTCTCACAACAAAACTGCACGCGAATGTGGCAAACTGTCGGCCACCCCAACTCTGGTTGGACAGCGAGACTCGGAGCCGACAGGCACATCGCCCTTTGTGTCTTCTCTCCACTGCGCCCCAGACGGAGCCCTGGAGGCACGGGGTCGGGACGCACGCCTTGGGGTAAAGAGCAGAACAAAACCACTGGGTGCTGAAGTACAAATTTAATAAAGCCTTTGATCGCGTTTAGCCTGTAAGTTATCTGTGAAAACAGAAACCCCACGACTTTTTAGCGCCATCAAGAGCCGTCGGGTTTTGCGGAACACCAGCTGTGAGACTACAGATTTAGTGTTTTAAGTAGTGCAATGTTTCCAGCTGCTGAAGAACTTAAATGAAATCACAAACTGCCCCCCTCGTCAAAAAAACAAAGCCGGTGGGTGTCGGTGCTCCAAAACCAGTCTCCCCAGCCCCACAGGCGGCTCCCAGGCACCGAGACTCGGGACGGGACCGCGTCTCCGTGCGCAGGCCGACGGTCACACAGGCTCCACGTGCACGCGCAAACCTGCGTGGCGCACACACACGCGAGCGCAGGAGGCACTGGGCATTTATAGAGAGCAGCAAATCACAAAATCAGAGGTTACTAATAACTCTTAAATAGTAAATTCCCGCCTGTCCTTAAATTCCTTGCTGTCTTGTCACCAAAATAAAAACACGCAGTCTATTCTCCAGAAGCCAGGGGCACTCACACAGCCAGGCTCGGGTGCAGACGGACCCTGGCACCCGGCACCCGCCCTCTTACAGGGGCCACAGACACAGGACGGCTCCTGCTGGAAGGTGCTCAGCTGCTTGGGAGAGGGCGGCTCCATGGAGCTTCCCCCGGCTTCAGGCTCCGTGGTGGGAGGCTGAAGGGCGTGATGAGCTGGGTGGGGTGATGGGTTGTCAACACAGGCCACTAACACGGCCTCTGCCTCAATGCCCTGGAGTCAAGTCCTCTGGTGAAGGTGGAGAACGAGGACAGGGGAGCACAATGGGTAGACAGGTAAAGTGAAGTAAACATGAGAAAAACCACCACGACAAAGAAAACCAACTCAGAGGGCCATGAGTTTCCTGAGCCTCATGAGCTGAGTCAGTGCAAAGGGCTCGGGGGCCCCTGTGCTGAGGAAGGGCGGGTGCGAGGCCAAGGCTCTCGGGATTGTACAGTCTATGGAGACGGGACGGGTGCCTTCAGCTAACGTTTGTTCCTCCCTAGGTAACCAGGGGCGAACGGGCAGGGGGAAGGCAGCTAGCTGCTCCTCGGGAACAGACAGCGCCTTCTAGAAGCGCAGCTGCTCTGAGGGCCAGCAGGTCTCCCCTGGCAAACCCAGGGTGCCAGCGTGAGCACGCGGAATGAGCCAGGGGAGGCTCCTGGCAGCCGGGCCTGCTGAGGGCTCAGGGTCTCCGAGGCGAGAGCTGGGGAGGGGCTGCCTGTGGCTTCCTGTGCTCCTGGCCTCCCCTGCTGGCGCCTCGGCTTCCCTGGGGAGCGGGTGGACTTGGCCAGCTGGAGAGAGGCTGCTGGGGGTGGGGCGGAGGCAGAGGCTGTGCTGGGTGCATAGAGGCTGGGCAAGGCCTTACCTGAGTAGTTTTCAGAGAGGGAAGGAGAGTGTCTCACGCAAACCAGGCTTCGTGCCCTCAGGCCCGTCATGGAAACCACCCCGGAGCCTTGGAGCGCCTGGGCCTGGTCCACACACAGCTCACTCAGGAAGTTGAGGAAAGAGAGACTCACAAAAGACCCAACTACCAAAAGACAGGCCCCTCTGCAGTCACAGGCCTGGGCTTCAGGCCGGGATGTGGGAGGAAAGGACCCAAGATGGCGGAACCTGGAGGTTTATCTCCGACACCCCTGCCCATTAGCGTCACCTGGAGAGTGTTGTGCAGCGTCCACATGTGCATCCAAAGTTCCTGAGGCCACAGGGGCGTCTCATGGCTATAGACAAGGTCTGGGGGCCACCCAGTGTCACGGACACTCCCAGGGGAATGCCGCCTCCTGGAGCCGAAGGTCCTGGGGAGGCCAGGGGTCCGTGAGGGCAGGCGGCCAGGGCCGGGAGCTAGGACAGCTCGAAGCCCGTGTTCATGCTGATGGCATAGCGCAGCTTCTCTCGGAGGACGCTTTTCTTGCTGTAGTTGGGCAGCTTGAGCAGGTTGAAGCAGGTGGAGGAGGTGGGCAGACGGCCCCCAGGCTCCCGCTTGCGGATGGTGAAGAAGCCCCGCAGGACGCTGCCCAGGGTGTCCCCGGTGTCCTGCAAGCGCACACCACAGCCTGGGTTGGGAGATGCCCAGCCTGCGAGCCCGGGCAGGCGCCCAAACGGGAGGCCTGGGCGTATGGGCACGCACACCACCACCCAGGCCGGCCCCCAAACTGAGGACAAGCTCCGACCCCCGGGGACAGCGACAACCCCAACCCCCGGGCCCTGCTCGGGGAATCCTGTGTCACGTATGCACTAGGAAACGGGACCTTCCGGTTAGCCACCAATTATCGAGTTCAGAACCAGAACACCATAAAAATGTGTTAGGTCTCAAGACGTTTCTGAGTGCAGCCTGACATCCCCCCCGACCTTGCTGGTATGGCGGCCTGTGGCAGACTGTAATCTGGGCAGCCTTCCTGAAGCAAGTATCCTAGGGACCTGGGTCCCAGGCTGTAGCGACGCTCAGAGGCCACCAGGCTGTTACCGGTGGGGGGGGGGGGAGACGGTTTTAACAGGGACTGACTGCTGTTTGAGCACCAGCCCCACCGAGCACACCAGCCCTACGGTGCTCACTCTTCCTTGACCAACCAGGGATCAGAGTGGCTGCCCAGACGGACGCCCACAGGTGGTGGGTGTGGCCCTGGGGCCGGTGCCTGCTCAGTCCTCAGGCCCATGTCCTCACCTCTGCCTCCACACTACCCCTGACCTGGAGCCCTGGCCAGACTAGGAGCTACTCAAACGCCCCCAGCCACTCCTCCCTGAGGGAGTGAGGAGAGAGAGACTGAGAGCTGAGCAGGCAGGGCCGACCTGCTCTCCCAGCTGGCTACCGCTGACCTGCGGGATGGGCCCAGCAGACAGCGCCCCACCCCCCCAGCAGAGGTACCTGGTCATCTGACACTTCGACACAGCGAATGGAGAAAGGAGGCTTGAGGTAGGCAAAGCCCAGGAGCGGGGGTCTGGAGCAGCTGGTCACAAACTGCAACACAAGGCGGGGTCAGGGGGCAGCGGGGCTCACGGGGCCCCACAGTCGGCTGCAATTTCTTCTTTCTCCAGTCACGGAATCATTAACTGCTGCCTGGCTGGCGGGAGGGAGGGTCACAGAGGCACACATGGCTCAGAAACGGGGACACACCTGACATCTCTCTGCAGGGCTGCTCACCGGCGCTAAGGCACGTGAATGCCACACCAGCAGACATGACTAGTCACCTGTGGGAGTCTGGAGGAGAACCCGCAGCCGAAGCACCGGAGAATAACGCCAACTCCCACTGGGGGAGCAGCTCCAGGACAACGGTCATGCTGGCGGCAGGGCTCCCTGCTGACAGCCTTCCTCAGAGACGCCAGCCACGAGGGCCCCAGAGAGGAGACGTGGGGAGAAGCTACGGTGAGGGACAGAGGGCTGGGGGCCCAGAGCTGGGGTGCAGGGAGCCCTGCTGTGGGTCACCCCGCTTTGCACCTGGCTTCCATTCAGCCTCTTGGCCCTGTAGGAGGACACGCAGGAGTGTGCACCGGGCCCCGGCCTGCTGGTTCACAGAGCAGTCTCCGTGAGCTCGGCTCCGGGGGACCCTCTGACCAACTAACCTGCTCTCAGCATGCTGACCAAAACCAGGCCTCGGGTCAGCGAGGCAGGGGGCAGGCCGGGTGCTGGGCACAGCCAGCCACACTCCCCTGCCACAGTCCTGGAACTCCTCACATCCTCCCGGTGGCAGCACCTGTGCCACTGTCCTACACACGCTGCTAGCCTGAGCCTGGGCAGAGGCACCTGACCAACCCAGAAGTCCAAATGATAACCGACGCAGGGGAGTCCTAACCAGCCATTCGCTTCCTTTACTAATTCCTTTGGCTAATTCGCATTAGCCGAAACTGCTCTCCCTTCTCCGGAGGATACAGGGACCTGAGACCTACAACAAGCTGCTTCAAAATCCCGTGGCGGGTTCAGTGCATGGGTCTTAAAACGAACATGACCATTTAAGCAGTGTTGTAACTGGGTGTGCGATTCCTGAGACCATCCAAAGGCAGTGTGTGGGTCACGCTTCAGAACCAGGTTTTTACGAAAGGGATCAACGAGACAGACTGCTGTCCTAACGGGTTTTCTTTCCCACCACAAAATCCGTAGAACGGCTCCCACTTAGAAAGCACCGCTGAGCATCCGCACGGCCAAGTGCTTGGTGAACCCAGCCTCATCCCCTCACCTGTGATGCTGTGTGATTCGGCCTGGTTTGAGGAGACAGACCTGAAGGCACCTGCACATCTCAGTTCAGGTGTGCAGGCCTGCTGCCTGCCCCACCCTGGGGCTGGCAGGAGGGAGGGGCGCCCTTCCCCCCCTGGACAGGAGGGGTAGTAGAGGGCCCGGGAAGCACTCGGATATGCCATCGTCACATTGAAAGAAAGCACAGTCGCACCCACTGCCGTTCAACAGGGACTGCAGGCTTGGGCGCAGGCTCTCCAAAGACACCACCCGCCCACTGCAGGGGGCCGGACTGCGCGGTTAGGAGACACTGGCTTTCCTCTTTCTAGGCGAGGTGGAGACACTTTTGCTCACAAGAGGCACCGCTGGAAAAACAAGTCAATTCTCTTGAGATTCAACTTCAGGAATTATGTCCACCTGCCCCCTGCCCCCCCTCCGAGTCCCCTGAGATCAGTAGGGTGACCAGAGCGTGTCTGCCTCTGTGGACTGAAGTCATAGCCTCCCCTAGGAGAACAGCCTCTGCTTGGAACGACAAATCAAGGAGAAAGAAATCCCACTGCCACTGCCACTGGTGACGATTTCACCCATGAGGTCGCGTGAGACCACTCCAGAAACCCAGATGTTGTCCAAAGGAGAATATGTCAAGGCACTTAAATTTACCCCCAGAATATGGCAAAACGTCAGCGATGAAACAGCATACAGAAGAGCAGATGGTCAGGCGATCTGATTCCACTGTTACAAAAGCAAACACGTATACAACACACAGAGACAGTGTGCCGTCCAGTGTCCTGGGAACACTTCGCTGGTGTCAGTACCAAACAGCACAGTGGGCACTGCGGGAACATTTCGACTTTAAAGATACCACCCAGGGGTCCTGGTCAATGTATCTGCAAAAGATACATTAATATCCGCCTACTTGATTGTGTGTATTTTATCGGGTCACTGTGTTTGTGGAACTGATGTTCACATTCATGAGGAAAAGGGCAGCACACAGAGGTAGTCCCTGGCGAGTAGGAATGGAGATTCTTTAAATCCCACACAATGGAAACAGAGATTAAGTTTGTTTGTCTCTATTTTCTTAAAGTAGCAAACACTGTTTACTTCTTTAACAAAAGGAAAGAAAGGAAGAGGTATTCTTAGCGAGGCCAGCCCCAGCGGAGGGGCCGGGTGAGCGCGGAGCCCTACAAGCAGGCCTGTCCCCACGGAGGGTGAGCAGCAGGCTCACCAGGCTCAGCCCCACGCGCCTGAGGCCCTCTCTGATTTCCACCTGACCTAACACGTAGGTCTACCCATGGGACAGGGCGTATCATCATGTTGATGATATGCGGTCCTCTGGATAATTTAATTTTTCCAGTGTAAATTATTGCATTGCTGGCCTTCCAGATTCATGAGGCTGTCTGTGCACGCATGAACGTATGTATAGGTAACACATGCAATACCTTCAGAAACATGGCTCGCTCGCTGGGCGTGAAGTCGGAGGCCAGAATGTCCCAGAGCCAGATGATGACCCTGTGACTCCCATGGAAACCGCCGTAGTACACCGTGTGCTTCCTGAAAACAATCCAGACCACGGTTCAGCCACCCACAGACGCAGGCGAGCACCCAACTCGGATGGGCAGCACCACAAACTGCTCAGTTCCCCTATGGCTGGGAGTTCACGCCTTACGTCCCCGGAAGCTACATGGGCAGAGAATTCAAGAGCTGGCTGCGCTGTTCTCAACAGAAGACCCTGCAAACTATTTCCTAACCCTTTGGAAAGCCCTGCGATCCTCCAGAGCTGCTTCCACTTCAGTCTCTAGGCAGACAAATGGTTGAACTTTTGTTCCTAAGCACCTCGCCCCGTGATCAGAAAGGAGTGCATGTAGAGATGGGCTCCTGAAATGACTTTCCAAAAGGAACCCAGCAAGGGAGCAGCCTGCTTTGAAGGCAGACTAAGAATTTCACCCTTGCCCCCTCACTCACTCCTTACTTTAAATCTTCCAGATCAATCTCAGCATTGTCACCGGAGATGAGACGCTGTAGCTCAGGGGTTGAGAACATCCGGATCCACTCGGGTTTGATAATAGAACGGAATCCGCTAATGAGGGCAGCTGTCTGGTTTTTGATTTGCGTGTGCATTCGAAAATGCGCCATCAGATGGATGTAGCTAATTCTGTTGCCAAGAAAAGAAAACAATAGAAATTAACAGGACAGGGCAGGCTGTTCCCAGCCGGCTGCAAGATGAGTCCAGACATTTCTGAACCACTGCAAAACACAAACAGTACCAGAACATTTCACTAGAACAATGCAAATGATCATGACGAAAGCTCTCCTGAACAGCAGTACACTGGGTACCGCCGTGGAGGCGTTAAACCTTCAAGGTCATTACCTCATTCACTCCTTGAAAATGAAAAACACAGTGGGTCATACATCAGGACAACACCCCCGTGTCAAGAATCAAAGCAGGACATTCTCCAGGTAAGGAGAAGGCTCTTCATGATACAAACGGTATTTTTTGGACTTGTATTTAATTTCATCCTTTTGGGCATATAAAGGGGGACCCCAACTCCCCCCAAAATTTATTTTTATAAAAAAACTGTGTAGTTATTGTTACACATTTAAACTTTGGTCACCTTCAAAGGCTCTTCATGTGAGGCAGTACACCTATCGAGATATTCTCTCCATTGCTCAAAGCAATTCCTGAACTCTTCGATTTTGATGCCTTTTAGTGCTTCTGTTTTTTATGTCACCTCTTCCACATCAGCAAAACATTTCCCTTTGAGGACTTTTTTCAACCAGGGAAATAAAAAAGTGTTGCCTGGGGTGAGATTGGGTGAATATGGAGGATGGGGCACAGGGTTCATTCTGTTTTGGGTCAAAAACTGCTGAACACTCAGTGCAGTGTGGGCAGGTGCACTTTTAAATCATTAAAGGCAAATACGTTAAAATAGTCTTCAAAAAAATTCACTGAAGCCGAAAGCAGCCTCTCACAATGCCAGCTGGTACACTGACACAGATGGGTTCCCAGAACACTCACCTAGCAGGGAAGCCTATACTACAAGGGGCCCCCCATTCTGGAAGATAATTTCGTATTTTGGGGGGTACCCCCTTGTAGAACAATTAAAATATAATTCAGTCCTCCAAAAAGCTTTAAAGCCGAGAAAAAGTGCTTCATGTTGAAACTTCAATCAAAGCTTGCTAATCTGGACCAAGCGTCCAGGCCGTGAATAGGCCAGCCTGCAGCAAGTCCAGGTCAAGTGCAGCTGGGAAGGCGGGGCACTAGGGACAGCTCCACGCAGAGAGTCTTCTGGGTCTGTGCTGTGAACACAGCGGTCGCACCTACAACTGTGCACTGCACCGCCATTCTTTGGACCGGGTTGAGTACATTCCCATAGACGTGCCAGCATCGCTGATTTCTTGGCGAACCATCTATTCCTGGAGATGAAAAAGCCTGAGCCCAGTCCAGGTGCAACTCTCGCAATTCCGAGTCAGTACAGTCCCGATAAATGTTGTACCCCGCAGCACTTGGATCTGAGTTACTGACCTCGAAAATATCCCTATTGTAAAAAACTGTCCAGCAGCAAACTTGTACATTAATACAATTCAATATGACTTCTTCTATTGTCGTTATTCCTTTCTCACACTGAGACCGGTTGCTAATACTGTTCCATTTTACCAAAAGAACATGAGGGACTGCCCCATTTAACACCTAGAAAGTACAAGATCAAGTACCACCCTGAAGGAGGGAGAAACTGGCATTGCCAGGCTTTTTAAGATAGTCCGCAGAGCTGCGCACCCTTGCTCTTATACTGAGGCTCCATGCTGAGACCGTGTAAGAGTTTCTGCACAGAGGGCTTCCAGGCAGGGCGAGAGCCTCACTCAACATAGGCCGCACCGACCTGCTCCCTCCAGCTTCCACACACACAGCTCCTACCATCACCGTGCCATCACATCTGGCAAATAATGCCAAGCCCAGGGTGGCTGGCTGCGCAGGGTGGGTCATGTATTTGATGGTAGTGACAACCAGCGCTCTCATTCCTTAAGGCCCTCCTTTGAGCCAGACTTCCCGGGAGGTGTTTCACACGCCTCATCTCACAGGAAGCCCTCCGAAGGGCTGGCTGGCGGGCGCATGGCTGGCAGAACAGGACCCACTGGCTCTGCCGCCTTCAGTCAGCTCCTCCCAAGCGGGCTCTCTGTTCTCTCAGTTGTCAAACTGACACTCCAGGGCTGAGAGTCAAACTGGCCTATTTTGATCCTGATAAGAACTGCCAGCCCTCACTACGTGTTTGCCTTTTCTGACTATTCAGTCTGAATAAAAGCTCCCAAGCAGCCAGACTGACCGAACCACCTGACCCGAGAGAGACAGGGTGCTCAGGAGCACGGGGCTGTCACGCGCATCTGATCCCAGGGACCCACTGGGTGGGGCTGAGCTCTGGCTTGTCATTGGAGAGAGCACCTGACACTTGGAGTACAGATCAGATGCGCAGCAGAGCCTGGCGGTAGGAGAAGACCAAGGAAAGGGCGATACCCACTGCTCGAGCCAGGTTCTACTGTTTTAACTAGGTGAGAACAGGGCCGGGGGAGGCAGCACAAGGAAGGGTTTTGCTTCTAGGTGCCAAAGCAGCTGACGCTTGTGGTAGATTCCTAAGAGCCAGTTATCTCTGACGACAGCTGCAGGACCTCAGAATCTCCCCGAGTCTAAGGAATCAGCCAGCTGCGTTTGAGTCCATCGCGATGCTTTCCCAGGAACAGTGTTTCGTACGACTGCCACCCGCTGCCATTCCAGAGGGATCCGCCCCTCTACGCTGTCTCTCTGCCTCGGGGCGGGGCCCCCCTGGGATCAGGACAGCACGCCTGCACGGCTCAGAACCCACCCGTCCGCATCTGGAGCCGCCATTAAGTCCCTGGGATCACTGCGGCCTGGCTGCCTCTGACCTTAGAAGTGCTGCTCCAAAAAATAAATTGTCAATTCTTATTTTGCAAATCGAATTTAATACAATTTTGGCCTATGGACTGTAACCAGTAAATTCCATTATGATATTTATGGCCTCTTTCTACTTCAATCTATCTTAATAAATTTTCAAAGTAAGCCCGGAGAGCCAGAATGAAGTCTTTTCAAGTGGTGATCTTAAAAATCAAGTGCTATACTCACTTATTTTCATTTGTAACAGGAATGGTCTTCCCCCCAGGAACCAGTTCATGGCAAACGAGCTGGGGGAGAAGATGGGGAACAATTACTTGGGAGAACTCTAAAGGGGGAAGAAAGCTCCCTCCAGACGAGAGGGCCGACACCCACGATCACGGCAGGGTGAAGACGGGACACGTGTGCTGACCCTCACTTTCACGGAAGCCTGGACGTGCGCGCCAGCAAGCCGGCCCTGCGTGATCGATATGAGAGGCTCCTCCCCGCCTGAGCCTCGTTCAAACGCGCGCATTGAGGCTCTGGGATGGTGTGCGGGAAGGTGTTAGCACTGAGGAGCACAGTAGGATAACTAAATGAACGCTGGTGCACTCACACCCTGGAATCCTGGGCAGCTGTTAAGAAATGTGATGAAAGTGTATAGATTGAAAAGGTGGAGGAGGAGGGGAGAGTGTGCATGGCATTGTTTTACTTCCACAACAAACAAACAAACAAACAAACAAACAAACGAGTGTGCCCAGGGAGAAGAATCCGGAAGGACACAGCCCGGTAACAGTGGCACTGTCTGGGCACCACCAGCATTACAGGTGGTTTTCATTTTCATCTTTATGCTCATGTTATAGCTGATATTTCATTAGAAGTTTGCATGAATTTTACAGTTAGGAAGGAAAATTAAGGATGTCAGGAGGAAGACTCAAAATCTGATTAAAGATTTGGGAACTCTACAGAATCAACTGCTTTCCTCATCTTCAAGGACTTCTGTGGGTCACCTGAAAAACTCAAAGAGTGAATTCACTGTTTCAAAGCTCATTTTAATAGAATTCTATTACTGTAACTCTAAAGATGCAGAGAACTTGAGAAACAGCGACCCCTAGTGCCACTGCTGTGTACACCATGGGGCACGCGGGACGACCTGAAAGCTAAAAGGGCCCTTAGGAGTCGCCCGGCCTGGTGTTTCCCATAAAGGGTTCCTGGGAACACTCTGTCTGTGAGCTGTGACCTTCAGACTGGTTCTGTGCCAGGGGTTCTGTGATCAACGAGCTGCAAAAGCCGAGGTTACGTAAGGATACTAGGCTTCTCGGAGCCCTCAGGCCAGCGTGCGTGCTGGCTCTTCAGCAGGACGGTGGGGCGCACAGGCATTTACAGAGCATCTGGGGACACTGGTCCATCAAGGACTCACATTCGGCCACTAGTACTTCTCTGAGGTAAGGGAACTATGGCTTAGGGAGACCCAGTGACCTCTCTCGGGTGCCAGGCAGGGCTCCAGGAAGCCAGCCTGGCACTACGAGCTCACGGCGTGGTCTCTCCAGAGCAGCCCTTAAGCCTCATGCACAGACCCTGTGCAGGTGTCCACTGGGACCCAACGGGAAGGGCCGTGGGGCACGTGTGAGAAGAGGTGAACGGCAACCTCGGGAGGCAACAGCTCTGCCGCCTGCTTCCAAGGGTCTCTTCTTTCTGCTCTGCTCTTCATGACCAGTTGGAACAGACAGAATTCTGTTAGGGGCACTTCTGCTCAGTGCCTTCCTGCCCCTTTCTAAGTCCCAGTCCTCCCTGTGTGACCCCTGATCCACACCATGGTAACGAAAAGCAGTGTTACAAACAGGGAAGTGCGGCTTCCATCAGGAATGACCCAGAGTGCGACCTCCCGAGAGATCTCAGCAGAGAGAGGGCTGGGCAGGTGATGGCCAAGTCAGCTGGGCTTGGGGGCAGGAGGAGGAATGCCCTCCCTCCCGGCAAGGTGGGGCAAGGGGGAAGGGGTGGGCACGAGAGGCAGAGGGAAGAGAGGCCGCTCAGACAGGCCCTGCATCTGCGGACCTGCAGGGGACGGCACCGGGAGCAGGGCAGGCCTCAGGAGGCCTACAGAGGGAGAACGAGGAGCCCCGACGGAGGCCGACCCACCTGTCCCATGACGTCCTCATCGTAGGACAGCGTCAGGCCCAGGTCCGCGATGTCCCCATCGTAGCGCTAAGACGAGAGAGAAGGGAAGCCTTAGGGCCCACGAGGGCCATGTCCTTGCAGAAGTGAACACTCGGGCCCACCGAGTCCACGTGTGTGCTGACTGCCGTGGCTGCTGTGCGGCCGGAAGTGAAGGCAAAGGCCACACTGACCACCTCGAGGAAGGATGCTGGGGCATCGGTCCTGCAGGCAGCTCCCAGAAGGCACACGGGGGCCTGCGGGGACACTCGGGGGCCACAAAGTGGGCGTCTTTCCCACGGCAGGAAACCTCCTGTTGCCACACCGCTCCCTGCGGGGTTCACTTCCGTGTCACTTCCGTGCCAGCACCCCGCAGCACCCCGCCAACCCCCTGGCCTTTGCACACTGACCTTAATGGAAGTGAGGTTCTTGTAGAACTCGGAGTCCAGGGACGGCAGCTCGTCCACAGAGCTGTAGAAGACGCTGTGGTGGTGCCCGAGCAGCTGGCTCAGGAAGAAGGACGCGAAGGGCACGTCCACCACAATTCCCTGGGCGGGAGGAGAGGAGACCGAGGCTCGCCATTGCCGTCTGCCCGGACTTCTGTCTCAATAACCGCACCAGGCCAGCTCAGGCTGCAGCGGGCGCCAAGAGCACCCCGGGGCCCTCCCTAAATTTTCAATCTGGACGATACCTCCCCACCACATATCAAACACAACCGAGTAACTCTCGGGGACATGAGGGTGTGCCGGTTAAGGGCACAGCCTTTCGAGCTACACAGCTCAGGGATCAAACCCCAGCTCTGCTGCTGCCTGGCCATGGGGCCTCGGGTTTTCCCTCTAAATAGGTAATAGTGCAGCCACTGTAAGAATTAAAGGGGCAGGGTGTGGGTAGCACAGATGACAAGGCTCTCACCCAGAGGCAGAGTGGAGGAAGCCCAGGAAGAGCAGACGCCCCAGGGAGACCCACGGAGCACAAGGCCTTCCATAGGAGGTCCACAGGCAGGAACACGGGTCTGTGGTCACAGCACCGTGTGAGAGGGATGGGGGAGGGATGAGGCCAGAGCGGCAGGCAGGGCCAGATCGGAAAGGGCCTCCTAAGCCTCCTAGAGTCTGGATTTCGTCCTGAGAGCGGCAGGGAGTGCTGGGGGGCTCTCAGCAGAGAGGTGCCGCATTTGTAGGACGTCAGGAAAACTGCCCACATTGCGTACCAGGGCAGTGGCTGAAAGGGGGGAGAGAGGTGTGTGCACTGGGGGGCTTCGAGGGGACAGTCAGTGAGGCTCCACCATGGCCTGTCACAGCGGAGCAGGAAGGTTGGTGAGCTAACGGGTGCTGCTCCTCACTCGGACCCAGCATGCCCCGGTTTCTTTCATCTGCACTATTATCATTACTGTTGCTTGAGCCCACAGTGAAGGCCACGGAGACGGGCCACTGACAGGCTCCTGCTGCAGCTCCATTCCCTCCGAGGAGCAGGACTCACAGGGCTCAGGGTCAAGGGCCGCCAGACAGAGCGCTGCAGCTCAGCTCACAGTGGAGGGGCTGGGCATCAGCAGGGCCCGTGGCACCGAGAAGAGGAAGCCCAGATGCCCTTCCTCTGAATAACAGCACGGATGGCAGCTCCCCACTCCCCATGGCCAGGTACCAGGCAACACAGGTGTTTTACCTGTATTACCTCATTTGCCACCTACAATAACCCAATAACGCAGCTTCTGTTAACCGCACTTTACTGTGAGAACGGCAACGTAAAGAAACGCGCAGTCCTGCAGCGGGTGGGGAGACCAGGCTGGACCAGCCGCCGTGGGCTACGTCCTGCCTCCACGCTCTAGCCCTCAGGCATTTCCCTCTGAAGCACTCACTCAAATAACAGATTTTTAAACAACTGTAACAACCGTCAAACACCACAAAATGCGCTCACCTATCACCGTGGAGCCCTGGCCCTGGCACACCACTCCCGCCCCTCAGGGAGGCAGACGGCTGGTTTGGGACCCAGGCTGGCCTGGGTCAAATCTGAATTCTACCACTAACTAGCGGTGAGACTCTGGACAAGTGACTCTGAAGCCACCGTCCTCTGTCCGTGTAGAAACAGGACAGCTGCCGCCGAGCCCCAGGAGCACTGAGAGGACTGAACAATAGACAGAAAGCACCGAGTGTTTCCACACGGTGATCTTGGTCCTGCCCCTCTTTCCTTGGTTTTGTCCCAGTGAAAGGTGGTTGACACGGGTGGGCCCGGCCACATAAATGCACACAAGCCCACAGCACTTCTCACGCCGTACCTTCCCTTCCGCTCCAGGGCCCCTTCACGTGCCTACCTCATACACAGCCTTCCCCAGCATCTTGCCCACAAACTCAAAGAGCTGCAGGTAATTCTCGTGAATGTAAGATGTGGGCGAAGGGTAGAGTCTCTCGTCCCCGTTGGTGGTCTGCAAGGCAGAAAAACGGACAGAGGCAGAGACGTTAAGGGCCTTGTAACGAGCAAACACAAGCCTTTGCTTCTCATCTGTCGCCTCACATTTGGCTGCTGTCAGTGCTGCTCTCGCTCCCCTTAAATACCTTGAACAGGTTGAGTGCCGGGTCAAACACCCTCTTGATGATCTCTTCCAAGAACTCCTTGAAAACGCCGTCCTGGTCAATTCCCGCCTCATCCACCCCCAGGTCATTGACGAACTTCACGCGGATCACGCCCTTCATGGCGTGCTGGGAGAGCTGCCGGAGCTGCTCGTAGCCGTCCTGCCGGGGCAGAATGACAGCCCATTAGAACCCGAGGCCCACTGTCCGACACAGGGCGCCCTCCGCAGGTGCACCAAACGTGCGAGCCAGGACGCAGGGGTGCAGAAGAGCAGACCTCACCTTTGAAACGACAGCCTGGTAAAAAGAAAGTCCGCCCATGGGGACGTGACTTTCCCACCCTTTGGCAAGGGGGGCTGCCCTTGAGAGGACGCAGGGCAGTGAGACAGGAAACTGGACAAGTCATGATAAGCTCTTGTCATCAGACGGGATGAAACCAGGACAAGATCCCACCCCTCTATTTTAACACTGAGAGTATCTTTCAGCTCACAGTAAAAACCAATCAATCAATCAATCAATCAATCACACTTACAGGCTGTTAGAAGATGAAAACTAAAAATACCCTCCACCCTCAACTCCTAGTACCTTTCCCCAGATCAGGAGAGGCCTTGTGACTCATGCTGAGGAATTTCAATCAATCCCAAGGGCAATGGGGAGTTAAAGCAGCATTTATGCAAGGAGCAACAGGGTTGGCTTTCCATCTTAGAAGGGTCTTTCTGCCGGCAGCAGATCAGATGGAGGGCAGGGACAAGGCAGAAAGTAGGGAGACAGGGTGCGGGAGTGACGCCGGGCCTGGACGAGGGCAGGAGCAGGGGGAGAAGCCTCAGCACACCTCCGGCTCACGTCCAGCTGTCTCAACACATGCAACCATGCAGCACATCTCCCCCGTCTGGAACCCTCAACACAACTCCAGAGTTCTGCTAAATCATTTCACTTAGTCTGTCTCTGGATTACAGTCCGCTGAGGTCTTCCTGGCTCCCGAGTCTGTCATCAGACGTACATACTTCTGGCGCGTGCATGCCGATGAGCAGCTGCTTAGGTCTTCATGTCAGGGATTGGAAAACACAGCACCCGAACGGGACAGGACCCAGGGAGGAGTCCTTCTGCCCAACATGAGGCCCACTCACCAGGGTAAAACCTACGTCTTCAGATGCTGTCACGTAAGCGGCACATCAACCACAACATCCTACTGAGGCCGCCCCGTGTTTCTCCCTCAGTCCCAGCTGCGGTGCTCTCAGATGTTTTGTTGACATAAGAGCCACCATCTCCAAGCCTCCACCCATCTGCCACTCTGGCCCCTTTTCACAAAGCAAATGAGGCCAGTCTGGCAAGACCTGTTTGGGGGAACCCTTGCTGGCTTCCTGCTGATCACAGTTCTCGCGTGCTCACCTGGTGATCCAAAAGCCTGTCCTATCGTGGCACCCAGTCTTATTCAGGGCTGGGCTCCAAAGCTAGTGAGCCTGCAAAGAGGCACCTCTGAACTCTCCTAAGTCACCTGAGGGCACAGGAACACGATTTCGACTGCACAGTCCTGAAAAGTACTCTTATGGACATGAAGTTTGACTACCATTAAGTTAGATGAAAAGAAGGGAACAACAGGAAGTCGCCGCGCAGCTGCTGCATTTAAACTGTTCTGCCTAAATGTAAGATCATCGTTCTGGCACTGAATTGGGGACCGGTGGAGAACACAGACGTGTCCTGCTTGCCTGCAGGATCTTCTCCATTCTGCTGTAAAATGCCGCCGCCCTGACCTTCACACACGTGGGCAGGAGCTCGGGCTACGCGGTTCACCGACAAGGTGTTGGTGAAAGTGCTCAGCACGCAGAGCAGCACACGGCAGGGCGCACGGAATGTTTGCTGGACTCAAATTTCCATCTGACTCCATCAGACCCCCATCAGCCTCCTCCTTGAAAAGTCGTAAAGAGGAATTGGCCACCGGCCTCCTCTGACGCATTTCCCTTTGCCTACACCGAGTGGTTGGAACAGGTGTGGTGGAGTGAGGATCAGAACTTGCCCCCCGGGAAGGTAAGCGGGAGTGAGGTATTCCTCTTCTCTGCTGCCTCTCAAGGAGCGGACGCAGAACCCTGACCTGGGGGCGGGAGAGCTGGTTTTATCTTCAAGGCCCAATGTCCGAGTGACCCTGATGGAGAATCTGAACTTCTCTGGCTTTCATTCTGCCACCAACAGGGTGAGGGGAAGGGGTAGGGCAAGAGCATGTCTATGGCTCCTCCCAGTTCTGAAATGCTAACGTTCCGGGCCCAGTCCACCCTCTGTGAGGGGTGCCTTCCCGCAGGACTAACACCTGGACCCCAACCAGAGAAAAGGAAACAGGAAAAAAGCCTTGGATATCACGACTCCAACATCAGCTCTTGGATGCCCCCTTGTGTCCAAATCAAGCAAAGGCCACTGGGCTCCTGTTCTAATAAACCACCAGGTCATACCACCAATAACTGAATAAACGACCCTCTTCCTGTTCCTAATTCAATGGGAACACCACTGGTCAGTGTCATGACAAGATCCTTCTAATGGGATGTAAAGACAGACGCCCCTCCTCTGATGTCCCTGAGTGATGTGTTTAAGAAGCTGGCTCAGGTAACCAGGATGTCAATCGACTTTCCAATAAGCAGACACTTGAGAAGGGGGTTAGGGACTCTGTCACTCCCAGGTGACAACAGGACACCTGTTGTCATCCATCAGCTCGTTTGTGAGGAGGCCTCTCTTAGGTGGCCTCACCTAGACCGAGGGCTGTGTTTCAAGAAAACCAGGACAGAGCAGTGGAAGGGAAGGCTATTTCCATTTGTTTAGCATGCGAACAAGGTGCTCCTGCGCTGAGCCAGCTTTACACATTCCTGTGGCCCACAGGGGGCCTGTGGGCACTTGCATTTCTTGTCGCTGCTTTTAACAATGTCAGGCATCTCGTCTGTTTATCCCATCTCATCTGTCTCCTTCTCCCCGGCAGACCTCGGTGTCTGTCACCAGTGGCCAGGGGAACTAAGGCAAGCTCTTGCAGGAAAGACCCTGCAAGGGAGAAAATGAAAGCCACAGGGCGGGAAGGCTGCAGCCGTGGCCATCTGCTGGCCATCTGCCCGCCAGCTGTCCTGGGATCCCGAGATGGCCCGACACTGCCCAGCCTTCGAATGAGGAACTGAGGCTGGAGTGTGATGAAAGGTCTAAGGAGCAGGCGGGGGCGAATGGATCAGGCCAGTCGTCCCTGGGAATGGGTCCTTGGGGCTCGGTCACCAATCCCAGGGCTGGCAGGACCGGCACCTGCAGGCAAAACCCTGGGCTCCGGGGGGTGTGGCACGCACAAGGCAGACAGGTACACACACTCACTGTGACACTGTTCCGGCCGACGGTAGCCAGGGTTTTGTGCCAACAAGATCAATATGTTATGACAATTTTCTGAGGCATGGAAGTGAAGTGTTTGGAGGACAGGCACCTATTTCTAATTCACATGAAGTTGCCACAAAGCGGTAATCCTGGACACTGGCTTTGGCTACAGTGGGCCACTCCCTGGCATCTCATAACTTTATGTCTACGAGGAACTCCCAGCTCTGTGACGTGCATTTCCCAGTAAGGCTCAGCCACCCTAACTCCTCCCACACTCACGGCTGGGGCTGGGCAGAGTCCCGGGGACAAATGGTGTCTGCAGAGAAGTGAGAGTACCTGCATAATGCACCTCCTGCCCTCATTTCAGAGAGGCACGAGGTGTCTGACACTCTAACCCAGGGGCCCTCCCGTGAAAAGGTGAAGAAATGCTACACTGCGGCCCCCAGCACTGAGGACGGGCTTAATCAAGCAGCTCTTGGTGCACAAGCAAGACAAACGGCCACCTCCCTGCCCCCAGAGCCTTGATTTCAGTGTCATTAGATCAGGGAGTGACAAGAACAGTTCAGAGGCAGATCAACCACCAACGCTCCTACATGTCATAGAGCACAATTCTTTGGGGGCTTCTCACCTCCAACATCCGGGACCGGCGGATAGTAATGTGAGTGACGTGAGGGGAGGCAGAGCTGGTTTCCACAAGCCCCAGTTTCTCCTTCTCCTTGGTAACCATGTTGCGGAACAGGAGAACCCTCTGCAACAAACAAAGGGAAGACCAGAAACAGGGTCAAAGCCAAGGCCTCCCTACAGCACAATGCACACACCTAACGAAGTGTGAGTCACATGAGGTGAACCCGGAACGAAGCGCTTCCACATGGGCTGCCGGTCAGAAGTGCGTTGGGGGAACAGAAAACGTTCCCCAAAACACGACTGCGAATCGGAACGATGGCTGAACTCATGGCAAGGAATAGTGGTTCCAGGAAGAGTGACCCGGCTGCAGCTCGGGCCCAGTTAAAGAGAGTTGAGCAGGAATCACCTCCTGTTCAGTCAATAATCCACCCTAACAATCTGGCAGCCAGACAAGTTGCAGAGGTGGCTTTATACAGCCATGCCTGCTTTAAAGGGAATCAATATTATAAATTCAAAAAACAGAAACATTTCAAAGGTAATTTTTTTTCACTGTCAGAACTCTTCAAAAACGATCCTACAGAATAAATGCTCCTGACCTTTTATCTGCTTCCCCTGTGCCCTCAACCACATCCCGGTCCCATTGGTGACATCTCTCAATTACCAAGTGAAAAACACCTTCTCTCTCCTTTCTCAAGGTTCCCACAAGCCCCTTTTGGAGAGCACTAACCCTCTGCCCCATCCTGGTTTTGAGAATTGCTGCTGTAAGAGTGTTCAAACAATGATGGGGAGGGCCATATTTTCCCAATGGGGGAAAAGAGGGATTTTATGAGGCAAGAACAAAGAGACTTAATGGCAATCTTAAGCAGAATTCCCAAAAGGAAAAAAGCCTGGTGAGGACTGGGACACAGCCTGGACTCACCAGCCACAGCCCAGACTCTCAGAGGCGCCCTAATGGCTCAGCTCCCAGGCCACAAGCAGTCCTTGCAGTTCCACGTAGTTAACCACTTAACTGTTTATGTGCATTTGTGTGCTAAGAAATTAAAAGCTGTATTTTAAAAATACACATGTATTAAAATAGATTTTTAAATTTCATTTTTAAAAGCCAGCTTAGCAAGCCTGACATCACTGAAAAGTGCTGAACTGTGGTCTGGAGCTGGCACTTCCTATATAGTGAGTACAACGGACTTCACTGTGTCCCCAGAAAACTTACAACCTCCTGTGACAACCCGGCTGCCCCGCACACGGTCTGTGAGCCACAGACAGAGTGGGGACCCCGGCTGCACGGCACGGGAACGCCACAGCCCAGGGCTGCCTTCCCAGACACACGGGCCCTGGCTACCGCCCTGCGTGTGAAGTCAGACTCTACAAACCGGGCTGGGCCCAGGGGACAAAGGCTGAAAACCACTTCAACGAGGAACAGTAGTTGGGGAAGGCGGCTAACCCCTGACAACAGGTGGCCCAGAAGACAAATCTCAGAAGAGAGGGGATTCCACCCTTAGCAGCCAAGGGGGAGAAATTACAGAGAAGTCGGCCAGCTGAAGGCGAGGAAGAGGGCCCCATCCCTGGGCAGGGACGGCAACAGAAGGGCTGCCTCGGACAGCTGTGAGCTCTCTCTGGTCAAGGGCAGGGAGACTGCTAGAGGGCTCGCTCACAGAGCGCACGTGTGGCGACGTCATCTCCACAAGGTCCCTCACCTCTGAGAGGCTCTGCTGTCAAGTGCGATATGAATTTAAACAGGAACGTGCACTTGTGAACCACTGCTGGATGGTAAGGAATGACTAACATTCAGGGTTACCATCAAGGTCAAAACCATGTCAGAGAGCCGTGAGGAGGCAGTGTCTCTGAGAAGTGAGATTTAATTTGTAAAAATGTGATTTGTCCACTGTCCTTGAGGAGTCAGACACCTCCCGTGCTACCTGCTCCAGGCTGACCTGGCCAGCACTTCCCAGACCTGCTGTTGCCAGGTTCCTACCTTAGGGAAGACCGCCCCAGGCACCCGAACCAGACACGCCAGCATCATCTGAGCTCCCCCCTCCCTGCTCCTCCGAATGTCGCTGTTCTCCACGGCCTGCAGTGAGGACTCCTGACTTTATCGTCTTCCGACTGCTGTGGCCCCACCGACTCCCGACCAGACTGCCTCTAGCCAGGGCTTCACACAACACCCACAAGGACTTTTGGAAACAGCTCTCGCCAGGTGCCCCCAAAGCTGAAAGCTCTCCAATGGCTTTGGACAGAATCCAAGTTCCTGCCCTTGGCGGACAAGGCCCGTCCCGCTCCAATTCCCACAGGCCCCCTTAGCTTCTCCACTTCCTCCTCGTGTCCTCTCCCGAGAGCACTGCACTCACTCTCGCCCGAGGCCTGTGAGCACTGCCCACCGCTGCCCGTGCCCCTGAACTCCTGCTGCCATCCCGCAGCACCCACCCCTGCGACACACATCCCACTCTAGCAGAACTGCCGGTTCACATCGCCCTCGAGCTCTGTGCCCCATTACTTAGCTTTGTACGCGACGCGGAGTAAGAACCAATCAGATCTGTGTTGGCTGAGTGACTGATCCCATTTGTTTACTTCCAGTCTCTGTAGCAGAGATGGAAATTTGGGAACCACGTGGTGGAACAGCTGAGGGCGACTCACGTTTTTGTGTGGAATGACGTGAGGGATGTACTGCAGGATCAGCTGTGCCCGTTTTCGGTCCTTGTCCAGTTCTTGGAAGAGCACACTAGGTTTGAGATCCCTTAAAAAGACACAGGTTTGGAATAAATAAAACAAAAAAATCCATTCTTGGCAAACTACACCCTGTGGGCCAAATCCGGCCTGCTGCCCGTTTTTGTAAATGAAGGTTTGATGGAACACAGCCGCACTGACTCATCGCTGTCTTTGGCTGTTTTCACACTGCAACAGCAGAGCTGAGCAGCTACAAGAGACAGTCTAGTCTGCAAAGCCTAAAATATTTACCACCTGGCCCTTCGCAGAAAAACCGTGCCAGCCCTGCTCCAGTGCCCCGACTTCAAGAGTTACACGGGAGTTGACAGGTCATTGAAAAAAAACGTGGACCTGATCTCGCGTTTAGTTGTTGCATGAGGGTTCCCCGACCCTGTCCCCGCAAAGACCTGGCTGTACTTTTTACCCTGATTCTCGTTTTGAAAAACTGCCACTGAACTAACATAACCTGTTGCCCACTTCAGCTGAAAACTTTTCTTCTTCTCCGTGTGGATAAGAAACATTTGCTACTGGGTTGGCCAAAAAAGTTTTTAGATTCTCCCTACGATGGCTCTAGCAGTACTTAGTTGTCTTTAACTTCATTCAAAACAATTCTGTTAGACTGTATTGTGACAGCTGTCATATCAGCATGCATTTACAAAAAAAAAATCAAAATTGGTGAATTTTTGTGCAGCCCTTTTAATATTGAAGATGGAAAAAAATACATAACATTTCAGCACATTATGCTCTATTATTCGAGAAAGGTAAAAACACAACTGAAACACACGAAAAGATTAATGCAGTGTGTGGAGAAAGTTCTGTGTCAAAAGTGATTTACAAAGCTTCTTGGTCCTACTGAGACTTCTGCCAAATAACTCTTTGCTGTGGGGCCGTCTTATGCATTGGAAGATATTTAGCAGCACCCCTGGCCTCTGCCCACTAGAAGCCAATAGACAGAGATAGCTGACATACTCGAAGTATCTAAATCAGTAAAGTTACTGATAAAAACGTAAAGAATGTGTCTTTTAAGGAAAAAAACCGCATGGACTTTTTGGCCAAGCCAATCAGGGTCGCCTGGCTCTGCTGCTACAACGAGGTCTCCTCTCTTCAGTGTAGGCACATTTTAACAGGAGCAACGGCCAGGTGATGGATCCATCCTGACAGCTGCTTCACCGCAACGCCGGCTCTCCTCGTGCAGATACAAGATCAAGGAGAGCGACCAGTTCCCCTCCGCCCTGGGACACGAGCACCGAGCACACCGCAGCTCTGCTGAGGGCGGCCTGACAAAGGGACTCTGGGCCCGTAAACCCACATCCCCACCCCCGCGCTCACTTGCGCAACCAGTGGTCCTCGGAGGCGAAGCGCCGCCGACAGTCCCGCTCGTACAGCACCATCAGCCACCCGTGGACAGACTGGAACAGCTCCAGGGCCTCGCCCTTGGCGTTCTCTGGGGGCGCACAAGGGAGAGAGTCGTACTCACGATGCTGATCACAACTGGACAGGAGCTGGGAGGACAGCTCCTGTCACCAAGCCCCATGAAGGTCTTCCTCTCCTCACTCCGACTTCCCCGTGGAGCCGACAGGACTAAAGGGCACCCTGCACGGGCTCCTCGTGTCTGGAGGACCCGCACTGTCGCAGACACAGTGGCTCCCGCTGCCTCCCGCTGCTGTGTCACCCCAGGACCTTTCTAACCTGAGCAGCTCTGTGATGGACCACGGGGAGCTGGGGGCACTCTGGCCCACATTCTATTTTCTCAACGATAAAATCAAACTAATCGAAGATAAAATAATTCTTGACATATGCCCTGGCTGGTGTGGCTCAGTGGATTGAGTGCTGGTCTGAGAACCAGGCTTGCCAGTTTGCAAGGGTTGCCAGTTTGAGTCCCAGTCAGGGCATGTGCCTGGCTTGTGGGCCTGATCCCCTTCAGGGGGCGTGCAAGAGGCAACCACACACCGATGTTTCTCTCCCTTTTCCCCTCTCTTCCCTCTTTCTAAAAATAAATAAAATCTTTACAAATAATAATAATTCTTGACACACACAAGCAAATCTTGAAAAACACGTGGGAGAACAAGACTTCTTTAACCACAGCACTATCTGAAGAAGTCACAGACAGAACATGAAGAAACAGCACTTGTAACCAGGTGGAGAACCGTGCACGTTCAGTCCACGCCAACAGACCATGAGGCTGAGAGTCAGCTGCTGCCAGCGACTCCGGCCGTTGCCGCCTTTGCCTCACCTACGATTCCATCCCAGATCATCTTGAACACGAAGGAGTTCAGAAAGGAGGAGATGGTGACCAGCTCTTCCAGTTTGAATGAGATTTGCTCTTCATAAACTTCAATGTCATCAAGAATCCTACGTCAAACAGAAAATCATTCCCACTGAGAAGAGGGAAAGAATGAGAGCTACACTTCCGAAAAGACACAGTAAGGTCAGAAACTGGCCCTGTCCTTCGGAGACACTCCTGTGAAATTTACAGGTAAGGTGGCAAGAGTCTAGGCCGGGCTCCCGAAGGACGAGGGAGAGGAGTGGGGATGTGGGGGGACAGAGGGTGCAGGACTGGCCGTGGGTCACTGCTGAGGACGGTGATGGACACACAGGGCTCACTGCGCTGTATTCTCTATGCTTTCAATTGACTCGAACTGTCCAGAGTGAAGAGTTCAAAGCACAGCTGTGAAAAACAGCAAGCTCCACTCTGTTTCCTTACTCATGAGGGTTTGACTGTGGCACTTCCTAACTCACGCCTGAAGTCATGCCTGAGTGTCCTGAGAGTCTGCCCCCCCGAGGAGGGCTGTGACTCTGTTTCTGCATCTACAACAGGTGCTAGCAGCACCGAGCAGGTACTGGAGAGGCGCTCGGGAGTGAACAAAGAATGTCTGGAAGAACATGGACGGACAGATGAACTCTTTAACATTATCTCTATCTGACAAAGCCAACACGGCTCCACTGACCTCAGAATCCGCCTCACTCACGGGTCACCCCTGACCCAGCGACTCAGGGCACCTGCACCAGCAGCTACAGACTACGCTCCTGCCTCCGCCACTCACCAAGCCCTTCCCTCCACGATTCCTGCCCAACCTGCCAGCTACAAGGCCCTGATGCCTTCTGGCCATGTCTTCTGGCCTGAACATGACTGCCTGAGGCCTGTTCTATCTTATGACTCTTCAACCTTTTGGGGGAAGAGGGGAATTAAGAGAACACCAAGCACACAAGTAGACATGTAAGCCTAAGGAACAAAGGAACTGAACAGGACCAACACTTGTTAGTCCCTCGCTGTCAGCCACTGTACTAAGGACCTGACAGTCCTTTTCTCATCTGCTTCCTGTCACACTGGTGATGCTGTCTCCAATCTACTGATGTGGGAACCGAGGCTCAGAGAGGCGCGGCCTCCTGCCCCGCTGCCCAGGGTATCTCAGTCTTGCACCGGGGCTCCCTAGCTCTGAAATTTTCTAGTAAACCATCTGGCACAGGGAGTAAATGGCCAAAGTAATCTGGACCCAGATCCAGGAAACCCCAGCCCCCGCATTCAGTGGTACTGACCCAGCTCCCCTGAAAGGATGGCAACTAACAACTGCTGAACCCCTATCACGCACCCCCCACCTGGTCAGTGTTTCCTCAGCCACTTCTAAAATGTTCCTTAAAAAATCAAGTGGTGGGTGCTGCCGCCCGAAAATTGGCAGTTATCACATCAACAACTGCTTCCTCCCTGGCACCATGCTCTGGACCCCCCACATTCCAGGAAAGGAATTCAGGACCACGCAGTCCACCTACGTGACGAGGTGCCGGGAGCAGTCACAGAACAGCATCAGCATGGCCAAGAGCTGCTTCGACTCTTCAGTGTCGTTGTTGAGGCATTCCAAGAAGAGCTTTAACCCTCCATGGGGCCCCAGCTCGCAGATGAACGCCCACAGTTTGGGCAGCAGGTCATCAAGGTAGGTGAGACCTGGAAGAAGCCAGAGAAACCCAAGCCTCAGACGGGGGCTCCGTCTGGCCCATCATCTCTCTGTCCATTAGGGAGACAAAAGAAACCTGCTAGTGAACTTAATGTGCACAACAGAAAGCAGGTGTAATTTCCAAGAAAAATCATTATCACTGTGAAAATACCAGTGGCTAATGTTTAATGGGTGCTTACTATATGCCAGATACTATTCCAAGTACTGGGCTGGCCAACAAGTTCGCTTGGTTTTCTCTGCAGGATGGCTCTGGCAGCCCTTGGTTGACTTTACCTTTGTTCAAAGCAATTCGTTAAATTGTATTGACAGCTGTTACATCAGTGTGCATTAATAAAAACATCAAAATTGGGGAATTTTTGTGTGGCCATTTTAACATTGAAGATGCAGGAATATAAGTGACATGTTTAGCCTATTATGCTTTATAACTTCTACAACTGAAATGCACAAAAAGATTTGTGTAGTGCATGGAGAAGGTGCTGTGACTGATGGTATGTGTCAAAAGTGGTCTGCAAAGTTTAATGCTGGAGATTTCTCTCTGGATGATGCTCCATGGTTGGGTGGACCAGTTGAAGGTGACAGCCATCAAATCAAGACATTAACTGAGAACAGTCAGCGTTCTACCACACGAGAGAGCTGACATACTCAAAATATCCAAATCAGTAGTTATTGGTGGAAAGGAAACATGTCTTTTATTTTACATAAAAAACTAATGACCATCTGGCCAAGCTGCTAGCTGACATGCATGAGCATCTCCTTCCCCATGTGAAACCCAATGTCATCTCCATTTTTAGAGTGAGGAACTGAAGACCAGAGAGGTTAACTGGTTCAAAATCACACAGCCAACAAATGTCAAAACCAATAATAAAACCCAGGTCTGTCTGACTTGGCGTTTATGTTTTAAGTCAGAGATCAGCACCTCTTTTTCTGGTCCAGAAAAAAAAAGGGCCAGAGAGTCAGTCCTTGCAGACTTTGTGGGTCAGTCTCTGTCACAAGCACTCAATGCAACCACTGTAGCACAAAGGCAGCTATAGACAATGTGAATGTGGCTTTGTGCAAATAAAACTGTATTTACAAAAGCAGGTGGCGGGCCTGACCTGGCCCTTGGGCGGCAGCGTATCAAGCCCTAGTTCAAACTGCCTTGCGGGCTCACCCACATCTAGCAAAGCTTTCCTCCCCGTCTGCTTCCACTACTCCGAAAAAAATGGGAGAGCGAGGACTGCTCGTGGCAGAGACGCCCTCGTGGCAGAGTCCTTGGGTGACAGCGGTGTGAGTCGGCTTCCCGATGGCTATAAGGCTCAGACACACAGGCCACGTCACAGTCACGTTTATGTCTATCAACTACGCTGCTGAGTTGGAAGGTCTGGCTCTGAAGTACCACGTGTCACTGAACATGTGATAATGGCGCGTTCGTCACCTTGCTCCTCAGAGGAGGAGGAGCCCCCTTATATCTGAGTCCTCACAATGCCTCTCATTTTACAGCATTACTTCATCTCAAACAGAACTATCTGGGAAAACATAAGCCCAGGATGGGGGCGGGGCGACCATCAACGCTACTGACGGGTGTTCAGAGGGCGAACTGAAGGCTGACCGTAAAGGAGGCATCGTCCCTACAGTCCGACCCAGCTTTCCAGGGCCAGGGGGTGTGGTTATAAAATGCAGCAATCTCACAATTTAAAACTAAGCTAAAAAAGAACCCCCCCAAAAAAGAGAGGGGAAAAAAGAAACAGAATAGGTAGTTATGTTGTGGTGATCATAAACACACGCCCACAGCACAAACTGGGAAGGCAACCACCTTCACAGAGTGCGGGCACTCACTGACAGCAAACAGCACCCACTCGGTTCAACAGGGGCCGCACCCTGAGCCCCCGAGACAGAAACTGAGGTGCTGTGCTCAGAAGAGCCTTGTGGGGGCGGGGGTACGGGGCTGCAGGACCGTCGTGCAGGACCGTCGTGCACTCACGAGGAGCACAAACAACAGTGCTTTGCAAAATGTGAGAGTAAAGAAACAGCAGTATTTTTAAAATTAGTGTATTTTCCATAATCTAATGTGCACAGCACTAGTAGACTAGATATTATAGACACTTTTAAACTAGATTATCTTCATTCTTGTAAGTATACATTATCAAGTTGGCCAAAAAACTTTTTTGGATTCTTTGGGACAATGGGGGGGATGCTTCACGTTGTGATCACTCATCAAGCTGAAGACAGGCAGCAAAATCATCCCCTCAGTGCGCCGTGCAAACCCTCACATTAGGTGCTGGGCTGCCCAGGCTTGGGCTGGGCCCCCTCCCTTCTCCCCCACACTCTCCTCGGAGAGCCTGCCCCAGGCCCAAGGCTTCATGGGCCACCTCTCTGTCCACGCCCCGCAGACTACACTCACCACAGGAGAAACGGAGCTCTGGACGCCCCATTAGCCCGACCCTCAGCCAGTTCCAGCGTGACAACTAGCCCCATCACCCACACTGCTGCTTGGGCCAAAATTTCTGGCACTATCTTTGAAATTTAGGCCCCACCCCCCAACACCAATCTACCTCTGAAACAGATCACACATCCCCCTGCTTCCATCTCCATCACTACCCCAGCTCAGATGTCCTCAACCGGGGGGACTCTGTCCCCCAGGAGCATTCAGTAATGTGTGGAGACGGGAATGGCTGTCATAACTAGGGTGCAGGGGAAGGTGCTCCTGGCATCAATGGGTCGGGGGCCAGGGCCTGCTAAACATCCTGCAAGGACAGGGTGGCTTCCACAGCAAAGCATTACCTGGACCGAACTGCCAACCGGTCAACCGTGCTGAGGCTCAGAAACTGTGCTCCAGCCCGAGCCGGCACTGTCTCTCGTTACTGTCACTGCCACAGTGCCCACCACCACCCGGAACACACCTCCCCCTTGTTTCTTACTGGTCTCCCCCACCAGAATGTAAACCCTTGGGAACACAGACCATGGCCCTCTAACTCACCGCACACCCTCGGGGCTGGGCCATCACAGGTGCACTGTGAACACTGAAGGTGAAGTAGTGCGTGTGACAGGGGGAGGCAGCAGCAGTTTATGATTTAAAAAATACAAAATGCATCGGAGAGGTTCTTCACCCTTTATGTAGCAAACGGTGTCAGAGCTTACGGACGGCCTGTCCTCATAATACCCATCTACACTAACTCCGGCACCGCCACCCCGAAGTCCTGGGCACCCAACTCTGCTCACAGAGGGGACTCTCTTCCTCGCTCAGCTACTAAGTGTTGGGCACGTCCACGCAAGGACATTCCACAGCCGACATAAATGAGGTGTCTGAAGAATTTCTGACGTGATCAAATGCTCACAAGGTGACTAACGGGAAGGGAAGGATAAAAGCGTGTTTCCATCTAAACACACACACAAGGGCCCACTCAGGCACAGGGAGCTATGTCAGGACCGTGGGATGAAGAGTGGCTTAAGTTGTTGCTTTCCTGCTTCCTTGTCTTTCCTAGTTTTCCGTTCAGAAAGAGTAGTAACTTTTAAAAAGCAAACTGTCCTTCTTAATTAAAACAAAGGGCCATGTCACAGGGACAAACTGGAAGTGCTAGGATGGAGGTCAGTTCCAGCTGTTTAACTAACCGGCCTCTAAAATGGCTCAAAAACATCCTACTCCTCTTCAAAGCAGCCAGAAGAAAATCAACTTGTTCCGAGCAAAACCGCCAGCCCAGTGTGAGAGACAGGACGCCCCAGGCTCCCGAACCTGTGAGAATCTGCAGGCGGATCTGCGTCAGAGTTGTCAGCGAGGTCTGGTAGAGGACGCAGATGCTGCAGACCTTCTGTACCTCCGCAGAGTCGACGCGCTTACCCCCGACGGGCTTGAGAATGTTCCGCACTGACGCAGACTTCTGAAACGCGCGCTTCAGGAGATCTGGCGGTGGAGAGAGGGAGCGTGTGGGCAGAAGCTCAGCCGTCTGCCAAGTCCCATCCTGGCAGTAACTAAAAGAGCATTTCAATCAAGTTCCTAATGTTTTAAAGCTTTTATTTATTTATCTTTAGAAAGGAAGGGAAGGAGAGAAGGAGAGAAATATCAATGTATGGTTGCCTCTCGTGCGTCCCCTGCTGGGAACTGGCCTGCAACCCAGGCATGTGCCCTGACTGGGAATTGAACTGTGATCCTTTGGTTCGCAGGCCCGTACTCAATCCACTGAGCTACACCAGCCAGGGCTCAAGTTCCTAATTTACAGCCACAACTTGACAGTGCAGCTGCTGCTTGACTTAAGTCATCTCTTTGGAATGACGCAGAAATACGTTAACAAGAGGATTTTAGGTAAAACCCAAAGACAGCTTCAGAATCAGAAAATTTCTCAGAAGCCAGACAATATAATTCTTATGTGAGATCCTTTCATGTACCACTTAACTTCAGAATTCACAAAGGTAAAAATTCCAAAGACTATATTAGGGGAAAGGGGGAAAAGATGGGGGACCGATCCCCAACATTCTGTGCTTTCGGATGGAGGAAGGGGTGTAGGCCTCCAGCACTGATGTTCAGCTTGGGGCTGTAACTACTTTTGTTTCAAGCCTTCCCATCTGTATCCTGATGCAGTGACAGTCACTGAGCCCATGCTCACTGACAGCTACAAGATGGGACTCTGCAGCACGCAGGTGGCAAAGGAAGAGCCACCCTGACCCTGCAAATCTGCTGCAAGCAGGCAATTCCACTGATTTATGTGTTGGTGGCATTTCCTTAACTTTTATCGGCGCGGCGATGAGAAACCTCTCCACAGAACCCGTCACTGACCCTGCAAGGGGACACCGCTATGCTGGTGACCAAGAGTCCTCTTTATCGGGAGCCCTACCCAGGAGATTTCTTTTGTGATTAGCCCCGCAGAAGAGTTCTACCTCCCCTCAGAAACAGGTCTTCCTATTTATGGGAAGAAAGGGTCGCAAGCCCCTTTTCATCTTGCCTACTGGAAATTCAGGGCCAAATGGAAGGTCTGAGAAAACCACGGCCACCCCATGGAACACGTATCAGTGGACATTCTCTAGGCACGACCTTGATTTTCCTCACCCATGTCTATTTCCCAGGTCCTGTATTCTATTGCTAAGGATTTTTTCCACCATTTTGCTAAATGTAAAACTGACTCAGCAGTCTCCAAGTCTCTGTGGGAGAAGCAGGCCATCACACAACAGAGGGGTACAGGCACCCTGGAACGCCCAGAAGGAGCACTCAGCCCGGGAGAGGCACGGCCGGCCCGCTCCAGCCACTCACTCTTCATGGGAAGCACGTTCTGCGGGGATGTCGGCTGCACGTGGGCCGCCAGCTCCTGGTTCTCCAGCAGCTTCTTGCTCAGGATGTCACTGAAGAAGATCCGGATCAGAGGCACCCCCCACAGGAACTGCAGCTGTTTGGTGATCAAGGGCATCGACTCGTTAAGGCTGGGAGAGAGAAGGAGACCAGGTGTGTCAGTTCCACCTGGCGAATGGCCAGGGAGGGCTTTCCACTTGGAGGTGTGGCTAGGATCTGCCGTTCAACGCGGTCAATGAGATAAAGGTAATTTAAAAAGGGGGCTCCACAAATCCCTACTGAGGCCTGGATGCAGAAGTCACTGACCTCCCCACCTTCCCTGTCGGTCCCCCCAGACTTCCTGTGCTGCCAACAGCACCACTGCCCTCCCCAGGTCCCCAGGCTCCTCGCGTCACCGCCATCTCCCAGACAGCCTTCACCTCCCTTCCTCTCAGTTCATTCTGTTTCCCACTAAGATGACGAGAGCCGTCTCATGCCTGCTGTGCTGCCTCCCCTTCCCAGCCAGCCCTCAGGCCCGGGCCACAGCCCTCACCGACTCTCCAGCCTCCTGGGAGTCTCACTGCCTGCAGGTGCTGCTTTCTCCACTCTGCGCCACAACCCCAGCATCGGACTCGCACCCTGAAATCCGCCTCCACTGCCTCCCTGCCTGAGACCCTGCGCTGGCTCTCACTGCCTTCCAGCGCCACGGCGGCAACAGCCATTGCCCGCTGGGCATGGGCTGGGCCAGATGCGGGCACTGGTGCCTTGTCTGTCAGTCCTCAGAGACACCCCCCCCCCCCACGTTCCAGATGAACAAAGGGAAGTGAAGAGACTTGTCCAAGGTCCCCCCAGAGACCGGGCTGTTCACCACTGTGCTTTCCGCCGCGCACTCTGCCCATGACAGCCCGATGCCCAGCACACGCTCCTCCGCCCTCTTCGGTGTGGGGCAGCGGCCTGGTCGTTGGCTGGCAATCAGATTTTTTCAACTGGATGTCACTCAGGTACAAGGGAAAGGGAGAAAACCTGGGGATTTCCTTCCCTGGCTCTCAGTTTTCTATCTCAAGAGCACCTACCAGGGGCCCTGGGAACAGGGCTGAGCAGCACGGCTGCCTCAGGCCTGAGACCCGCTACAGCCCGGCCCAGGACACACCTTTCAAATGTGTGCCACCATCTCACTTAACCTCTATCTTCCAGCCCAGTGGTACTTCTTAAAAAACATCTTTAAGTTCTTGATTAAAACTTTAAAAATTTACATTCCACCTCTTGAAAAGCATCTGGAGGGACTTCAATTCCCTTTGAATCACGTGTCTGATTTTAGTAAATCCAAAATATGGCAGCCAGACAATCAAGAGAGTGATGTTGGAGAAGAAAAGAGAGCATTTACAGACACTCCGTGAACAGAACAAAAGACGAACCGCCGCGGTCTCGTTTCTGGGAACGGCTCGGAGGGCGAGACTGAGAGGGCCTGCACACGGGCTGTTTCCGGGCAGCGGCATCGGGAGACGGTTTTCATGCTCTTCTGTTCTTACCTGTACTGTACACACTGAACATACACTACTTCTGTACTAGGAAACAAAACAACGTAAGCCACAATAAAGAAAGAAGGCAGAGGTAACGGGAGAGAGGCAGGAGGCAGCAGGAGAGAGAGCGATCTGCCTCTGGGACTCACCCATAGTCCACGGATTGGGAGAACCAGCCAAGGACAGGGTGCCAGTGCGTCAGGTTGGATTTCTTCTGGGACACGTACTTCTGGCAGTAGCACAGCATCTGGGTGAGCAAGCTCACAAACCCGTCCGCCTCCTCCTCCAGCACCCTGGGGCTGAGGGAGCCCAAGTGCAGGAGGTTGCCTACAGACAGATGTGTGCAGTCAGCTCCCAGCCCTGCCCTCTGCCGGGCGCTTGGGCAGCCACACCGGTGCGCAGGGAGCAGTCCCACACAGAGGACGCTTGTCAGCGCTGGTGCTGCGGAGCCACGTAGGGCTCAGAAGCAGGCCAACCCGGCTTCCGGTCCCGGCTCTGCCGCAGACCGGCCATGTGACCCTCCACCCACCTCTCAAACCCTGTTTCCTCATCAAAAAGACTGGAATATCGACCCCCCACCCCTGACCTGACGACTGTACGACACATAGAACATCTAGCACACAGAGGTATGAGATATTTAACTAGTGTGACATTTTAACATTATGCTAAGGTGTTAAAACCAGAGCCTAACATAAGAAATAATCTCTTGTAGAATATCTAAAATTCCTGGAAATCAATTATTCAAAGTGCACCAAAGTTATTTTAACATGCCTTGTTTGAGGACTCCCTTAAAACTTAGCCCCAAGAACCTTTTTCTATGTACAATAAATCAGGCAATGAAAATTATGTACCTCTGCTGCTTTTTAATGCTTCCATCCACAAACCCTTTTGTCTACAATGAAAACATAGTCAAGCAGACGATGCAGACCCTACTCAGAGCCCTACTCGGGGCCCTCCCCTTCTCCCAAGACGGGAATTTTCTAGGCAGCTCATCACGTTTTCAATTTCCCCTGGGCTGGCACATTCGTGTACAGTAGTCACTCAGCCAGTTTGCCGAGCTGATACATTTCCTATGTGATTTCAGGTTCACGTGTCTGCTTTAACTGTCTCTCTGATTGCGTGTTCTCACTGCGAGCACCGCCAGCTCATTTTCCCGATGTCCAGAACACAGTCACATTCCAACCACAGATACTCACCCATCAGACAAAGCGTGTGGCATCCTTCCAAACTTTCACAGACATCACGGCATCGATCTTTATCTCTTAAAAACGTGATGAATTTACGGAGCAAATCGTGCGATTCCAAAACCGTGAGGCGCTGCAAACAAGTGCAGACTGTTAAAGTGAAAGCTGATGGGAAGAATTTCCCACAAGAGCATGAACCTGACCACCTGCAGGTCACCCCCTAGTAGCCAAACATGCTATTGATTGCTAAAAATAAAAGCAACAAAGATGAGAACCTGTTCTTTGGGCTATTAACAAAAGTGTGCCCACAGTGGCTACTGATCTAGAAGACGACTCGGGAAGAGGTGAGAATTAACAGAGAAAACCTTTTACGCTCTAATTTCTAAGAAGAGAGGCAACAGTGAAATCGGGGGGAACGCAGAGCCCGCTTACCTCAGGGGTCACTGTGCCAAGGTGGGTCACGAGAGCAGGCACAGACATGATGTGTATGAGGAACGGCCGGATCAGGTTGTCTGAGAACTGTGCGGCAACCACAGGGCTAGACGCAGACAGGTCACCTCACTCGGAGGTCTGCCTGCGAGCCTGGACAAAAGAGCAGCCCTCCCGACGCCCACAAGCCCCTTGGAATCATGCTCCACTGGACTTCCAGAAAAACTAAAAACTGAGAATGAGGACATCCACTAGAGGAACAGTTGAGCCGAGGACAGTACAGCCGTACGACACAGCTATGAGAAATCAGTTTTGAAGTTTAACTGACGTGAGAAAATGCTCAAGGTACACGGTAAACTTAAAAAAAAAAAAAAAGGCAGAATAAAAAACTACATGGGGAGAGGGGAGGGGGTAGTGATTTGGAGGGAAATAAGGGATTTTGGAAGGCATGTGCCCTGACCGGGAACCGGCGACCTGCCCCCTTTGCGGACGACGCCCAACCAGCTGCACCACACCGGTCAGGGCTGGCCTCCCAAACATTCTAAACTCGAGTTTATAACACTATTCCATCCGTTATGCCACCCTCTGCTGGCCCTCCTCCAGCTCATAGGTTTCCTTTATCAACTAAAAGCTCAAAAGGAGAAGGGATTTTATCTTGACCAGTGGCTGACTGAGAACAAACACCTGCAGGGCTACAGACAGAAGGTAAGAAAAAGAATGGTCACAGACACTCCCCTGCTCCCCCCTGCCCCCCAGACCAACACTTCCTGCTGACGAAGGGGGCGATCCCGGACCCAACAGGAGCAACCAGAGGAAAGAGAAGCGAGAGGGCGAAGCCCTTGGAGGCAGGCCAGCCCCTCCACTTTCCCTACTCACCGCAACGCGAGAGAAAAGGCTGCAGTTAAAGTGCTTTTGGACAGACAAGGCCGGGATCTCGCCAGACCACGGGTTAACAGTATCTGAAAGGAACGTTTTAACTGGTCAGGGAATGATGCCAACTCCGTATTCACTTGTTCATTGAAAAAAAGAGAGACATTAAAATGAGTATCTCAGATAAAAAACTAAGTTGGAATGTTTTTGAAAATGAAAGGAGAGAAAAGTGATGGGTATAGAGATTCATTATACCCTCCCTCACCTTTAAATGGTGTGTTTAACTTTTAAAATAATAGACAGTTAAAAAATTAACAGGTGACAAATACACCAGACTTAAAGTTTGAAGAAAAGCAGCCTCCAGTTACGAGGTCACGCAGAGGCCTCCTTGCTGGGGAGCTCTGGCCGCCCCGCTGCCCCCGAGGGCTGCTGTGCGGAGAGAGCGAGGCCACGTCCCCACGGAGCCCGTCCGGGTGCCAGGCACAGACAGTGGCGCCTGCCCACACCACTTCTCACACTGAGGACTCCCAAAGTGTCGCTTCTAAACAGCCATCTAGGTTTCTGACCACTGCCCAGCTACACGGGCTGGCACAGAAGGTGCAGTGTGGACAGAGGCTTTTGAGGACACAGAGCCACCAAGTTAATTCCAGACGCCAACAGAGAAGGCGCCAGAGGGAACCAGCTCTGAGACCTCCTCCCGCCCCCCGAGTTTCAATTTCAAGTGACTGGATTACATCTGGAGCTGAAGACTCGGCACATTAAAGGGATCCCAGTGCCATTGCCTCCCTTCACCCAAACCACAAGTGACCCGAGTGACCTGTGGCAGCGGGAGAGAGGAGAGGACACTGAGCATTCAACTCTTTCGGTAAAGTGTTTCTGTGAGGAGGGCACTGGATATGCCAAAATCAAATATAAAAATCCAAGTTCAGGTTTGGGGAGTAGGGCCACATATTGGGGATTGGGTCACAGACCTGCAGCACAGAATAAAACCCTCGCTGGTTGAGATGTCCCATTATATTTGCACAAATGTGGTTCATGGCTGGTCGAAGACTCTCACCTAAACAAAGAAAAAAGTCTGAGACAAGAAAAAAATCTGACCCTACATGAACTGTTTAGGTGGGACAGAAAGCCACACCCCACGTCCGGGGCCCCAGGAAACAAGGCACTTTCTGGCTGGTCTTCCTGCTCCCTGAGGCCTGGGACCGGGGTTCACAGAGACACTGTATGTCCGGGACCCTCTCCCTGCTCGAGTGTCATCCTCAGGTGACGGGGCCCATCATCCCCCAGCCAGAAGTGACGTCCCCAGGCTCTGAGCTCCTGTAGCACCTTTTCTACTTCTCTCCGCCAAGGGCCTGGCACTGTCTACTCTGCACTGCCTCCTCTCTCCAACAAGACCGAAGCTCCCTGGCAGGACCCAGGGCTCACTGTACGTTAAATCCTGCCTGGAACCCAGGATAGCGCCTTAAATAAACCCTCCTCCTGACCCGGGGCCTCTGAATGCTGGCTTCCTCTGCTTTCAGAGCTGTCCCTCCTCTTCACTCTGCGACTCTAACTCTCCCGCCTGCCCCAAGCTCAGACGGCACTCCCCCAGGGAAGCCTGGGCCCTGACAGAGTGAGGCAAGGCTGTCCCTCCCCAACTCAACTCCCACTTCTCTTATGCTCTTCCTTCCGAGCACCAGGACATAGGACACACATGTGACTTGTCTCCCCCACGAGGCTCTCAGGTCTGAGCCAGAGTGGCCATAGAGCAGTGTCTGCACAGCGTGTGGCACAGAGCAGGCTGTTTGCTGAACGGATGGGTGAAGTGGCTGAACAAGCAGCATAAAGCTCAGTACGATATTCGGGGAAGTAGGCAGCTTTACAATGCAAAAGAGAATTATTTGCTGCTGAATGATTCGCCAAATGAAATGACAAGGCTTAATATAAACAAATATTGTCACTGGGTGCCGCAGGAATAACAAAAAATAAGAGGGGTCACAGCTTTAAATTCCCAAAAAGGAGACTATAACATACGATACTGAACACATTCTGGATGCCACAGTGCAACCTGCTGGGCAGGGCGAAGGGCGCCTTTGCCTGTATGGTCTCGGGCCTCCCCTGAGGCTCTCGATGGCAAAACTGCTTCTTAAAAATGTGGAAAGGGCCCTGGCTGGGTAGCTCAGTTGGTTAGAGAATCATCCTGATTTGCCAAGGTTATGGGTTCAATCTCTGGTCAAGGCACATACAAGAATCAACCAAAGAATGCATTAATAAGTGGAACAAATCAACGTCTCTCTCTAAATGAATAAATTAAAAAACTTAAAAAAAAATTAAAGATGAAAAGGTGCCCAAGCTCTGCCCTTAGAAAAGATTTTGAAGCAAGTCCCACAGACCTTTTCCCCGGAAAATTTTCCATGTTGAAGTGTCTGTGAAGGTGACAAGCATCGTGAGGTACAGTGTGACGAGTTTGGAGTCTTGTAAGATTTCAGGCTGGAAACAATGAAGAGAGTAAGGTAAGATATACACCCTCCAGTCCCAGACAGTGAAGCGACATTGTATAACTTGCCTGAGCGTACTTGGCTTGAATAAGTGAGTCAGCGAAACAAGCAAGTATTTTTTCTCTTGGGGAATGACCACTTTTAGGAGTTAAATGACAGGGATTTCGACCCACTAGTCACTGACTACAGAATCTGAAGTACTTCTGGGAATGGAGAACTGAGAATTCTAGGAAATAAGATGTCCAGCGCTGGCTTGCCAGTTTTGTATGCACTGAGGACTACGTGAATGTTCGTACGCACACTGGAGCGACTGAGTGGGATTGCAATTGACCCTAACAGGGACGCTGGGTTCAGGCTGCTGCCATTACCACTTACTGGCTACGTGACCCTGCACAAGTTTCTTAACCTTTGTGCCTCAGTTTCCCCATCTGTTGACCACAGATAATATGGTTGTTGTAAGAATAAACCACTCACGTACATAAAACACTAAGAACAGCACCCCGCACAAAGATAACTCCGTTAACACTGGTATTATCATACATCTTTCACAGGAGTGGGCTGGGGAAAAGGCCCGATTCTTTTCTCCGCTCAGAGACCTTTCAGCACATACTCCTGCAAGGGGGCCTGGAGACCACCCACTTCCAGCTCCTGAGCTCACAGAGAATGAGAGGGCAAGTGACTTGTTCAAGGCCACATGAGAAATCAGCAGCAGAATCAGGACTACATTTAGATCTTCCTGGATCTAGATCTAGTGTTCTTTTCTCTGAATGGGTGTATCTGCATAAACTTGAAGAAATTTTTCTCCAAAGCAGAAGAACTTCTTCTCAAAGAGCAGTCTGCGGTGGTGTGCGAACACGGAGAGTAGACAGGTGAGACGACCACTGCTCTGTGCACAATGGCTTCCTCACCCAGCAGGCCGGCTTGTGGCTTGCTGCTGGGACAAGGCCAGGAGGGCTGGTGAGCAAGGCCTCGAGAGAGATGGCCTCGAAGGGACCCCTGAGACATCTGTGGACCGTTGCTCCTTTGCTCAGCTGCTACCTGAGCCCTTGCAAAGCCTCTGTCCCTGAAACTTCCCCCTCCTTATATGCTAGGTGGACGTGGCTGCTGTTTGCATTTACTCACACCTCTGTCCCCCTTCTCCCAGCACAAAGGTGGGCACAAGACCAGGCTGGACCAGTGGCAGTACCCCATCCCACTCACTACTGTGACCAGTTAAGGGTTGAGACCGGGACCCCACCGGGTCACTGAGGTCTCCCAGATTTTTAACGGGTGGGGAAGTGACCCTTTTCTCTTTGGTCAAGAGAGAATATGAGGCCAGAACTGCTGGCTGCCAGGATCACAGTAGAAGCAGCCAAGGTAACTCCAAAAGGCTCCAGAGATGAGAGAAAAGAATGAGGGGGGAACCCAGCAGCCTCAGCTCTGGTCATCCCCAGCTGCCATGTTACAGAACATACTCTCTGGCAAAAGATTCTCTTTCTTCCTTAGGTTTGGTATATTATTTGCTGTGCTCTTGTTGGATTTCTGCACTTATAAAAGTAGCCTAACTAGGGTAGTAATATAAACGATAAAGTATCCATTACATCAGAAGTATGGGGAGGAAGATGACAGACTCCCCGGCATTGACACTGTGGCAAGCACAGGTCGGTGTTTAAAACACATCAGTGAAAGGAGAGCTGAGACTGATCATGGAATCTAACTCGCTTTCTCCCAGAACAGGGGCTCTGATCATTCTTTCCTGGATTCTCGCTGATAAATCTCCACAGGTGTAACCTAGGAGGGAAGCATCAGGACTCTGAAAACACACACAAAAGGCCCCAGATAGGAAGGACACATTTCCGGTGTTTCACTTTTACCTTGAGCTGCTTAAGAAACTCACAGCAATACCAGAGAATGTCCTTGATCTGTTTAATCCACAAGAGGGTGAGATCCTTGGAAAGAGCCAGGGACACATACCACACCTGCAGGGAGGGCAAAGAGAAATGCCACGGGAGGTTACAGGGGTCAAGCGAGTCTGTTCTGGCTACTGGCATGGGACCAGTCAGCTTGGTTCGGTGCCAGGTAAGGCAGTGAGGATTGATAGACAAACAAGCAGCCAGCAAGACTTATTTATTTTAACACTCAACCCATCCCACTTACTTTGGGTTCATTCTCAGCATCCATACTGCTCAGGATGCAGCGACACAACTTTTCAAATCTCTGCAAAGAGGCAAAATGGGGGTTTTAAGTTCCTGGAGCCGGTGAACAACGGGAAAGCAGCAAGTGTCTGGCGGACGCCTGGCAGAGGCACGCCTGTTATGCCAGAAGACTTACACCTGTGACCATTTTAAATCCCTCCTCACAGACATGGGGACTGAGGGTCAGAGAGGCTAAAGAAAGGTTTTCAAACTGGCAGCTCAGTGGCCTGATGAGCCCTACGTTTGTTTTGGGAACTGGTATATTTCCTATAAAAACCCAGATTGGGGCTCCTTTAGAAAACGAAATTAGTCTGGCAACTTGCACTCCTGTGGACCAGCAGTGATCTCCTGAAGCGGGCTGTTGTTTGCCCTTTTGAGAGATTCATGGACACTGACTTTTGCCTCCGACTGTTGTAGCATCACTTCTTACCTCAAAATGCAAGAGAAAAGGGGAAGCTGGACGCCAGACTACACTGTGGCGACGCCAGTCCTGAATCCACTCTTTAAACGTGGTGTGGTCCTGCGTGGATGCCCCCGTGGCTGTCAACCATAGTTTCTTCCTCTGTAAACAGGGGCCCACTCCCTGAGCCTGTTCGTCCTCACCTACGTGACCGGGTATTCCCGGCCAGCAACCTCCTCCCTCTCCTGCTGGGCTCCGAGCTCTCTAGAGACGAGACCTTGCCCACCCCGTTGCCCTCTGGAGCCCCAGGGCCTAGCAGAGGGTCTGGCACAATGGGAGACTCGGTGATGATGAAGGCATCACCCCGATCAACCAGAGGCATGCCTCAGTGGTACCGTAAGTACCATTACCGGTAACTAGCTGTTTCCTGGAATCGTATTTTCTGGGCCAATTCTAATCCCAAACATATAACCAACATGTTTTGTTTGGTTTGCAGGATTTAAAAGAAATTTGAAATTAACTAGCAATTTTTACAAATTAGAAAACTGAGCATAAAGAAGTCCAGCATCTCCTGAACGAATCAGAGCCCGCCACTGGCTGAAGCCGAGCGGAGGCGTCCCCTTCAGGTGCCCAGACACCATCGAGCCCTCTGATGTCCTCACCGACACTGTGCACTTCCAGCTGTGACAGCTGGTACTACGTGTTGTCTCGTAAACGGCTTCTTTCACTCATTTACCTAACTTGCCTGGCTCCTGTGTGCAGCTGAGTCCACCAGGTGCCATTGTGACACTTGGTGAAAAGAGAACTGTGAGGAGGCCCAGAGGCAGAGGGTGTAAACCCTGCAACACAGGCCCCGAGAAGACAGAAGGGCAGGGTGTGGGAATACCAGGGAGCTGCTAGCTCAGCGAGTTGCTTTACGGACCGAATGACTTCATATTTATAAAACACCTGGCAGACAGTAAGTACAACGTATATTTGCTATTATTATTTTACCTCATTATCCTCTTTAATTCTGAACAAGAACAGCAGTTTCCTGGCAATCTTAAATATACACAGTGCACTTCTTTTACTGGCCCCAGAATCATCTGCTTTAAAAAACTCATCGATCTCTCTCCTAAGGGAGGGAAGGGTAAAAAAAGGACATTTTTAATTAGGAGCTCACAGCAGCTGGAAGGCTTTGTAAGCACCGTAAGAGGAAACACCACCTTTTCTTGCTGTAAACTGGGAGCGAGAGAAAACATGCTGAGGGTGCCAGCTCCCACCTGATTTCTCTCTGCAGTCGACTCCGACAGAGAAAACTCCGGACATGGGCCTGAATCCCGACGGCTGCACGCTCCCGCTCCTTCTGCACAAGCCTCTCCTCGCGAGCCTGACGGGCTCTGTCGATGAACCACGCTCTCGAGGTCTGAGAAACGGTGAACATGTCTGCACACTTGCACAAACCCTGCAAGGAAGATGGCGACTGGTTGGTGCAGATCATTGTAGGAAACACACAAAGTGGCAACGGGTGGGCAGGGATGCGGGCGGCGGCGGCAGAGAGCTGCTCAGGCCTCCAGCACCTTCCAAAGTGCTAATAGCTCTCCTGGCACAAGTCCCAGCTGCTCTTTTCATGCAACTCACCAAAAGCAGAGATTTTTTTTCCCATATTAAATAATCACATTTTCTTAAGAGAAAGAGCACTGCACCCAGCACAGGGTATGGGCTCTCTAACTGTCTAACAAACAAAGCATGACTTGAGGCCTCTGTTCAACTCCGTAACTGTTAAGGAGGAGTTACGTTTATACAGTCCTAAAATTATTTCAGCCCTTTGAAGGCAATGGTGAGTCGGATGTGGCGCCCAGTGACACTGCATTTGACACCCCTGCACTGAACTGAACAGGTTTTGTTTTATGCGTAACTTATTCCATTGTTCTTCTGATCCTACTCTTCAAGGAGCAATGAAGCCTTCAGAGCAGAACTGGTCTGCTCCCACCCACTGACTGGTACTTGTGGGGAGAGGCTCTGAATTACCCATCGCGCACTTTTACCTCAATCACCGGTAACTCTTTTCCCACAGGGATGGCACTGGCTACCAGCCTGGAGCACACAGCGCTGGTCCAGGGAATGTCTGGTGCTGAGATAATCTCTTTAGATGCTTATTGACTTTGTCATTCTATCCAGAAAATATTATCAGTCCAGCTGGCAAAAGCACTGAAATGTTATTCCTAAGTTCGAACTTCTAGAAAAGGATTTCTTTACTAAGTTACTTCGCTCAAAGCAGCAGCACATGGAAACCTCACCCGCAGTAAAAGGCCCATGGGGGCCCCCCCGTGCCAGCACATGGAGGGACCTCTGCGGCTCCTTTCAACACTGCTTCACGCCTGTCGAACACAAGTCTTTGCCAACACGCGCGCCTCTCGTCAGCAGTTCTCAAAACAAATCGACCGAGTCCACCCGACCCCAGGAGGTGGGCGAGAAGACTGCAGACCAACAGGCCTTCTGAATCGCTCCCTCTTCCCACCCGGCAGTGGGCACCCAGAGCGCGCACCTGAGGGCCTGCCTGGGTCGAGGAAGTGCCAAGCGATCATCGGTGGTCTTGCAGGGGACTCACCGCCAGGGGCAGCTTCTCACTTCAGTGGAGCTTCTCTTCTCTGCAGAAGGGGAAGAAAACACCCAGATTTAGGGTAAGAGTTTTTTGTTTTTTAATCCTCACCAACAGATATCATAATTGATTTTTGAGAGAGAAGAAGGGTGATGGGGAGAGAGAAGAAGGGTGATGGGGAGAGAGAACATCAATGTGAGAGAAAAACAGACGGGTCGACTCTTCTATGCGCCCGTCCTCAAACCAAACCTGAGAACTCTGCCCTGAGAACTGACCCTTGACCTTTCAGTGTATGGCAGGATACTCCAACAGGCACGGGCCAAGATGAGGGCTAAGTTTTACAGCTAGGGCACCATACATCTTCCTCCCTGAGTAGAAGTAGTAAATACAGTGCCTCTGGTTTAAACAATAACAACACTGTTCTCTTTAGTTAATGTCTGGTCTAAATGTTAAACTTTATCTCCACAGGCTTCACAGTTTAAGGGAACTGGTTAAAATACAGCTGACCTTGAACATGGGTTTGAACTGCATAGTCCACTTACTTATACATGAACTTTTTTTCAATAAATACTATAAACACATTTCCTCTTCCTTAGGATTTTCTCAACATGTTTTTCTCCAGCTTACTTTATTGTAGGAAGACAGTATATAAAACATGCAAAAATATGTTAATCAACTGTTTCCAGTGAGGTTTCCAGTGAACAAGCAGGCTACCAGTAGTTCAGTCTGGGGGGAATCAAAACCTGTATGTAGATTCTCAACTGCACGAGGGGTGGTCAGTGATGCAACCGGGCCTGTTCAAGGGTCAACTATAATGCCAAAGAAGTTATTGGATTAAAGCTTTGTGATGTGAACAATAACACAGAGGATAGAATGTGAAAAAGCCACTGATAATAATGTTTAACATTTTTAACAATATGGAAAAATGTTCACACCTAAGAAATCCTGTGAACCAATATGACCTCGACTACACAAGAAAGAAAAGCACACATGCACAGAGAGACCCAACACTGGGGGAGAAGCTCCAGCGTGTTAAATGAGTGGCTGCTCCGGGAGAGGGGAGTCGTGGGGAACTGGGCTCTGTAACCGCTCTGTTCTCGAAGTTTCGCACAGAAAGCTGACAGCCAGGCAACATGGCACTGAGAGGCACCTGCCCTCTCTCTGCATTCTGTCTTCCTCTGCTGTGAGCCCTGAGGGTGACCATGAGGCTGAAACAAGCTGACATGAGTCAAGAAGTACCTATGGAGGTGGCCAACCTGGCGCAGTCAGTACGTCTGATGTGTTACTTCTATAGCTACAAAGTTTTTCTTTTTTTTAAACAAGTCTTCAGCAGAAGCTCCTATCTGTCACTAAGGTTCTTGGAATAAGAAGTAATGTCGGGACCCTCACATTCCTCAGATGAGATTTTTTTCCCTGTCCCCAGGTGCACTGAGATTCATCAGTCCTGTCACGTGGGCCACGCACCCCTGGCCCTGTTGAGATTGGCTAGCGGCTTCAGGCTCCTGAACACTGCGAGAGAGCTGGGCCCGTGCCATGAGCAGAGTGGTTTGCTTTTTCCTCAGCACGTAGAGCCCTTCACATGTGGGGGAGGGAGGCGAAGCAGGAGAAGCAGGGGCCTAATCCCAGTGGAAAACAGGAGGCTGCACACACACTGTAAATGCCTGCAGGGCTACAGCAAGTCCTTGGTTCAGATCTTCTGCAGGTTACTGGGGCCAGCACAAAACACAAGTAATGAAATAAATTTTACCACAGGCTAGTTGACATAAACAAGAGTTAAGATCCTACAGCATCCCGTCACTGTTAAAATGAATCAACACTGAATGAAACAAAGTTTTTTGAGGACCTGTTGTATCTCGACATTCACTTCTCCCAGGGGACCACTCAGGACAGGATCTTTTCCTTGAGATTACCCTCCCTGCAGCAATATTACATGTTGGTTTCTGTTTAGCACATACGAGTCTATAGTCTGCAGTTTTCTAATTCTTATACACCTCCTCTACCTGTATTATGTCTACTATAATACAACTCATCAATAAAATAAAACACATCATAAAATATTTAAGTGCTTACTTTGCTAAATACCAGGGAGAATCAGAGAAAAGGCTGTAACAGAAAAAACTTTGGATCAGACAAAATAGCTCTTGGTTCTTTTTAGTTCTGACTCTACCTCGTTTGGCCAAATTACCCTGTTTGGGCCTCGGTTTCCTTATCTGTAAGTTGAGTATAATATTAATAATGTACCTACTTCCTAGGGTTGCCACAAGGATTAAATTAAGAATTAAATGAAAGATTTACCCTTCTTATACCTCAATTTAGTCATCATAACACTGTAATTAGCATTACATGAGAAAATATTAATAAAAGCATCTGGAAGCAAAGAATACATTAGCAAGCTTTACTGTACTGTCCTTAAGCAGCTTACAATCGAGTTTGGGGAAACAACAGGGATAAAGGTGGGAAGATTAGGAAACAAGAGGCTGGAGAAGACCAAGGTCATGTGAAAAGCAAAAGAAAAACATGTTGCTCGAGCACCGACCACGCACCAAGTCCTTTCTAAGCGATCTCTAATAAGAATAGCAACCCTTTGAGATCATTTGGTGTCTCCCATAACCCAAGTTAGACCATTAGTTAGGGTCAGAGCCATGATTTTTATTCGAACAGACAGGACTCAGTCTCTCCTTCATTTAAATATTCCCACAAGACGTGCTCAAAAATCAGTCTTTTCTGGATGGGGCCAACTTCATGGGGAACAATGAAAGAGCAAGAGAATCCAAAGAGTATTGTTCAAAGGTGGAGCAACATGCATACCAACTGCTGACTGAGCCCAGAAGGATTCTTCCTAGGTGATGGGAATAGGTGGGCTGTCAGGTGTAACGACTACCTCCATCTAGGTGTGTGCTACTATCAGTGCCAGTGCCGCCTTCACAGGAAGAAAATGAAATGTAGAGACGGGGACAGGGCTCGTCAGAGGTCACTAGGCTCCTGAATTTGAACTCAAGTCTACCTTCATAGCAATTATTTCCTTGTAAGCGAAACGCATGAGACCCAGAGAGTCCCCCACTCACAGAACAGCAAAGAAAAGCTGAGAAGGTAAGGCTGCCCGTGGAGCTAAGCTACAGTCAAATTTCGAACAAGCTGTTCTTTACTGCTTCACTAAGTCCAGCTGCCTTTATTGACAGCAGAGTGTCTGGCCCGGTATTTAAACTTGCATTAGACGATATTCTCTGTGAAACGAGATAATTACGCCATTTCACAGAGGAGGAAACTGAACCTCAGAGAGGTGAGGCAACTCACCCAAGGTCACACAGCGAGAAAATAGGATTCGAACCCCGGTTTCGGTGACTCCTAAGACCCAGCGTCTTGCCTTGGCACCAAGAGCCACAATAACAAGTCTTTTCTAACCAGCGCTGGTAAGTTTATGAAGGCCCAGAAATGAAAAGAGATGGAAAAGGCTACGGAGAGACACCCTTAAGCGTAAAAGCCAGCGCTGTCACCTGCCCCTCGGACCAGGTGAGGCAGGGACCCGGGCCCAGGGCCACCTCCCTTCAAGTCCCCGGCCCCAACACCCAGTGAATACACAACCCTGGCCCCACTCGCTACCGGTAGGACGTAGACCTTTTCCCGTTCGAGGTCCCAGCGCTCGGGGTCGGAGCCGCAGATACTGTCGCCTCAACCGAATATACCTGAGCGCTGATAGACCCGGGGCAGCGACCAAGACTCCACCGCCATCTTGCCCCGGGTGTTCCTTCTTAGAGATCCGCCGAGCAACAACTATCCAGTTCCGGCCAACGACAGTTCCGCAGAGCTTCTCCGCCCGGGAATGACAACCTTTGAATCTTTTCCTCCTATCTGGAAGCTGAAAACCGGAGCTGAATAAATGCCTGACCTAGAAGAGAAAATATGCAGCCATTCCAGCCAGGCATGTTGGAAGGAAAGCGGCTAATATGTAGGAGTACATCGGACCCTTTAGGAAGGTGCTCTCTGCGGGGCGGAAGTGGGGTATGGGCAGCGGAAGTTTCCGCCCCTGCCCCGCCTCCGCCCCTGGCTCACGCGAGCTGGGTGTTTCCTGCCTGTTTCAGTCCGGGTTTGGAGACTCCGGAGTCCTCCAACTTTTCATGGTAGGGAGGGCGGTTACCACCGACCGGGGCTTCTGGGCGGCCGAGAGAGCAGGGCACAGCCAAAGTAGAAGGGGGAGGGACCGACAGGAGGGGGTGCGATAGTGGCTGTCGCGATAGGGAAGAGGCATTTGGGGGAAAGGATGGGGGCGAGGCCGAGGGTGGGGGAAGGGCATTAGGTGGAGAATTTGAGGGCGCGGGGGGGAACCCTGGCTGTTGGGAATCCAGGAAAGGGCATTTGGGCTTGGAGAGTAGATATGTGTGTGGATGGACGGGGCGGGGGGGGTGTCTGTGAGTCTCGAGTGCTTGTTAGAAATGGGAATTGGTGATTGTGAAAAGAACAAAGAGATGTCACTGAATACCGACATTTTGGGGTGGAAAACTAGGGTTTGGGGAGTTGTGAAAGAGAATGAGTAGGTTAGGAGGGGGCGAAGTGGGATTCCTTGGGACGAAGAGTTTGGGGTTTTTGGAAGTTGTAATAGGTTTCGCTGGGTTTCGGGGAAGTGGGGAGCTGCTTGCCTCCAGGTGCCTCTGGGCACAGGCGAGTTAACGCAAGTGTACAAGACATCGGCCGGCGAGTGTGCGTTCGGTGCTTAGAACTCCCGCGGAAGGATGCTAGGAGCCTGAGGTCAGGGTACCTTCGCCCCGGAGTCCAGCGCCTTATCTGGCCCTGGGTACCTATCTAGGCACTTCTGTTGAGGCCGGAGGTAACCGCACCTAATGAGGTGTGGATGTCTCACAGTCTCCCAGCTGTGAAAAGTTTCTGAGTGTTTGGGTTCCTCAAAAATTTATTCCTTGAACATCTCTTTATCCTTGGATAAGAATGAGCAAAGTTCAGCCCAGACCCTCTTTTTACTTGTCTGCCAGTGTCTCTTCCCTCCAAAGTGCAGCCTTTGAAGGGAGGATCAACCCCAGGGACACTGCTGAAGAAAAAGGAGCCAACCTGTATCTGAGTTTGGTCTGGTCCATTTCGTGTGAAATCAGGACCACCTCAGGGGAAGAAGGCATAAACCAGTGCTTCTCACACTGTGGCCCGCAGACCAGCAGCATCAGATGGAATTTTTTCAGCCAAATTTTCAAGTCCTATGTCTGTTGAATCAGTCTGGGGTGGGGCCCAGCAATCTGTTTTACAAGCCCTGCAGGGGATTAGAGCAATGATTTTTGATTTGGGCTCTATGATGAAAAGGACGAGAGAGTGGGAGTCCGAGGACCTTAATAGTTCTGACTCTTAATTTTCTCCCCTAAAAAGTGGGATTGGTGACAACATTTTCCTCACTAGACTGTTACTTGCCTGCTAAACACAGGAAGAGAATGTTGTTCCACAGGACACTTGAAAATGGCAGTAGCTGTCCTGTAGGTTTTGCATCAAAATAATGCCACACTTAGGTGGCTGATTGCATTTACTGTATTTTGCCGTGTATAATGCACTCCCGAGTATAAGACGTATCCATGGTTTTTGTGCGCAGTATGCACGGGATTATACTGATGGTATGTGGTCATTATGCCCATGTGTAATGCATCTCCTTATTTTTCCCTCAAAAATTTGGGCACAAAGGTGCACACTATACATGGCAGAATCTGGTAGTTTGGTTGCAGTGGGATCACAGGCTTTTGTAGAAATGCCCTCGGTTCAGGGGAAGTTGTATAATTAGCCCCCAGGCAGTGACTCAGATCTAGCTGGTTAAAAAAGCAGCTTTGTGGTTCTCAGCTCTGACCACACATTAGAATCACCTGAGGAGCTTTTTCAGTTTTGTTTATTTTTAGAGAGAAGGGAGAAGGAGGGAGAGAAACATTGATTGATTGCATCTTGCACACCCCCAGCTGGGGGCCTGGCCTAGCAACCCAGGCCTGTGTCCTGACTGGGTATCGAACTGATGACCTTTTGGTCTACAGGCTGGTCCTCAACCCACTGAGCTATGCCAGCTAGGACTGAAGAGCTTTTTTAAACTCTGGTTTCTGAGCTGCCACGCTCCTCCTTTCCCCTCTCCAAATTTGATGCCTTATTCTGGCACAAAGCCCAGGCATTAATACTTTCTAAGCATCTGCAGGTGCTTCCAGTACAGCCAGGGCTGCGATCTCTGGTTTTAGGGAAACCTTGAGGGGCAGAAGGAAAAGTACATTGAGAAAGAACTAGGTGGTGGGTACTTTAGCATCCGTTCCTTGGGGGTTATTATGAGTGTGTGGCTTTATCTTTCTTTTACAAGTGAGGAAGCTGAGGCTGGGTAAAACAACTTGTCTGAGCAGCAAGTAGGAAGTAGTGAAACTGGGCTGTAGTCCAGGTCGACCAAACTCCTGATCAAACCTTCCGCACCGTCTCCCCCAGCACACGCATGAGGGAGGCAGTTCTTCGGAGAGGTGTACTGAAAACATCAGTGGGTGAGGGATGCCGTGCCTTTTCTCCTACTGTACTTGCCTAGGACTCCTTTCAAGTCAGCATTCTTTAAAGAAATTTATTTATTTTTAGAGAGAGGAGAAGGAAGGGAGGAAGAGAGGGAGAGAAACACGTGCCCTGACCAGGACTTGAACCAGCAACTTTTTGGTCCACAAGCTGGTGCTCAACCCATAGAGCCACACCAGCCAGGACTCTAGTCAGCATTTGAACCCCTTCAGCCGACTTTCATTTTGTTAAGCATGCATACAATTGCTTCCTGTTTGTGGCTCTGAAACTGTGAAGCAGGGGTTTTTATTTTTGATGCTTTGTTCTTATTCGTGGTCAGGAATGCGGTGGGTCCGTAGAGCAAAAGGTCCGGAAACTTCTCCAAGGCCACGATGTTAATTATAGCCTAATTAAGGCAGACTGAACTTTTTAGAACAGCGGGTTGCTATCCTAGCTGAACGTTGTAATTACCTGGGGGACTTCTAAAAGTCCTGTTGCCCATGCCGCAACTCCAGACCAGTTACATCAGAATTTCCATGGCTGGGACCCAGGCACAGCATTGTTTTCAGTCCCCAGGGGATTCTAATGGGCAACCAAGGGGAGGGCCACTGTTTAGAATCGGCAACACTATACTGTACAGGGGAGATGGAAAGGAGAGAAGCCTTGACCTAGCCATCCATCTCACTGGAAGAAACTTCTTTTCCTGATTGAATGGAATCCAGTAACCAATACTTCCACTATCAATCATCTCTCTTCCTTTTAACTGATTTTGCTCTCTCCTGTCCTACCTCCCTAACCTCGTGAAAAGTGAAATCAAACCTTGGAACAAGTTAGAAAGCAGGGTGGTTGGGGACTCCTCTGCGGAGAGGTTTGCTGTGAGAGACGTACTGTCTCCTGCTTTGTATCCTCAGCTCACTGTGACCTGGGCTCTGGGACAGGAACAAGAGCCAGAGTCTTTTCTCCTTAGGGCCCCTCCCAGCAATGAAGCGGCCGACCTGTAGAGGAGTGGGCTCCGGAGAGGGTCAGAGCTTGCCTGTTCCGAGTCTCCATCTAGATCAGGCTGCTTTCTGCCTTTATCTCTGGGTAATTCAGTCAGGTGTCAGCAAGACGGGATCAGTCTCCAAAGAGAGGAAAACCTGAGACTCTGAGAGCATTCTCAAGTCGTCATCATTCGCGTGTTCCATGTTGGGGTGTCTGCGCCGAGCCAGGGACTGAGCTGAGTGCTCCGCGGTGTCCCTCACAGCAGGCCTGGAGGCCTGTGCTGCTCTCGTCCCCGTTTGACAGATGGGACTGAGTTCAGGCAGGTGACTCTCCCAGGCTCCCCCAGCTGGTAAATGGTGAGTCTGGGGGCTTAATTCCCCTCTGACTTCCAGACCCAAGCCCATAGCCACACATCGCCTCCCAGCTTTGCAGAGCTTGTTCCGACTTTATAAAGAAGGGGGTGGGCAAAAGAAGGGGGTGTCCCCCACCTCCCGTCCCCCATCAGTTTTTTTGCCATAGCTCCATACAGACCAAGCATGACCACAGACAAAGTCCTGGGCTCAAGGCAGGGCTGGCCCACGCCCTTCGTCTCAAACTCACTTTGGGAAGTGACCAAGTTGTGGGCCGGGATCCAAGCTCACAAAGTGGGAATTGCGATAGCTGTGTTCTGGCGCTGTTGGGGTTTTGAGCGGTTGTGTATGGAGGTAGAAATGAAAGCAGTGGTACCTTCTGTGAGGGAGGGGTCCCCTGGAGCCGCAGAAATGTTCTCTGGGTTGGAGCGGGCGGAGTCTCCGATGCAGATGCAGCCAGTAACTGACACTCACGCAACCGCATACTCCAAATACACATGACCACACAGATTATCTTTTTTTAAAAAATATTTCATTTATCTATTTTTAGAGAGAGGGGAAGGGAAGGAGAAAGAGTGGGAGAGAAACATCAATGTGTGATTGCCTCTCATGTGTCCCCTACTGGGGACCTGGCCTGCAACCCAGGCATGTGCCCTGACTGGGAATCGAACTGGGAACCCTTTGCTTCACAGGCCCACGCTCAATCCACTGAGCTACACCAGCCAGGGCCGCAGATTATCTTTAAAAAGGTACTGGAGAGCCCTGGCTGGCCTGGCTCAGCGGATTGAGCGCGGGCCTGCAAACCACACGATCACGGTTCGATTCCCAGTCAGGGCACATGCCTGGGTTGCAGGCCAGTTCCCAGCAGGGGATGCATGAGAGGCAACCATACGTTGATGTTTCTCTCCTCTCCTTCCTCTGTAAAAGATGAATAAATAAAATTCAAAAAATAAAATAAAAAGGTCCTGGAGAGCAAAAACACATAAATTATACTTCATGGTAGGTGCCTTACAAAATGCTAGACCATGTCCCCAAAACTTATTTTTGGGGGGTAAGTTACTTCTGTCGTCCCATGGACAAGGAGTTTTTCCGGGGAGGGGTTGGTGATGACTGCTAGTGTCTGGTCCCTGGGGACCGATTTCCAAGGGGAGCCAGCAGCGAGGGGGCACCGCCGCCTCTGGCCTCTCTCACGTCTGGCCTCAGGCCACAGACCCAGGCGAGCCGAGCTCAGACACCCTGAGCTTCCGGAAACTCACCTTTCTGTGAGGTTTCTACTGGATGAAGCAGAAACTGTTTCCTGAGGTACCACTTGTCCCTCCAGAGGCCACGCTTTGCCAGGCCGCCAGGCTCTGACGGGAGGCTCCTGTGGGCGATTTCCAGGCCAGTCCTTCGGGGGGACCGAGGTGGAGAGGACCGGCCGCCACCTCTGCTCCGGCTGGTCAAAGGCAGTTCCTTACTCCAGTGAAAAATGACATCTGTGTTTTAACAGCTGTGAGTGTAACCCTGGGTCATTGTGAGAGATCTACAAAAGACAGGCGTGAAGAACTTATTCGTAAAAAACAATTCTTTTGTAATGTCAGCACTTTTTCAGTTTCATGCTGTATCCAGTCCCACAAGGAGCACACCTGTAGTCAGAGTTGTTTATTTCCTTGATGCGTCAAGGGACCGCTGCTGGGCATTGCGGAGGATTGCGACTTGCCTTGAGTGGTTTTGGGAACGGTTTGGGGAATGGGGTTCTGCCCTGTGTTGGATGCTGTTGGGAAGCGGGGCTAGTTCTGGGACGGGGCCTCAGTGGTTCCCGGTTTGAAGGCGGGAAGCATGGAATGGGGCTAAAGCTTTCCTCGGTAAAGCGGCAGCAGGATGTTGGCTAGGATAAGGGGATGCTTGGTGGGTTTTGTGTTTCGGACAGTGTTGCTCTTCTCATCTTTGTTCGGACAATTATGGAGCCGTCTTACTTGTGTCTGATCCATCAGCAGCTGCGGGGCCTTGTCTGTGCCATGGAATCATCCACGTCCGTGTGATGTCAGGCCAGGCCTGGCTTTCTCAGTGCCGTGGCCCAGATTCAGTAAAGGTTCAGCCCACTCTTGGGCATCTTCTCCAGCTATAGAATTCTACTAAGTCAAGAAATGCTTTTCACCCTGGCTGGATGGCTCAGTTTGTTGGATCGTCGTTCAAACCCAGACACCAAAATATTCTGAGTTTGATTCCAGTCGGGGCACATACAAGAGGCAACCAATCTCTGTCTGTCTGTCTGTCTCCCTCTCCCCCCTTCTTTCTTCCTCCTCCTCCTCCTTCTCTCCTTTCTCCCTCTCTCCTTTTCCCTTCCTTCTAAAATCAATAAACATATCTGCTGGTGAGGATTTAAAAAAAGAAAAAGGAAAAAAAAGAAAAGGGGAATGTTTTCTGAGTGCTGAGTGCACAGGTGCCAGGTACCAGTCTGTGCCACGCTGGCTCGGCCCGAGCGCTGCGTTCCTTCCTCGGACGCACCCGAGAGAGCGGGCACCGCTGCGGTGTCGGCGCGAGCCTGCTACCAGATCTTGCCGTTTGGGGCAGTGCTGGTACAGGAAGTCTCTGATTTTGCAATAGCTTGCTTCCAAGAGTTTTTACATCTGCTCTTTGGTTCTCAGAAATACTTCTTTCCTGTAGCAAGTTTTTGGAATGGTAGTTGGAATCTTACCTTCATAAACGCTTATGTGATCTGTCACTCAGCTGCAAGGTGGCACTTTTGGCTGCTCCGTGTGCATGGCAGGAAGGAAAGAGAGGCCTGGTCAGCGCTTCAGGCTGCAGCCAGTGTGTCAGTTTATGTGGGGCGTGGGGGCGTGGAAGTCCCCCTAGCACAAGAGTCAGTGGCAAAGTGGCCCCTGCAGGGTCAGTAGGTGAGGTCAGCGTATGAGGCCATCTGGGCGGGGTTTGGAGCCGATTGGAGAAAACATGCCCCTTGCCAGGGACAGCCTATACCCCAGGTCCCACCAGTTGTTGCCCTGCTGGCCAAGTTGGCCTCTGGTTTTAAGACAAGCCAGAAATCCACATTTTTTGGTGAACTCTTCCCGAGTTGTCAACATTGAAAGTAAAGCTTGTTTTAAAAGCAGTGTACACTTGGACTAAGCCATCTAGAGGCCAGGTTCAGCCCAGTGGCTGTAGGCAGTAAACCGGGCCTGGTGCCATGACCCTGGTGACCCCGTGTCTTCTCCCTGGCAGGAAGAGATGTCAGGAGAAAGTGTGGTGAGCTCAGCGGTGCCAGCAGCTGCTACCCGCACCACTTCCTTCAAGGGCGCAAGCCCCAGCTCCAAGTATGTGAAGCTGAACGTGGGCGGCGCCCTCTACTACACCACCATGCAGACGCTGACCAAGCAGGACACCATGCTGAAAGCCATGTTCAGCGGGCGCATGGAAGTGCTCACCGACAGTGAAGGTACGCCCGCCCTCCAGGCGGAGGGTTGGGGGGGCATGCTGTGGTTGGGGGGGCATGCTGTGGTCAGGGGCCTCACCGAGCTCAGAAGACCACCGCGAAGTGCGCAGCTTTCCCCGCAGCTGCAGACCTCCTGTTGTGCTCAGCGTTGTCATGGTGTGCGGGGAGTCTCGAGAATGAGTAACAGGGAGACTGGGTCTAGTCTGGGCCGTGTGGTCAAGGAGGGCTTCCTGGAGTGAGTGACATTTAAGCTGAGACCTAAAGATGACTAGGAGCCAGCTGGACAGGGACTCACAGTCTTGTCTTTGTTGCTCTTGCCATTCAAAGTCGTTGATTGGCTGTGTAACTCTGAGAAGGTCACCTTCCTGCTCCAGGCCTCAGCTCTGTAAAATGGAGGCTGGACTAGCCACCCTGGTGGGTTCCCATCCTGTTCTCTCCACAGTGAGCCTCTGACCTCACAGTGAAACTCGTGTGAGTCACAGCATTTTCTCTGGTCACTTGCCTCCTAGGATGGGGTTCCAACAAAGAGTCACAGCCCTGGGACTGAGTCACAGCTCCCCATTCAGTAGCTGGTGACCCTGAGCAAAGTGTTTACCCTGTCGATTCTCATTTCCCCGCTGGTGAAGTGGGCACAGTGATCCCTACCTCGTGGGGCTGTTGGCACGTAGTAGGTATTCAGTACGTGTATTTTTGGTACTTCCGCTCCCGCCCCCCTTTTTTTGTGGGAAGTCATGTCAGTAAAAGGCAAAGCAGTATTTAAAGTCATGTTACCATGACTACTTCCTACCCACCTGCAACAAAGACCCCCCAGAGAAAGGGGAGTGCTCTTACTGGCTGGGTTTAGGGGGCAGGTTGCCTGAGGTTTAAAAGTGGCCCCGTCCTGCATTCCTTAGCCTGAGATTGTGTGAGACCAGGCCAGACCATAACCTGGCTTGACCCAGCTGAGCTGCTTCCGAGGCCGGCCTCGGTGCCAAAGCCCCTGCCTCCACGGGGACAGCGGTTCCTGAGAGGGCGGGGGAGTTTTGACACGGGGTGGGCTTGGGGTGACTAAGCCCGGTGTGCACAGTGCATTCTGTGGCCCTAGGAGGGCTGCCCACCACTGGGGTGTTCCTCTCTGCGTCCTGGGGAACGCCAGGCTGCAGGGCTGAAGTTCTGCGTCTTTGGGCTCCCCTTGAACTGGGCTTTCCAGAACCGCATTCTGTCTGACTCAGAAAATAAGAGCTTTCTGTGAGTGGGAGGATCTGCTTTGCTGAGCGACGCCCAGCACCGCCCGGAGTGTTTGTGGAAATCAAGACAATGGCGCCCCAGCTGCAGGAAGAAGCCGGCCTTATCTGAGAGCCCAGGACTACGGGGGCTTTTCTTCTGCCCTGCCCCGCCTCTGGTGGGGCGCAGGAAGAGCAAAGAGGGAGCCCCGTCTCCTTGAAAGCCCTCGCCTTGGTGGCCTAACACTTGTCCCAGGAGAGACAGAGTCCTCGGATGCCCCTGTCCCCAAACGTGGAGTGGCAGCCTGGGCTGCTAAGGCTTCTACATCGCTGCTGGAGGACGTCCTGACCCCTTGCTTCCTGGAACACCCAGCGCTCCGGGGGCGCGGCGCTGTCTGCGACACCTCGAACCTCAGCTGTTTTCGTTTCACTGGGGCTCCAGCTGCATGTACCCCCTTATGAAAAGCCCCCAGTGTGGCATTTAGTGTTGTTTCATTCCTCACCTTAATCTTTGGGGGGTGGGTACCATTCTGTTGTTACAGCTTGAGAAGTGAGAAGTCCACTTCTCATGGGAAATGCTTCTTCAAAAGCTCCTGAACTCAGGACTTGCTGGCCTTTACCATCTGCTCTCTGTGGTCTGATGTGGTCCCACAGCCCTGTCCAGGTCGCCTTAGTGTGGCAGCCTTTGGGTTCAACCGCTGTCTTAGGGCTGCGGCCCTTTAGGCGCCCTGTGAGGGCCTGGGCTGGCAGGCTGGGCATAGGGGCCTCCGGCCTGCACAGCGGTCCCTGTTGGGACACGGCGCAGCCTGACCCAGGGCCCAACTGTTGCCTCCAGAACACCATTGGGTCCACAGTTTGGGGAAACTCCCTGCATCTCGCAGCTTCACCCGGGAAGGCTGGCAGCAGCAGTGAAGTTCGCCACAGACGGGCTGAAACACCAAGTGCAGCTCGACTGGACAAGGGAACCCAGCAGTAGAGCCTTCTGGCTAAAGGACAGGCGGCTCTGAAGGCACGGAATGGAGCGTGTGTTCTGTTGCTAGAAATCTCTAAAGGATGCCTGAGACACCGGTCTCCTCTGGGGCGGGGGCCACGAGCCAAGGGTGCTGGCAGACTGTCTGGTGCCCGCGCCCTTCTGCCTGTCTCAGTTTGGCACCGTGTGTGCGTCATTCCTAAACAGGAGCCCGGGCGTCGGAGAGACGCGGGCCTGGGTCTGAGCCCTGCCGGCGGGTACGGCTGTCCCGCTTGGAGAGGCCTCTGTGAACCCAGAGTTGTGTAGTGCGGACAGACTTGCTGCTCGTGGTGATGGGACAGTGCGCGAGCCAGTTTGTGTCTGAGCCCCTTTTCCTCCTCTGGGAGTTGTGATTTAGGTAATAGTTTCAGATTACAATGGGGATTAAATGAGGAAATTAGAAAGCACTTGATAGAGGGCCCGTCACCTTGGGACACTTGACAAGTGGGAAGTGTTCGTTGTGGCTTTAGTCCTGCCTGGGGTGGGGTGGGGTGGGGTGCGGAGGTGGGGGGCAAGGACTGGGAGGAGCGGGGGTAAAGCTGGTCTTAGCAGCATGTAGGGGAGCAATGGTCACCCTGGCCTTGAGGAGGGTGTGAGCTGCAGTCCCACGGTGCCCCATGGGGGTGGCTTTCTTGAGAAGCTGAGGACACTGTGGCAACAAGCTGGCCGCCGCCAGACTCCTTCCCAGAAAGGCTCCGCTCTCACCAAGCTCGGGCTTTTACCTGCGCTCTCATCAGCGTCTCCATCGGCCATGGTCTCTGGGTCGCTTTTCTGAATGAGAGTCCTGTGTCGCTCTCACCTGTGCTGCCCGCGTCAACTCTCCTGCTTGGTGCAGCACTTCCCCCAAAACTGTCTCCAGGCTCTTGCTAATGTTGGCATGAGGGGGTGTGTAAGCTAGATAGAAGAAGCTAGATGGAATCGTTAACCTTACTGGCCCATGTTCCCCAGAACACCAGTGGGGCCGTCAGGGCGCTCTGACAACTGCAGTACACAGGGGGGTTCCCCGAGATCTCCAGGCCGCCTGCCTTTTATGCAGTTCTGAAATATGCAGATAGCTTTAGAATTTGGATAATGTAACAAACTGCCCTGCGCCCCACTCAGACAAGGAATACAGTGTTACCTGGGCTGCTAGGGCCCCTCTGTCCCCTCTCTGTTTGCCCCTCTCCCTGCCGCAGGCGACCACGGGCCTGACTCCCGGTCTGGAGGCAGTGTTTCAGCCCTGGTGGCACAGGGTCCGGCCCCTGGGGAGGCTGGGGGGGGCGCTGGGGCGTGAGGGCTCTCCGGGGGGTTCTGACGTGTTCCGTGAGGCGGGCCTGTGCTGCTGTGGATCTCCCTCTTCACACCGATTTCCCGGGTCCTGCAGATCCTGGGGTGCTGTGCTGTCCTTTCCGTGGTCTCAAGGTACCTCTGGTCACTTCCTCAATCTCATTGTTACCCCATTCTTTATTTAGTAATATAGTATTTAGTCTCCATGTATTTCTGTGTTTCTCAGTTCTTTTCTTGAAACCGATTTCTATTTTTTATACCATTGTGGTCAGAGAAAATGCTTCCTATGATTTCATTCTCTTTAAATTTATTGTGACTCGTTTTGTGGCCTAGTGTGGTGTGTCCTGGAACATGTTCCGTGTGCACTTAAGAAGAACGTATCGTCGACCGCTCTGGGGTGACATATTCTGAAAATAGCACTTAGGTCCTTGTGATCTAGTGTGTCACCGGAGGCCTTTTTCCTTGTCGATGTTCTGTCGGTGGGTGTGCAAGTCCCCCGACAACTGTGTCCCTGTTGATCCCTTTGTGCTCATCGGTGTTTGCTTTGTACATTAGGGTGGCCAAAACGTCCACGTGGCTCTTTCCATAAAATAAAAGACAGATTTGTAATTTTCACCCATCACTTTATTGGTTTGCATATCTCCTGCGTGACAGAATGTTGATGGTTCTCAGTTAATATCTTGATCTAATAACTATCAACTTCAACTGGCCAAACCGACCATGGAGCATCTTCCAGCGGAAAATCTCCAGTACAAGACGTCACACCACTTCTGACACCTTCGCTCAGTCACAGCACCTTCTCCACACACTGCACAAATCTGCTGTTTCGCGTTTCAGTTGCATTTTCACCTTTTTGAAATAATGAAGCATAATATGCCAAAAATGTTGCATGTTTCCTTCCACCTTCCATATTAAAATGGCGGCACAAAAATTTGCCAGTTTTGATAAGGTTTTTTAAAAAATGCACGCTGATGTGACAGCTGCCAGGGTACAATTTAACAAGACGGTTTCCAACGAAGGTAAAGACCACTGAGCGCTGCGGGAACCGTGGTCCTGCGGAAACATCTAGTGAACGTGCCCACCAGCCCCGTGCTTAGGGGCGTCCCTGCACTGGGTTCGTAAATGTCCACGGGGCTCTGGTCCTTCTGTCGGGTCGACCCCCTTCTCAGTACGTAGTGTCCTCTGTGTTTCTCATTGCCGCCTTTGTTTTAAAGTGCATTCGTCTGGTATAAGAGATGCTACCCAGCTTTTTTTTTTTTTTTAACTTGCATTTTCATGAAATATCATTTTCGTCCCTGTTCTTGCAGTCTGTGTTTGTCCTTTGGTCTGAAACGGGTCGCTTGTAGACAGCGTGTATGAGTATGTGAGTCTCCTTTTCTTGTCCATTTACCTGTCCTGTGTCTTTTCATTAGAACATTAACCCATTTTCACTTAAAATGATTATTGATAGGTACATTTTTATTGCCATCTTATATTCATATTTATATATATTTTCCAAATAAGTCCTTTTACAGTGGTTGTCTTGTAACACTGGTTTGGTGGTAATGAACTCCTTTAGTTTTTTTCCTTAACTGAGAAGTTTTTCTCCTTCAATTGTAAATGGCGGCCTTGGTGGGAAGAAGAGCCTTGGTTGTAGGTCCTCACTTTTTTCATCACTTTGAATATTTCGTGCCAATCCCTTCTGGCCTGAAGTGTTTCTGATGAGTCAGCTGACAGTCTTGTGAGCGCTCCCTGTGGGCAGCTGTCTTTTTCTCTTGCTACTTTGAAGATTCTCTGTCTTTAACCTTTGCCATTTTACTGATGGTGTGTCTTGGTGTGGGCCTGTTCCTTTTCATCTTGTGTGGGACTCTGCACGTCCTGGACTTGTGTGCCTTTTTTCATCACCAGATTATTGCAGTTTTTAGTCATTAATTCTTCAAATAGATTCTCAATCTCTTGCTTTCTCCCTTCTTCTGGTACCCAGAGGTCCCTTAAATTATCCTCTTTTTTTTTTCAATTTTTTTTCTTTTTGCTGCTGTGATTGGGTGTTTTCTGCTACCTTGTTTCCCAAATTGCTGATTCGGTCCTCCGCTTCCTCTAATCCACTGTTGCTTCCTTCTGGTGTATTCTTCATTTCAGATACTGTATTCTTCTTTTTTGACTTTTTAAAAATGGTTTTTGTTTTTTTTTTTATGCTTACTCTCTTTTTGTTGAAGTTATCACTGAGTTCATTTTTTCCTCTGAGTTTCTTGCACATCCTTTTAACTGCTGTTTTCAAACCTGTGTCTGGGAGACTGCTTACCTCCATTTACTTCTTTGTCTGGGGCTTTCTCCTGTCGTTCCCATTGGCTGCCTCTGTTGGTTTCTGTGCAACCTGCTATGTTTTCCATGTGGGTGTATTTTTAAACATTATATAAATGGTGTTACATTGTTTGTAACCTTTCCGCTTTTGCTTTACTTAGTATCTTGCTGGTAAGATCAAGCCATTAATAAATAGTTCTACTTCAAACAGTCCTCTGACCCAGAATGTTCCATTCTAGGAAGATACTGCCGACTTTGCATTCATGTTCTGTTGATGGTGTTCACCGATAAGAGCATTAATCATTCTGGAAAACACCCTGGCGTGTGTGTTTCCCTAGGGCAGTGCGTCTCAGCCTTGATCACCTGCGGCACACCCAGAAAATCACATTTTCACTTTGGCAAAGGCAGGCCTCGGACTCTGCAGCCCCTGCCTGGTTGCCTCCGGCTGCAGCGTTAGGTCTCACAGGCCGTTGGGAGCTCAGTCCCGGAGTTTCTTCCCAGGAGAGGGGTTGGGGAAACATCTTCAGCTCAATTGGATATTAACAGTTGTGGCAATTTGCAGTCCCCACAGAGGCACTGCCACGCCTCGTCATTGTTGCCAGTTTGGTGGTTGCCAGTGGTACTCTGTCATTTTAGGAAACATTTCCTTGTTTCCAGTGGGTTGAGCATCTTTTTGCATTCGAGTTTCATCGCATAGCTGCCTGGCTGCATCTGACTTAGGCGTTTTCCCATTTTTGCTTTGTAGAAAGAAGTGTCTATTTTGGATTTTATTCTTTCATGCTTTTGTGTCATTAACATAAACAGCATAAGTTTGACTTGTTACAGCTTTATTAATAATGGTGCCTCGGTGTTTACATCGTCTTTTGTTGTTTTTTTATTTTGGTCTCCTAGCTACCTCGGTGGTGTTCACCCAGAGATGGCATGGATCCCCAGGGGACATTTCTGGTTGTCACAGTTTGGGGGCGGGAGAGCCATTGGCATCCAGTGGGTAGGGGCCAGGGGTGTTGGTGAATACCCTACAATGTGCAGGAGAGTCCCTTCATAACAAAGATGTGTCTAACCCAAAATGTCAGTAATGCCGAGGCTTAGAAATCCCGCCCTAGAGATTCTGATTCAGGAACAAAGCCGCTTCCTAGTATCTGAATTTGTAACACGTACCTCAGATGACTTAGCATCAGGCAAGTTTGGGAGCCCCAAAAATGCAGAGTGCAAACACCTCCGTATGGCGAGGAGAGGCCAGTGGTGGCTCCCTGTAGGAAGAGGGGGAGGAAAAGGAGGGAGAGGAAGTACCGGGTGTGCTGGTGGGTTGGAGAGAAGGCAAGCCCGGTGGCCCAGTCCCTCAGACCCTGCGAGCAGCCTCCAAGGTGCCTGCAAGTCACACAGATTCCCTCCCGGGGGCTGGGATGTGTCTCCTTGGGATGCTGCCGCGGCTTTCTTCTCAAGCAGAGTTGATGAAATGTGCAAAGGGTTCACTGTCAAAGACCTAATTTGAGTTCCACGGACAGACTCAGCATTGTGCTGCAGCTACTTCCTGTGATCCTCTCACTGTACCTTTAGCCGGCCCTGGGAGGCACCATCTTTAGAAGAGGGAAGTGCCGGACACAGGTTAAGTGAAAGACAAACGTCATCCAGCAGGTACGCAGAGCTGGGTTTCCAGCGCGGGCCCACGCTCTCAACCCCTGCGCCGTGCTATGTCCCGCACTGTCCCTGAGCCTCTGGTCTGCACTCTGCCTGTTCTCTCCAGCCTTGTCAAAGGGACCCCCCCCGGCACCCGTCCCACTGCCCTGACGTGTACAGCTTTTCTAAACAAGCTCCGTGGCGGCAGGAAAGACGCCCCACGGGCTCAACTTCACCTGCTTTTCTATATGCAAAGCTGCTTCAAAGGGATCGATTCCTGCTTTGAAAGCAACTGAAATACTTTAAAGTCTGTGTGCTAATTGAAACCTCATGGAAAGTTCGCCTGGCTCCTTTGCCCTTATTTGTCCAAAGCATGATTCCTGCGCCACAAGCATTTCCTGGCGGCATTCTTGAGCTGGAGCCAGTGTCACGGCCCGCCCGCTCGGGTATGGAAACTCAGCGAGAGCCAGGGTCGTTGAGATCCCTCGAGTGAGTGAGTTGGCGGGCCCCCGCTCCCTCCGGGCAGCTGAGCGGCCTGTGCATCAGAGACAGAACGTGGACGTTTTCCTCCCGGAGCAGCTGTGTGGAGACGGGGGCTTCTCTCGTCTCTTCTCCAGTCTCTCCTCCTCCGTGAAAGCAGTTCTCTTAAGTTTCTTCCTGCGCTTTGTGGTCTGGCTCTGCCTTCCCGACTCGGGAACGTCGCCGAACCTCTCTGAGCCTCTGCGTCTGTCTGTGGAAACCGCAGTGGGCGAGACCCCCCACAGAGGACGGGTGGGTAGGTAATGCTGCCCTCCCACACCTTGTTAGCTGTGGGAGGGACGGCACGAGGCCCAGGGCCACACAGGGGCTGCGGCTGGTGGTCCGCCAGCCAGCCCGGTGCAGCCCGCAGCTGTGCCCTGGTTGCCCCGGAGTGGGCTCAGGACAGGTTCTTAAAAAATTAGTTCACCATTCTTTAAAAACCAGGAGATTGCACAAAAGTTTACATTTTTGCCTTTGTTTGGAGCATCAGAGGCTCCCGCAGCCCCACACCCACGTTTCTGTCTGGCCGCTCTGGGCTGGAGCGGGAAGACCCTTCCCCAGCACCCCGGCCCACTCGAGGCCCCGTAGGCATCTGAGCTACATAACGGACACCAAGTCCATGCTTTGTTGTCTCGGTTGTAGGAAGAAGCGGTGGGACGGTGTCCAGCAGACACTGTCAGGGCCTTGGAATATACCTGTCCTTCCTCCGAGCCAGGGTTCGACTGCAGGCTGCAGGTCTGCATTGCGTCTGCCCTTGTGGGGGCTGATTCTCCCACTTAGGAGGCCAGAGCAAAGTAGAAGGCTCAGGAGAGACGAGACCCAGGCCCAGGAAGCTTGGGCCGAGGGGTGGTGTCAGGACGGGTGTGTGGAGATGGCCGGCTTAGCAACCCCCCTGGCGATCCTTGCAGAGAGTACCCACTAGCCCACTGAAACCACGGAGGGTTTCGGCAGGGCCGGGTCGGGGGCACGGAGGGTGCCGTCTCCTCCCCCAGACACCTGCCTTTCAGGAGAGGAATTCTGAAGGCCCGCTGCGTCCCTGGCGGACTTCTGGCAGGCAGCGCTGCGGTGGAGAGGGCACCGAGCAGCGGAAAGGCTCGTCTCCCTGGCCCTGCCCCTGAGAATTTCTTCCCGTGCCTGGTTCTGGGCAGCGGGGTTTCCCTATTTCATAAAAGCAAGTTCATTTCTCTGCTCGAGGGCCAGGCCCATCTTCCCGATCGCATCTCCGTCACCGTTTTGTCTCCAGCCGGTCGCTGTCCCTAGCCAGCTAGTGCACGTTTGAGGGGTTGGGGTGAACTTTCCCGTGGTGGTGCTGGTGTTTAAAGGTCACACTCAGGACCCAGAGGTGAAAGTCTGTGGGAGGAGCCTTCTGCTTCCTTAGAAATGGCTGTGACTTCAAAGTCTGAAAACGTCTTGAAGAAAGAGGGGGTACGTAGTTTTCCTCCAGAGGCCTCTTCCTGTCGTCAGGGTCATTTGGGTGCATTTTATCCAGTGGTGGCAGTCTGGGCTGCTCTTGGGACGGTCTCGTCCAAGGGATTTTCGAGGGCACTTTACATACATGCTTTAGGCCTCGGGGGGCCACGGTGTCCAAAGAGCCTGAGACCAGGGAATGTGGGGTGCAGTGGCTTCCAGCCGCAGCGTCTGGAGGCTGTGACAGCGCTGCCTAGGCCGGGCCTGGTCGGCCCTTTGCTGGTGACTCTGTGTGGTCCCCCTCTCCGCGGGGGTGGGGAGACAGGAGCCACCCGGTTCTCCTCGGGGCCTTTTGAGAGAGGCGTGCCCCTGTGACGAGCCCTCCCCGCCTCCCCCCTCCGCTGCAGGCTGGATCCTCATTGACCGCTGCGGGAAGCACTTCGGTACGATACTCAACTACCTTCGTGACGGGGCCGTCCCCTTGCCCGAGAGCCGCCGGGAGATCGAGGAGCTGCTCGCAGAAGCCAAGTACTACCTGGTCCAGGGCCTGGTGGAAGAGTGCCAGGCAGCCCTGCAAGTAGGCACCACCTGCTCTCTCCCCCCCCCTCCCCCTCGGCGCCTCTGCAAGTGGGGGCGCTTCCCACCTCCCGGCCCCTCCTGAGGCTGAACGAGCTAACCCTGGAGCCTCTCCCCTGTGGTCACAGTGACCCCAGAGGGGCTTTTCTGTCCTGTTTAAGCCGCCTGCCTCCTTTCTGGCTGACTTCAGTCTCCATGGTGTTGGGTCACCGCACGTGTGGAGTGAGACCTTTGGTACTGGACCATGGGTCACCACAGAGCAACAGTTTCCTGAATGCATTGTGGGGCTCACTCGCACCCCACGAGTCGCCACTGGGAGCCTAGTGTGACCTCTGTAGACGCAGACACCCCTCCCCCCTCAGCTGGAGCTGGGGCAGGAACACCAGGGTCCAGTCTCATGGCACCAAATCCCTATAAAACCAAAACGCTTCTAGACATAGCCAGTGGCCGTCGACATCGGAGCTCCGGCATGGCCGAGGGTCACAGGAGTCCCTTTGGGTCATCACAGGAGTTGGCTCTGTGTACCTGAAGCTCTTACTGGGGCCTCTCTCAAGCCACATGTCTGTCTGCCCCTGGGCTGGAGCAGTACCCACAATGCCTGGCTCCTCAGGGAACTCTGCACACTCTCCCCTGAGAGTCTGTGAACTGGCCGTCCGTCTGACCCAGTGTCGTGGCCTTTACTGCAGTGTTTTCATTTCACGTGTATGTTCAGGAAACACGTACCTCAGTGAAGAAGTCGTGTGTAACGGTATCATCGAACACACCACTGAGTGCCTCTCCTCCTCACCCGCTGCGCCCAGGCAGCCTCTTCTGCTGTCTCAGCATTTCTCTCGTATTATTACACTGCTCTCTACTGACACATCCGTCTTCTACGTTACCTACGGGGTTACTGTAGAACATTTACACTTTAGCTCTGCGCTCCACTCCCCGGCCACGACCAGACTCACACCTCTCTCCTCTCCTGTTCTCTCAACATAGGTTAACACAAGTTTGGTTTGCATTGGGATGTGAACCACTGAGCCACAGAGTACACAGGGACCCCTCCCTCCCTCCCTCCTTCCCTCCTTCCCTCATGATTTTGTTTAGTTATTTTTAGGAGAAAGGGAGGGAGACAGAGAGGGAGAGAAACATCAGTCCATTGCCTTTCACACACCCCCAGCTGGGGATCTGGCCTGCAGACCAGGCATGTGCCCTGACTGGGCATCAAACCGGTGACCTTTCGGTTCCCAGGATGACGTCCAGCCCTCTGAACCACACCAGCCAGGGCATCTGTTTGCTTTCTCTCGTAACTTTTCAGTTTGCCAGAATTTGGGATTGCTTCATTGTTTTGTTTGCTTGGTTTTCTAATACACGTCCCTACTACGTCCCTAATCTTACGCCCCTGTTGGTGGGACCGGACACGTCAGTGGCTCCGTGATTCGTCTCTTGGAGACGTAGCCTTTGGGTTGCCTCCCTGTGGTTTCCAATACTCTGAGGCTCAGCTTCCAGGACTGACCTCCTCCCAGTTTCCATCGCTTTTTTCCTTCCCGTCCCAGTTTCTCAGAGGTTTGTTATTCTTTCCCCTCAGTTTTATCTTTTCAGCCCTCAGTCACTGAGTTTTCTGCTTCTGCTCTCACTTCCCAGAGCCTCTCTTCGCTCTCCGAGGGCCCTTCCCGTAGAGCGGGCCGGTCCCGTCCCAAAGGCCGCGGCGTCTGCCCTCGGGCCTGCCTGATGCTGCGCTGCCGGTCTCCGACGTCCTCTCTCCGCTGCCCTCGCTGTGTGACCCTGTCTCCTGCTTTCTCTCTCTCCGTGTGGTCTCAGTTTTGGAGGCTTTCCACGTATCATCCGATGACCGCAGCTTGTTGAAATTAGAGTGAGGCTCTGAAAAGCTGTTTGTGGGTGGTCCTTGCCCTCCGGTGGGCTTCAGTGGCGAATGACAGGCTGAAAGGGGGTCCCGCTGGGGGGTCTCTCTGGCGCTTCTGCCACCCAGCAGGTGACCCTCTCTTTTCGCCCTGTGCCTGTCTGCCCTGGGGGCTGTGCTTTGAAAATCTCCAGGTTTCTTTCCCATCTGCTGGCTTAGGTCCCAGCTTTCTCCTCCACCTTGGCTGACACTCATCTTCCACCTCTTCTCCAGCCTCCAATTTCTTAGTATCTTTCGTCTCTGACTTCACATCTCTCGTCCTTTTTTTTTTTTTTTTGCCCTCATGGGCTTATATTTTTCTATTTTTCTTAGTCATCACCGCGGGGTTTGGAGCCTTGATGCAGTCTCATTTCATCTGCCACATTTAGGGTCTATTTCTTTCTTTCTTTCTTTCTTTTTTTTTTAAGATTTTATTTATTTATCTTTAAAGGGGAAAGGAAGGAGAGAGGGAGAGAAACATCAATGTATGGTTGCCTTTCGTGCGTCCCCTGCTGGGAACTGGCCTGCAGGGAACTGGCCTGCAACCCCAGTATGTGCCCTGACTGGGAATCAAACCGCGATTGTCTGGTTCGCAGGCCCGCGGGCAATCCACCGAGCTACACCAGTCAGGGCTTTAGGGTCTATTTCTGAGTGGCTCCCCAGGCTGTGGAAATGTGTCCCCATTGTTGGTATTTACTGAGCGCCTGGCACATCGGGGGGCTCAACTCCTGGTCGTCCCCCCATGCTAATTCGCCGGTGGTGAGGGTCTTCCCTGCCCACCTGCCCTCATCAGGGCCTGTCCTTGCCCCGCAGGCCAGTTTAAATAATCCATCCAGCGCGGGGCACGCCTCCTAGGCTGAAAGCATGTTTTGTTCCAGCAGAACAAAGATGCTTATGAGCCTTTCTGCAAAGTTCCTGTTATCACCTCATCCAAAGAAGAACAGAAACTTATAGCGACGTCAAATAAGGTATGTTGGAGGCAGGCGTGTGGCATACTTTCTGCAGTCAGAGATGGAAGAGGTCCTTCTGAGTGAGCTTTGAAGTGGAAACCCGAGGAAGACCTGAGGGGGGGTTAAGGGGGAACCCATGACTCATGTCATGTCCCTGCTGTGGGGTCAGGCCATCTCTGTCTGGAGCCCCACCCCAGCCGGCAGGCTGTGCCATCTGCTCGTTGGGCCTGGGGCAGGCCCCGCCCCGTGGGAAGCCAGCAGCTCACTGCGTCTGCACTCCCAGTAAACCCTCTTCTTTTTCCGAAATAACCCACAGCCAGCCGTGAAGTTGCTCTACAACAGAAGTAACAACAAATACTCCTACACCAGGTAAGGCAGCAGCTGGAAAAGACACCAGCGCTTGCTAAGAAAGCCTCCCGCCCCACCAGCCAGGCCGGCTCCCCTCCTTCCCTTCAGATGAGGGTGGCCCCCTGCCCCCCGATCACGCCCATGCGGGTGGGCGGGAAGAAAGGCAGGTGACAGATGGGAGATGTAATCCACACGCACCGTGAGATTCGCCCTTGTCGAGTATAGGACTCAGTAGTTTTCAGAGTTGTGCAGCCATCGCCAAGCTTTTGAATGTTCTGCCATCTCCGAAAAAGCCCCATGTCCATCAGCAGTCGGTCCTCATTCCCCCCACCCCAGCCCTCGGCAACCACCGTGTGCTTTCCATCTCTCTGGATTCGCATGCACCGACAGTTCACGTGAGTTAATCAGGCAGTGTGTGGCCCTCTGTGCCTGGCTTCTCTCACTCAGTGCAGCGTTTCCAAGGTGTACCCTGTCGTAGCCTGGGTCAGAGTTTGATTCTTTTGTTACCCCTGAATAACACTCCATTGCATGCATACACCAAATCTTTTTTATCCATCCACCAGCTGACGGACAGTTAGGGTTGCTTCCCTTTTGTGGCCGTCGTGAACCATGCTGCTGTGCATATCCACGTACCTGGTCGTGTGTGGACCTGGTTTTATTTCTTGCGGATGCACACCTGGGGATGGAAGTGCCGAGTCCCGTGTCACCTTAGCTTCAGTCACCCGGGGAACTGCCCAGCTGTTTTCCATACTGGCTGCACCAGTTTACATTTCCACCGGCAATATTTGCTGATTTGTGGAATGCCTTGTGACTCTTGGGAATTTTTGGCTCTTAAGTCAGGAATCTGAGGGATGTAGGGAGACTTGGTAAGATTACTGAAGACCTATAATCTGACCAGGATAAAAATTCCCCCTCTGGCAGTTCCCTTCTGCTGCTTCTGTGGCTTGTGGGGCTCTCCTATCCCCGCCTGGAGCCCTGCCCCACAGGCCCCGTGTCCCCAGCCTTCCGTCTCTGGCTGGTGCACCACAGAGCAGCTGCGCCAGCACACTGGTTTGGGGACGCCGGCTGAGCAGCTAGAGCGGTCTGGTTTGTGGTCTTAGCTCTGCCATTTTTTTGGGGGGAGGGGGCTCAGGCGGTTACCCGATTGCTCCAACCTTCACGTTCCCTCTCTGAGCAATGGGGACCGTGTGGGGTTGGGATGCGACAGTGCAGGTGACGGGCTGGCACGTGGAAACAGTCCGTGGGGACAGTTGTTACTGGCTTGTGGTCACCTTATCAAATGCTCTCTTGCAGCAACTCCGACGACAATATGTTGAAAAACATTGAACTTTTTGACAAGCTCTCTCTGCGCTTTAACGGAAGGGTCCTGTTCATAAAGGACGTCATTGGGGACGAGATCTGCTGCTGGTCCTTCTACGGCCAGGGCCGGAAGATCGCCGAAGTCTGCTGCACCTCCATCGTCTACGCCACAGAGAAGAAACAGACCAAGGTGAGGGCTTCGAGGGGACGCTCTGGGTGGCCAGTCTGACATTTGTACTCGTGTAGCTTCCGTTACCTTTCGGGTCCTGGTAAGGTCCCGATCTTAGCAGGTCTCAGAGAGCCAGAGTGGCGTTCCCCTGGTGGTGCCCGGCCAGGAGAGGCAGTCACACTGCATCTCAGCTCCTCGGCCCCAAATGCTGGCTCAGGTGTGGCCTCGCATCCGCATGCAGCCGACTGCCCGCATCTCCCTGCCTGCAGTGATCTAATGCCCCCTTGTGTACTTCCGTGCCGCCATGCAACTGTTTTCCACCAGCATGGCCGTCCCGGGACAGTGCTGCCTTCAGGATCCTGACCTTGGCTTTCTAGTCATGGCCTGTCACTGCCATCTGACCACCCTCGTCGTACCCACTGACCTGGAGTGACCCTCCCACCCTTGTTGGCGTCCTTCCAAGCACATGACTCCTTGAGTGACCTGGGTTCTGTGGGTCCAAACCAATACACTTGACCTCTCCCTCTGCTCTGTCTCTGCCATTCCATGAAGCTCAGTCATGCTGTAAAGTGCTATTATGGACCCAGTCCCCTGTCATTGGAACTGCACTGCCATTAGATTTTCTGCTTGCTCCCTCTCCCGGGGCCTAAAGGGAGCCCCAGGGGCCTGATTTGCCCTGGGCTGCGGTACAGGCGGTAGGCTGTGTTTGGTGCTAACTTACCTGCCCTGTATTTCGGTGGGGGATGCAGGTGGAGTTCCCTGAAGCTCGGATTTATGAGGAGACCCTGAACATCCTGCTGTACGAGGCCCAGGACGGGCGGGGACCTGACAATGCGCTCCTGGAGGCCACAGGCGGTGCGGCAGGGCGCTCCCACCACCTGGACGAAGATGAGGAGCGGGAGCGGGAGCGCATCGAGCGCGTGCGGCGGATCCACATCAAGCGGCCTGACGACCGCGCCCACCTGCACCAGTGAGCAGGCAGCCGGCGCACCCCCCTCCCGCCATCCTCCCCCCTGCTCTACACTCAGAGCCTGTGCGGGCTCCGGGCGCCTTCCACTCCCCCCTGGAGTCTAGAGATACTTTTGTAATAGCCAGATGATTATTTTGATACTTTTCGACAAGGTGAATTGGTTTTTACCCAGGTGGATGCTCCCCTGCTGCTGACAAGCTGTGTCCCAGGGTCCTGCTCTGTGTGGGAGCCTTGGAGCTGGGCTCTCAAAGGAAAAGTGCGAATGAGTGTGAAGTGTACGTGAGAACTTCTGTTTGCAGTATTTATTTTTGTGGATGTTGACTACCTGTTTGAGCTTCTTGGGTTCGGTTGACAGCTGTGAGAGGGATCCTGCGGCTGCTGGCCACCAGGGGCGTCGTCAGGTTGCGTCTTTCACGTCCTCCCGCCTGGCGCACTGCCCCCGAGTCCCGTGCACTGCGCCGGGCTCAGGTTCCAGACTGGCTTTGCTCGAAGTCCGTCCCGCAGCAGGATTTCGTGCCCAGAGCTTGCTGGTGAATAACTGCAGCCGTGCGGACGGGACCTGGTGTGCTTTGTGCCTCCACACTGTTGTCCCTGTGTAGCTCCGGGTGCCTGGCTCTGTGTGAGGGGCAAGCCTGTGGCGGCCTCGGCTGGTCTGTGCTCTGGCGCTCGGTGGGCCCCCACGCATCTGGCGGAGGACAGAGCTGTCCCTGGGGGTGAGTGCTCAGCTCCATGCCTGGCTCCTCCCCCTTCCGACTGCTCTCCTTGCAGACTCACTGCATTCCAGGAAGGCCCTCTGGCCTGGCTACCAGCATAGCTGACCAGCCGAGGGACCCATTTTCCCTCAGCCTCCTTCCCTGTCAAGCTGAGCTCAGTGCTGCAAGGAGATGTCCTGCCCTTTGCTCAGAAACTCAGGGTGGCCCTGCCACTCCCACCAGCAGCCTCAGGGCAGTGTGCCTGCTGTAAACGGAGCCGGCACCTGGCAATTGATTACCTTTTGGTCTTTGCCTCTGACTTGGACACAGCACGGGGTGGCCACCAGTGAGAGGCTGTGCAGATCCCTTCGGGTCCAGTTAGTGTTGGTGTTCAGGTGTTTAAGGGACGTGTGTGAATGTGACGGGGATGTGTGCTCGTGGGGAGCTCGCTGGTGCTCGGCGGGGTGGGCGTTCTCGGTTACCTACCTCCCAGTCTCCTCTGCGCCTGTCACGGGACAGGAATGAGTTGTGACGAACACGCGAGGGTGAGACTAGACTCGGTAGAGTAGTTACAAGGTGAGGGAATGTGTACGTGGTGGTGGATGGACCGTGCCTGCTTTCCAAGGGAGGTGTTACTGTTCATACCAAAGGTATTAATACGGGCAGCCGCCAACACAGTGTATTCCAAAAAAACGAGTTTATATTTTGAAATGGTTTTTACAGCTTCGACTGTGTTCGTTCTGCCCTCCTCGAGACAGCTGTATGCCTTTATTTTTGTACCCAGCAGCAAAGCCTCCAATAACCTTTAAAACAATCGTGACGGAACCCAAAGTGGGCAGGTGCCTTTAAACTGCTCTGTGGGGAACCTTCACGTGCGGCCACTTGGGTTTTCCTACCTGCTAAGGAAAGGGGCACGCAAAAAACGTTTCTTAAATATTTTATACTGTTTGGGTTGAACTTTTTTAGAAAGTCAAAATGAATGTCAGTTCTGATGTTTTCTGTGGGAATGGAAAAGCCATCAAATATCTTGTTTTTTAAAAATGTTTACGAAGAGTCCGTTCGTGGAACAATCTGATCTGTTTGGGCTTCTGCTCCTCGCGACCTAATGTTTCTGGCAGTCCCTCCCCCCCTCTTCGCTTTCCTTCCAACTTTGCACTTACAGTTTCGAGTCTCTGCTTCCCTGGGCTACGAGTGGTCCCGAAAACATTCCAGGTCAAGGACGTGGCCTCCAGCCTTGAGCCGACAGCACGGGCTGGCCCGCTGCCGTCCGGTATGTTCTGCAAGGAACCGGTCTTTCCTAGGTTGGCACGGGGGGTGGCGCACGGAAGTCAGTATTACACTTAAGAACCATCCCAGGAAGCACTGGCCTAAGATTTGGTAAAGAGTACAACTTTATTACATTGTAATAGCTCACAAATAGAGTGGAACCGCTTTTGGTCCCCCATAATCACGTTTCCTCAAACATGCCACCTGCTGGTGGTGACGGGGCCTGTGCCGTCCCTGGCGCAGCTGCTGCTGTTGCCCTCCTGCAGGGGCTCCGCCCTCTCTCTAGTCGGGTGTGCTCGCCCCCACAGCGGCCATTCGGGGCGCGAGGCCTCGGCCGGACTGCGCGCCCCCGTGTCACTAACCCGTTTCCTTGTGCTGAAAAGATGCTGTACACTTTCGATGCAGTCACTGTTGTTGTTGTTGTACGAGCATTTGTGGACACGTGTAAAATAAAAGTTACGTGATGCTTCTACCTAAACCTGTTCGCTGACTCTTCTCAGAAACTCCCGAGCACAGTCCCGCCGCTGAAGGGCAGTTTTCAGCAAAGAGCACGAGGCAGAGACACTGCCTCCCGCTTCACCACCTGGAAGCTGCCCAGGGCAAAGGCGAGGCCGGCATGGCGGCACCTGGGTGCACACTGAGGGGATGTCCTGGGCTTCTGAAGAAGCAGAGTCAGTCAGCTGGCGGTGCCCCCCACTTAGTGCTGGGGAGGTAGGGCGTGGGGGGCACAGCCCCCCGCTCTGGAACCTAAAGTGCCCAGCAGAAATGGTAAGGAAGCGGGTGCATTTCTAAGTTCCGCTTATTTAAGGCAAAATCCAAGTTTTGCAGCCTTAGGAAATCTCATTTACTCAGACCATGTGTCACACTTCGTTGTGCCTTGGCGGTGGCTCGACAAAGGTAGAGAACCGGTTGCCTACCTTACGGCGACACAGTCAAGTGCCCGTCGAGTCCATGTCCTGTGGGGCATTTCGAACCACCCTGTCGGGTGGCTTGACTGCCTGACGAGGGCGTTGTGGTTCCGTGCCCGGGGCCCCGAGAGGCTGGGGCTGGGTGCCGGCTCCAGCTGCCACTCCATGTCTGCAGAGCGGAGGCCCTTGTTCTCCTGGAGCTGCCGTCACCTTACCGGATCAAACCCCGCCTCCCGGGTCTACTCCTCTGTCGGGTGTCCTCCTCTCTCAGGACTTCGTGCGGACGGACACCTGGAAGGCAGTCCGCGCTTAGGGTTCGAGGCCTCTCCCCTCCCCAACCTCATCCAGGTAGGTTCGGAGGAGCTTCGAGAAGCCATGTTTAGAAATGGGCTCACTGAGGCCCCTTGGCCTCTTCAGTCAGGGAGAGGCTGGGCTGTGTGACTCCGAGACAGACAGACAGACAGACAGACGCAACCTTGGAGCTTGGGTCAGCAAGCTCTGCGTCCCACGTGCCCGGGAGGGCAGAGCACAGGCCCTCGCCTTCTTCCTGAGACAGCCGTGGCTCCCAACCCCTGCCCCTCACACCGGTCACTGCGTCCACTCCACAGCCCAGGGCCCATCCCCAGCCCACGCATCACAGTGTCCGGCTGAGACGCAAACACAGGGGACTCTGGTTTGGCGTCTGAGAACCGCGGTGACAAGGCATAACACCCTCGCCGTCCAGTGACAAGTGGGCTTTGTCACTGAAAACCAAGGAGGGTTGAATGCCACCTTCTGGTTCACGTTAAATGTGCCCAGTCACCTCTTTTTCCCCTTTTCATTCACTGTTTGAATCGCCTTGTCCTGTTTTCCAGATGTAGAATCAGGAGGAGAAAGGTAAACTAGCTTATGACTTCAGTCAGTCTCTAGAAGGACTGGAGCTGGTGGGGTTTTTGTCTTTATTCTCGTCCAAAGTGCTGCCCTCGCTCCCGGGCCTGGCCACTCACCACTGTTAACTGCCCGTTCTTATCTTTGTAGATTTGTTCTTCTGGCCCAGTGTCGAAAACTATGGTGCCTTCTCTTCCAGGACTGATATAAAACTGTAAACTTAAAAGACACAGAACGATGAATTACTGACGTGGTCAGTTACTTTCCTCTCCTCTCAGCCTCTGGTCTGCAGAAACTTATTAAGGAAGTTGTACAAGGTTCAGGATTGAACTCCTGTTGTATTACAGAGCTTTACTCCATACAGCACATTCAGTTCTTTCAGGGCCGGTTCTTCCAGGGCTGAAGAACCACTTATCCATCCTTACACGACAGCCCTTGTAGTGGGCTAGGTGTGCCCCGGGGAACAGCCACACAGAAACGACACTTCCCAGTGTGCCCACCTCTCCCTTGGGTGGATCTGCTCCTTGGGCTGTAAAGGCCGGGACGTGGTGGGAGCAGCAACCCGAGGGAGCAGCCCGCTTTCCCGGGGGGCTCCAGGAGCAGGGCCGGGGCGAGGTGCCGGCCTGAGGAGGAGGAGCGTGGCTCAGGGAGGCCGCGCACTGTCCCTGACCAGGTGTGCCACAGTCCGCACGCTGCTTAACCGCCTGGTGCCTGTGGCAAAGGTGGCACCTCCTTCAGTTACGGAGGGAACTGCATTAAGTACCCATGTGTCCCGTATCTTTCCTTCGTGTCCTAAAGAAATTGTAGGGCTTTTCCCTGATCAGCCTGCAAAGTTGAGGCCCACTGTGCTTAACCAGCTGTCCCCCCAAAACAGGCTTCAACAGCAAGGTGTGGCTGTCACCTCCTCTGGCCCCAAGAGCAGCTTCCCGCAGGCACATGAGCCCCTCCTTTGAGTACCAGATGGTGGGACCCCCATTGCCGCAGGTCGGTGAGTGAGCACCGACTTCTTCATTCCCCTGGCGCCCCAATCATAGGGGTGAGGGAGGCAGTTCCTTATCAGCAGGGCAGGGGGACTGCTGGGAGGCAGGCGTGGGTGAAATGATTCACATTCCCGTCTTCCTTGACAAGTCAATAAACATTCTAACATTGAACTACTTCCTGGGCCGAAGGTGAAGCCACCTACCTTCCTTGAATGACGTGTACGATGTTCTCCTTTTTAACCAGCATGGCGAGTTTAGTGACCGCTTCGAATACGTGCTCACACTGTAGGATGGCGTCCCCCTGCGGTGGAGAGGACAGGGCAGCTTCAGGGGCGGCCACTTGAAGGAGCATGCTCCCCAGCACGGCCGTTTCTCCGTGGTCCACAGATCATCTGGGCGGAGCCTGGTGGCCGTCAATTACCTTTTGCCTGTTGGCTTCTGGTGACACATGAATGACTAAGATCCCGTCCCTCAGGTTGCTAGTGGAGATGCCTTAAGACAGACTCAAAGTTAGGAGCCAGGAACCAGACAGCTTGGCGTTAATACAGATGAAAGAGGAGGTGCGCCTACCTAGGGGCTCCCCAGCCCCACACTCCCCCCCCCACCATGCCACAGCTGGGCCCAGTCTGCACGTGCTGCTGGGCTACAGAGGGGGCATCCTGATAAAAAACAGGTCACTGCAGAAGATCGCTACTGTCCAGCCTGCAGACTAGGGTCGGGGGTACCACTGACACTTGCACCAGAATGGGGGAGCCCAGGACCCAAGCCCACCCAGCAAGCTGTCGGAGGCTCGCCTGCGGCCTACCCCTGAGCGCCGAGTACTCAATCCTCTGCTTGATTTTGGCCAGCTCCACCACGTAGGCTGCCTTCTGAGTGAGGAGGAGCTGCCGGGGCCGCGCCTTGAAGCCTTTCCTGTCGTATTTAATGACCGGGATGCCGTACTGCAAGGAGGTTACCGTCACTACGAGGGGGGGGTTACTTCGTGGGGGGCGGGGCAGAGCACCGGGCTCCTGGCCACTCAGCCCCAAACGGAGGCTCAGCCAGGTTTCGCATAAACAGGTTTTCCAGGCTCCCTGGCTCCCTCCCAGGCAGGTTTTGATCCCTAGCTCTGCCTGCAGTGTTGCCCTGCTGAGGGAGGCAAGGTGTCAGCCACCTGCCTCATAGGTCTCCTCTGCCAGGTCAGCAGAGATGACCTCTGGAATGCTGTGTGTGCTCGAAAGACCTCAACCGGGGAGCAATCCACTCTGTCTGCTCAGGTTTCTGTTCTGCAGGGGACCAAAAGGGACAGAGCAGCCAGGAGAGCCACCCTGAACCTGAGAGCTTGAACCTGCCGGGATCGCAGAGCTGCTCAGTCACACAAAGCCCAGGCAGCACCCAGGCACTCTGCCACCCTGCTCACTACGCTGGCATGTGTAGTGATTAAGTTCATGGCCGTAGTTCCCTCAGCTTCCTAGAAGACCGAACAGTTCCTAGGGTGACTGATAAGGACCATATGAACAGCAGCAAGTATCCAATGGTCATGGTCCCCAACTCTTAGTCTGTACCCACAGCATCACAGTCGAGAGCCCACCCACAGGCACCCCAGCACGTACGCTCAGCGTTTCCAGACTCCGCGCAGGAAGCAGACCCTGTCCAGACGCCACCACGGAATCCTATCGCCCCCTCAACTTACCTGGATTTTCTCCTTGCTGAGCAGCTGCAGCACTTTGGGACTGATGTCTCCTTCATCTAGGGAGGGAACCAGGACACAGTGGATCGTCACTAAGTACCACCGTGGGCGAGGGCCACTGGCATCTGCTGGCCTTGTGTCCCTCTGTGACCAAGACCTCAGCTGGGGAGGAGCCTTCGGGAAATGCTGTGGAGCTGAAAACTTTCCTCTGACTTGTTAAATAGGGAAGTGAGCGCACAGATGGAAACATGCACTCACCTATCCGGCTGTCGGCAAAGGGCTGATTTAAACTCTCTGCGTAGCCTTCCTTCTTCCCCCTGAACACGGCGCTGGTGACCACCTTTTGCTGCATCTGGTGACACACAAGTTGAGACAGAAATGGTGGCCGTGGGAGCAGGGTTCGAGGGGCAGGCGCTGCACACTTCCCTGGGCAAGCTGTGGGGACTTTGTCACACTTCCCCCCAGACAGCAGGACACAGTCCTGGCTTTGGCCAGTGCCCTGAAGAGTATTAGACGGTGTTGATATTTAGGGCCTGTTTTGTCCACCTACAACTGGCTTCCTGGGAGTGGAACCGTCATAATTTCAGGGAGCAGTGTCTCCTAGGTCTGAGATCGATCGGCCAACTGCAGCCCACGGGCCCAACCCAGCCTCCTCGCTGGTTGTATAAAGTTTTCCTGGAGCAGGGCTACGCATTCAGTTACACGTCGTCTCTGGCTGCTCTGGGGCTGTCGCAGCAGAGCTGAGTAACTGTACCAGGGGTCCCGGGGCCCGCCAAGCCTAAAGCGTTTACTCTCTAGCCCTTTTTGGGAAAAGTCTGCTGACCTGCAGGATGAGCATAAACAAAAGCAGACCTCCAGCCGAGGGGTCCTGCATTTGCCCCTTGGGCTCAGCCTGGACTGATTCCCATGGTAACGGCGTGAGTGATGATAACGGCTGCCCCTTACCAGGGCTCTGTGCTGAGTGGTCTGCGTGCTGAATCCTCGGCCGGTACACAAGGCGGGGGCCCAGTGTGACTCCTGGCTTACAGGTGGAGTGGCGGCCAAGGACAGCTAATGAACAGTCCAGCTGTCGGGCCAGCGCCACCCCCCACCCCAGCCTCCCCACGCAGCCCTCACAGCCTACCAGCGCCTTCCTCTCAGCTGTGATCCCGCGACAGTACTTCCGCACCAGGTTCCTCGTGCACATTTTCCTGAGCAGTTCTGATGCCTGTGCGAAGGACACGCTGCTTTTCCACCCGCCCCACTCACACCAGAACAGAAGCTTTGAAAGCAAAGCTGAGTTCAGTTCCCCTGGTGAGCTTACTTCGCTCCCGCTAAGCTAGTGGGCCTTGAGTGCATCTGAGTCCCGGCAGCTGCCTGAAACAAGTCTCCTACGATGCTGACTCAGGGCTCAAGAATCTTAAATGGTACACAGAGGGTCCTCGGGCCATCCTTTAGACAAATGTTGGAGGTGACAGTCACCTAACCCTCCTGGAACGCCACATGAAGGACAGACACCATTTAAAAGTGCTCTGTATAAACAGACCTTCAATGGCTGTATACTTTCAATAAGGCGATTGTGGATTCTAAGGAATGAAATTTCTCACGCAACACCCTTGCAAGGCTGTGCTTTGTTACGCAGCCCTTCCAAGCCAAGGAGGCAGCATAAAGAAACACCAAAGCCCCACCCGTGCCCGGGTCACTTGCAGCTTGAGTCGCAGTGGGGTCCTCACGTTTTCCAAGATGCCAGGAGGCGTCAGCCAGCTCTTGTCCAAGACATTCTTGGGGACGTGATACCGAAGATTCAGGATGTAATTCTTCCGCATGAACACGATAAACTCCTCGTTGTCAGGACAAAGAGGCCTGTCTCGATGGATGAATCCCTTTATGAACCTAAATGGGAAAGTGGTTTGTTGGTTTTCTGACCTATTGCTTCACAGGGCTCTCTCTGTCTCCATTCACCTGGTTCGGAGGATGCCAGACGCCGTGGAGACTGTGTGTCCAACCCGTGGCCTGTGGGCCGCATGCAGCGAGGATGGCTATGAATGTGGCCCAACACAAAATCGCAAATTTACTTAAAACCCTTTTTCTTGCTCATCAGTTGTCATTAATGTTTGTGTATTTCATGTGTGGCCCAAGACAACTCTTCCTCCCGTGTGACCCAGAGACGCCAAAAGGTTGGACACCCCTGATTTAGTCCGTCTTGTCGGCCACAGCCAGGAATGTCGCCCACAGGCCAGATCTGCCCCAAGGATGGGTTCCATTGCACCCACACTATTTTTGTTTCGTTTGGAATAGCTTGAATCGGTTGCCAATGACAACAAAGAGGCGGTATTACATGGAAGCCAGGTTTTCAGCTTTCCTTGAAAAATCAAAAGGTCTGGCAATGCTGGCCTGGCATTTCTCTGCAGCAGCCTGTCATACAAGGCGAAATGAGCTTTCCAGTTTGCCGCAGTCTCCGCCGTGCCTTACTGTCTTGTTCCAGTTCACCAGATTCACTTCCTTTACCTGCCTGGCATCAGAAGGCATTTGACTCTGACCTTCTGAACTTGCCTCAGAGAAGCTACAAATGTCCTCAGCTGTGACCAGCATCAAGTTACGGTGCTCAGAGGAAAGAGAACTGAATTCCTAAGGGTTGACATCCCAAAAGGCACGTTACCTTTCTGCACGAATCCAAGAAACTCAGCCCAGTCCATGACCACCTCTGCAGCACCCCAGCACCGAGCAGCCCCTCCCCACTTCCATCCCCGAGAACTCACCTCCTTACAATGAACACAGCCCACTTCCTCCTCTCGGCCTTCTTCCGAGCCAGGACTCGACGCCAGTGGGTCTCCAGTTTGATGGCTGAAAGAGTTCACTGCCGGCATTAGAAGGTGGGGCGCAATCATATTTAGATGCAAAAGGCTTTTTCAGAATTAGTCATCCACATGCCTGCAAGGGCACTCAGCTAGCCGCCCCCCCCCAGATGGAAGTCAGGTGAACATCATCAGTTCTTACTGGGAGGGGGGGGACGCTCAGAGGGACACAGCACTAGGGAGACAGAGGAACACGGGGCGCTATGAGAAGCCCCAAAATTACACAAAGGAACTACAGTTTCCCAAGATCCTTTTCAGGGATAAGATGGCTGGCACTTCTGATGGTACACGTCTGTCTTACTGACGTGTTCCATCTGTTTTGCTGTGTTCACTTTGTCCACATTTAAAAATGGGGCTACATCAACAAATTGGGACACAAAAATTAGATTTCTGGCTTATCTCCCAATTTTTAAATGCTTTTCATATTATTCTCAGTTAATCCAGATTTTTTAATGCTTTTTATTTTTTATGTCATTACCAAAAAAACCCACAACCACTGGAAACAACCCAAGTGTCCACCAACAGAACAGCTAAATTGTGTAGACTCTGATAGCATTTATACTCCAATAGCACAGGGGAAAGCAGAATACGGCCCTCGGGCTGGCCGCCTGTTTATAAATAAAGTTTAATTGCAGCACTTCTGTGCCCGTTAATTCATGTATTTGTGTAAAGCTACCATCACTCTACAGCAGCAGAGTTGAGTAGCTGCCAGAGAAACCGTATGACCCACAGGTCTCAAATACTATCTGTCCCTGTAAGAAAAAAAACTTTGTGGACCTTTGATATAGTGGACTGCTGTGCAACGATGAAAATGAGTAACTACAAACGTTTACTGATTGAATCTGCAAAACAATTTGGAGTGCAAAAATGTTGCAAAAAATACAGTGTCACTTTATTAAGTTCAAATCACGCCAGCCTGATTACACCGAGTGGTGCAAGCATGCACTGGAGAACTAGGGTTAAAACCCGAGGGAATTATAAATGCAAAATTCAGAGGATTGGGGGTGGGCGTGAGAAGGCATTGGGGAGGGACAGAGGAAAGGAACCCTGGAGGTACTCATGGGGTTAGTGACCTTTAAAACGTTTTTCTTTAAACGTGCAGACATTGTGGGTCACATAAACCACGTCCATGGGACAAATGAGGCCCACTGCGTCATGCTGTCTGGTCAGTGGAGGAGAAATGAGAGCAGGCCCCACAACTGGAGGCCGCCCCGCACCCAGGTTTCCGGACAGGCCTGGGGGGAGAGGATGCGCACAGCAGCCCGCATGTCCAGGACGGGCCCGCTGCAGATGGCAAGTCTGCATTGAGCTCTCACCTGCTTGTCTTTTCTTCACATAGGCTCTCCTTTCTAGGCAGGCTCTGTATGTGGCTTGAATTCTCGCAACTTAAAACAAAACGAAAGTTTTGGTAAAATGACCCTCCTGTGTGCATCGCTGCAGGTGTGACCTTGAGGGGGAATGCCAGAAGTGACACGAGCACCGAGGGGACAGGAAGCCGACGCAGCAGGGTCAGGCTCGGCCTGGCTCTCAGAGCTGCCCAGCAACCGAGGCTTTGTCTTCCTTCCTCTGCGTTCCCCGGTCAGGGCCAGAGCCACCATCTAGAGGTGCGGCCGCACCCTGGTTCCGTGTCAGGAGTGACATTTCATCCTCACGCCCTCCCCCCTGCCTCCCATGAGGCGGGCACCAGCATGTGTTACTAACAAGCATGCAGGTCAGGTGGCAAAGAAACTTGCTAACTCGCTAGCTGCAAGGCAGGGCGGCTGCTGAGGCTGGGTGTGACCCCAGGGCTGCGGGAGCACACGCCCTGCCCCTGTAGCTTCTCCTTTCTCCATCCACCTCCTCCTCCCAGGGACAGGTCCTACCACCAGCCAAGCTCCTCCAGGATCCTGCGAACCATTAATGTCCCATCCCCTGGGAGCTGGGGCGAAACGCTGGCTCGGGCATTGCACAGCGCCGGCAACCACCCACTGACCAGACCCCAGTGTTCGGTGCCCTCTGCTGTGGAGGGGTCAAAAAATGAGACCACTCAGCACAGCAGTTCAGAGTCTAGGACCTGAAGCCAGAGACCCACGTTCAAACCCCAGCTCTGCTGCCGACTGGCTGTGTAGCCACCCAGTGACTGACCGACATGGCTGGGCCCCAGTGACCCCGACTGGGAAGTGGAGGTGACACTCGGCCCCCTGGGTGTATCCTGAGACAGAACGAGATGACAAACACAGAGGACTCAGGACGCAGCGCACACAGCAGGCACCCGGACCACTCTCGTGGCATGGTCCTCAGCAGGACGGTTTCAAGGAAGCAGCTCTGCCCCGCCCCCCCTTCCCCAGCATGGTTGTAATTTTCCATCATTTGCATTTTCCCGCCACTCACTTTTCTCCTCTACCATTCGCAACAAACGCCTTGGCTGTAGGCTTTGAAGTTACACCGTCCGACATCGGGCAGTTGTACAAACACTTTAACTCCGTTTAAGGGGGTGGACTCCCGAGGGACAACGGAGCTCGATCCAAACTGGAGTCGGGCGGCACCACAGTGTTTGTTTCCATGTGCGTCTATGACGACCTCCAAACACCACGGCATAAATTCACATGCATGTTACCGTATGCATGTGTCCCGTATCTTGTTCCTGCTTCCCAAAGCCGGTGCTGCTAACATTGTAGCCAGCACCACATTTAAGATATAGCCCAAGCTAAGCTTATTCATTTCACTTTCTATTGAAGTAAGGCCAGGAAAAAAAATCATACCTAATTGATGTTTACTAAATTCAAAGGCATCTTCTGTAGCAAACAGCATTCTGGGGAAACGAATGAATATTTTGGTTCTAGAAGTGAAAAAAAGTGTTTTAATTATTAACTGGTCAGTCACCTCTGTAGTGGCTTGAATAGTGTTCCCCCCAAACCCACATCCACTGGTCACTTCAGAGCAGGGTTCTTACTTGGAAAGATGGCCTTTGCAGATGTAATCAAGGTAAGGAGGTCATTAGGGTGGACCCTAAATCCAGCCATGTCCTTAAAGGGACAGGAAAGAACCCCATGTGGAGATGGGGACAAGTGACTGCAGTGATGTGACCACAAGCCAAGGAATGTGAGGAGCCGCTGGGAGCTGAAAGAAGCAGGGAAGGACCTTCCCATAAAGCCTTCAGAGGGAGCAGCCTCAGAGGGAGCCAACACCTTGACTTTGGACTTTAGCCTCTAGAGGGACAGGTCCCACCACCAGCCAACAAGCTCCTCCAGGATCCTGTGAACCATTAATGTCCCAAGTCGCCTGGACTTGGGACCAGCTTCTGCTGCGGGGAAGGAACTGCCTTGTAGGACTGGGCCTTTGCCTGTGGGCGGGCACCAGCTCCAGGTGGACAGTGGCAGAGCTGATTTAAACCGCAGGGCACCCCGCTGGTGTCAGGAGTGCCACGGGGTGCGGTGTGAGAGAATAAATTTCTTTTGGTTCAAGCCAGCTAATCGGTGTGCATTTTTTATGTGGCCCTAGAAAACTAATGCACCATCCTAACCTGCGGTTACTTCCCTGGGCTTTAAAAAGTGATGACAGAGAATATGGATTTAATTAGCCGAGAGAAATTGTAAATAGGGACCTGTAATGCCTATCCCACCCACCTACTGTTAGGGGAAAACTTCCCAGAACAGCCACCGGGGGCAGCAGTGCGCCAAGCCGCAGAATCCCTCCTCTTCATGCCAGGTAATGAATGGAGCAGGGACAGATCCCACCCTCTGACCTCCCTGGCCTGCCTCCCTCAGACTCTCAGGGATCTGGCTTGGAAATACAACTGCCTCTTGGAGCAGGGCCCAGAACAGAAGTGTGAGGGTGGAGAGCGGCCAGAGTGGCCCCAGACGGCCTTGTACAAGTGGGAGTGGCCACTGACAGGGAAAGCCCATTGGTAGGTCCAAAGGCAGAGAGGCCCCTGAAGCTGGGATCTCAGTAGCCTGGGAATGGGCCCCCTTCAGGCTTGGGTACCAAATTAACCAAAGTGACTGACAGAACAGGCGCAAATCTTCCTGGCTCACCCTGATGCATTTTGCTCCAAAGGTTTCAATGTATGCCAAAGCTGTCCTGCTCGAGACCACTGCCGCTGAAGGAACTGTCACATCCCAGGAGCCCTAATGTCCCCTCTGAGAGGTCCTGTGTACATTTGAGTGATGAAAGACTCCAGACACACAGAGGTTAGAGGATCCACCCTGGTCCCCTCCTCATTTTACAAGCAAATGGATTCATTCTAGGCCCCTGCGAGGTTTAGAACTCAGGGCTCCTGTGTAAATCTTCTCCAACTGGCCACAATATTGCCCATCTGAGCACTTGGAGCCTATGATATTAGAGTTTCCAAGAAATGTATATTTGGTCTTTGTCCCAAACCAGCCACCGCTCGTAAAACACTTGTAATAAAAACCCCAGGAGGACAAGGTTTGAAGAGGAACTGGGTGCACCTGGAGAGGCCATGGAAGCTCCGCCCCTTCCCACACACCTTGCTCTGTGCAGCCCTTCTGTCCGGCTGCTCCTTTGTTACACCCCTTTGTAAGATGTCAGGAATCCACTGTGTGAGATGTTTTCCTGAGTCCTGTGAGCTGCTCTGGCAAGTTATTCAAACCCAAGGAGGGACTTGTGGGAACGAGTCGCCTGGACTTGGGACCAGCTTCTGCTGCGGGGAAGCAACTGCCTTGTAGGACTGGGCCTTTGCCTGTGGGCGGGCACCAGCTCCAGGTGGACAGTGGCAGAACTGATTTAAACCGCAGGACACCCTGCTGGTGTCAGGAGTGCCACGGGGTGCGCTGCGTGAGGCGAGCATTGAGAGTGAAGGAGACACCCCGGAGAGTTTTTCCTGTAAAGAGCTGCATTTAAATTGAGTGGATGGACGAATCCGCTGGCAAATCTACATAATTTCCTGACAAATGAATCCCTGGGCTGTAGATGGCTATGGCTCAGTGGCCAAAATATTGTGACAGTGACTTGCCAGCCGCTTACCTCCCTAACTTGTACTCCTCTGGTTTGTAGCCAATGTATTTGATCAGCCGCTCGACGCCCTCTGCTGGAGGCCCGTGCCAGTGCGGCCAGGTGTCCGGGCACAGGGACTTGTACCTGCGGAGGGGAGAGGCACACCCCGAGGGCCAGGCTGTGAACCACCCCTGTTGTCCAGCGCCCCCACGCTGTCCACCCTGCTGGCCCGTTAGCCACTCAGGAGCCCTCTGAGTTGTCAGGTCACTGTCACGGTTTCACAGAGCTTGTGTTCAAGTCACCCTTACGCTACGTGGTAACGGCCCCAGAGCACAAGGTTAATGCTGATGGCAATTCCGATGTCTCACGGAGAAGCCGTGAACCGCTTCCTTTAAGTGAAAACATGGGAATTCTTAACTGAGGCATGTCATCATCTCACATCGTCACAAGGAGAAGGATGAGTATGGTATAATCAGGAATTTTGAGAGAAACCACATTCCCATAACTTATTATGTATATTGTTCTAACTGTCCTATTTTACTATTAGTTATTGTTAATCTCTCACTGTGCCTAACTTGTAAGTTAAACTTTATCATGCGTATGTATGACTAGGAAAAGGATAGTATAAGTAGGGTTCAGCACTATGTGTGGGTTCAGGCATCCGCTGGGGTTCCTGGAACGCACCCTCCACAGATGAGAGCGGACAACTCTAGGTGTTTGGCTTTACTGGCTTCAGAGCAACAAAACATACTTTACCTTTGCAGGAAATGCTCATATTTGCGCCGGTACGCAAAGCCGGCCCGTCTCACCCTCAAGTGCTCCATCAGCCCCAGGTACTTGACCTGGTGCCTTATGAGGAAGTCGTCGAACTTGCCTGTGGATACACAGAAGGGAGAGGAACAGGAAAGGACACACCCCAGGGCTCCATTTCAGCCAGGAGGGCCCAGAGGAGAGGCTGCAAGCTGATGACCTTGTGAGCTGGCCCTAGCCACAGGCAGGTTCTGTTAGGCCCTGACTGAGATTTATTTAGGGGGAGATTTACAGGGAAATCTGGGCTTCGGGTTTCTCTTGGAAAACTATGAGATCTGGCCATTCTGGGCATAAAGATCCACATGACGACAACAGCTAGAAGGGAGGAGTGCTGCCCCTTTAACACAGTGTGCTCTATGCAGTTTGCCGCAGTCCCCTCCACTCCCTATTGCCTCATGCTCGGTCTGCGTCACTCATTTGCTCTCCCTACCTGGCCTCTGTGAGCCTCTTACTGTGTGACTCTGTTAGAAACTGTGGCACCAGTATAGAAAATAGCCCAGTCACAGACCATTTGGAAGCCATATTCACTAGCTTACTCAGCTGCGTAGCTCCTGAAATGGGCCAAAATCTGAGCAGTGCTCACCCAGAACCATCAAACCCCCCCCCTTTTCTTTACCTCCTATCACGAAAAATGAAAACAATTTATGTCCGCAGGCCAAGGACGAGCCTGTGGTGTTTTGGGGATTTTCACCCAGCACCATCTTAGTTCCCCACCCCCCCCCCCAGCCTCATGGCCCTGAGCTCCTGTTCAGCACGATTCACAACTCACTGGGTTGCTTCTTCTCATTGGGCTTGATGCAGCGGATGTACGAAGGTTCCTTGGAGATGAGGATTTGCAGCAGGCTGCTCAGGCTGTTCTTAAACTGTGTTCCCACCTGCGGGGACGGAGAATAAGCTAAGTAGACATGGCTGCTCCCAATTAATACCAAAGAGATGGGTTAGGGCACAAGACTCTGGCCCTTTATACCCAACTCTCGACAGACTGTTCCACCAGTTACATTGTCCCCTACTAAGGGAGGGCTTTGGAGGTCCTGGCCCGGGAAGCCCAGGCTCAGCCTGGTTAAGCAGAGGCTAGATGAGCATGCATGCAGAGCGCTTTGCTCACTCAGCAAGTATGCAGTTGGCGCCTGGCAGAGCCATGCCTGCCTCCCCCCCACATTCCCATTCCCTCAATTTCGAGCTTCCTTTAGGACACTCACAGCACTTCAGCTGGCATTTTCCTACACCCTCCCCCACTAGATCGCAAGCCCCAGGAGCTCAGGGACCTTGTCTGTTTTGTTCTGCTGACTCCCTTGTGCTCAGCCCAGTGCCTGACATGGTAGGTGCTCAGAAAATGTCTGTAAGTGACCATGCTGCTTGCTAACCTTGGAAAATATGTATCTAATAGAACCCGCTGGAGGGTGATACTTCCAGAAAAAAAGGAGGACTTAAAAAGGGTGGGCGGCCGGGAGGAACTGCAGGCACCCTCTGGGTGACCTTCACTGCCTTCCCGACTTCACGGGGGTGTCTTTTCAATGGTGAGTATCCACCCACCGTTGGCGACCGTCGCCGGTTTTCCAACTCGGCAGCCAGGAAGCACTCCTTCAGGATGCTGTTTCTGGAACTGCACAGCACCTGCAGCAAAGAACAGTGAGTGCCCCACGTGCTGCTTCAGAAACCACCCAGGGGCCGTCAGGAAGGTGCACGGCAGTGCGTGCGGTGCACCGGAGCTGTTTGCTCCGGGAGCGCTTGGAGAAGAGGGGGAAAACCACAATCGAGTGTGGAAGGAAATGTGCAAGTACTATATGTGTATATTCTCTGTTTTTCCTCTGACACAAGGAAGCCATAGTTGCTCCCATCCAACCCGCTGCTCCAGAATAAGTGGGTTCTTTAAGAGGGATCTCCAAAGATGTCCAGATGGCCAACAGACACATGAGAAGATGCTCAACACTAGTTAGGAAAATGCAGATCAGGACCACAATGAGATGCCACCTCACGCTGGTCAGAATGGTTGTCATCAACAAGATGAGAAATACCAAGTGCTATAAAGGACCTCACGCGCCGCTGGTGGGGATGCGGATCGGTGCGGAGGTTCCTCAGAGAAGTAAGAATAGAGCTACCATGTGACCCAGCAATCCCCCTGCTGGGTGTCTGTCTGAAACAAATTGGAAACAGTTATTTGTAAAGATGCAGGTGCCCCTGTGTCCACTGCAGCCTAATTCACAGTGGCCATGACAGGAAAATGACCTGAGTGTCCTCCACCCACGAGTGGGTAAAGAAGAGGCGGTATGTGCCTGTTACGATGAGATGCGGCAATGACACGGATGGATCCTGAGTCTCGTGTTAGGGGAAATGAGTCAGAGGAGGATGAGAACCCTATGATTTCATTCATATGTGGGGTATCAAACAAAACAACAGCACATGAATGAAGAAAGCAAACGAAAAACCAAACTTGTAGACACAGACAATCAAATGCTGGTCACCAGAGGGGAAGGGAGTAAAGGGGCCACATGACGAAAGGAGACTGGACTTCAGGCGGTGGGCACACTAGAGTGTCAGGTACTGTGTTACAAAGTTGGACACCTGAAATATAGATATTGTGTGCATGCTGAAAGTCTAAGTTTTTTTAATAAAACAAGCTAATTAAATAAGATACAATTTATTTTGTATTAAATAAAATATACTTTGACACAAAACAGTTAACAATTTCATAAAGAAAAGCTTTAAAAACCTGAGAGTTCTCGTACTTGCAGGGTATATGGAAGGAGACTAGGACTTAGCCCCGGGGGCTACTCCTGGCTCTAGCCCCACCTCAAGATGTGACCTGGGGCAAGTGACAACTTCTACGGGTCTCCATTTCGTCATCCCCAGAGTTCATGTCACTTAGTATATTGCCATGACACCTGAACAAAATCTCTGCTCCTGCTGAGCTCTCGGCCCTCTCTGTTAACATTACCACTCACCGAACACACTGAGCCCGTCTGTGCCTCAGGGCCTTTGCACATGCTGGTCCCGCTACCCAGAGTAACCCTGATCTTTCCATGGCCAAGATCATTCTCATTCAGGTTGCAGTTCAAAGTCACCTCCACAGGGATGTTTCCTCTGATCCTCTGAACTCAATTAAAAATGTCCCTTCAATCACAGTTCCTGGCTTACTTTTTTCATAGCACTTTCCACTGATGGGTAACTTCTTTGTCTGTGCGTATATTTATTCCTGGCCACTGTTCTGCCTCCCACCCTGAAACTCCAGAGCTAGCACCGTGCCTGGCACACAGGAGGGGTGCCACACACACTTGGGTGGGCTTATTAAGTGACGAGTTCACACAGATCATCTCAAATGTCTGCTCCAGCCACGGCAGGCTGGAGTCCCAACACGATGCCCAGAGAGGAGAATCCAGAAGAGCAAGTCGACCTGAAATGAGGGCCACAGGTGGTGGCTCATCCCCATGAGAAACACGTATGGCTACGTTTCAGACTTACCTCTTTCAGATGTCTATAGAGGATATCATTGTTTTTTTCCAAGAATCCTACAAAATATTGAGTAAAAGATTTTGGAATCAATTACCTAAAAATATGATTTCATCCTCTTTGACTGCAAAAGGAAATCCTAAAAATAATCTCTTATGATCAGACAAGAGCTCTCGGCCTTGGCATTATGACATTTGAGGCTGAACAATTCTTTGTTGTGGGGACCATCTGGTACATTGTAGGACACTGAGCCACATCCTGGCCTCTACCCACTGGATGCCACCCAGTAGCATCTTCTCCTGTGGGGACAATCAAGTGCGTCTCCGGGCATTGGCAGGGGCCCCCGGGGGAGACAGCTGGAGAACTTGGTGTTTGGAGCCCAGCTTTCACACGCGCTGCGCTCTGAGTCCCGATGCGCTGCATGAATGCACCACCCTGCCCATGTGCCCTGGCCTGGCCATAGAGAACACAAACAACGAACAACAGAGGGGGCGCTGAATTTCCAGGGCCGCCCGGGGAGACTGTGGAGGTGGATGAGAAGATCAGCCCCAACGCCGAGAAACATCAACACCCAGACGCCAGGGCCTGTGGCGACCAGTGGCACCTTCCCACACAGGAAGACAGGCCACTTCTGGTTTTAAAAGTTGGCATGTGTCACTTAATATCCAGTCAGTTCATAATTAAATTAGTAGCTAAGCGTCCTTATCAAGCCAAAACCAGCTTAAAAAGACACGCATCAGTAATAAAGCCAAGACATGCATCAGAAATGTCTCAGATCCAACCTTTTTAGACAACAGCTAGGAGGTGTCAAACTAACATTTTCACTGGGATAGAACATACATAACATAAAATTTACCGTTTTAACTATTTTTAAGTACACGGTACAGTGGCATCAAGTACATTCACATTTTTGTGGTCAGACTGGCAAAACATATATTTTAGACTGGACAAGAGTTCTAATCAAAACTTTAATAATTAGTTCATGTGTGCCATGAGCTGAGAAGGGCTGAAAATCGCTGCACTGAGTGACAGAAGCCAGACACAGAAGGTGACGTGTTGCGTGACCCCATTTATGTGACATGGGCAGCACAGAGAGATACAAAGTACAGCAGACTCGTTGGCCGTCCAGGGCTGCAGGAGGTGGGGCCCAGGGGAAGGGAGGGACCGCCAGTGACGGACATTCTAAAACTGTGGTGGTAGCTGCACAGCTACAAAGTGAACACACTAACACCTGTAGAATTGCACACTTAGAGTGGGTGAGACATTTGATATGTGAATTACCTCCAAGTGGATACACACACACACATATGTAGTAATATATACAGTAAATACAGATTCCTCACATGGCATGCTTACATGGGGGGCGGGGAACACCTGAGATGGGTGTGTGGCATTTCTTCAGGGGACACAGAGGCACCTTCGGGGCTGCCGCCTGTGCCCCCGGGGCACTCACCTTTGGTGCAGTAGGTGACCTCTCCCGCGTAGTGGAACAGGCGGAACTCCATCCAGCCGATCCTCTTTCGGCCCATTGGACCCGCCAGCTTCCGGCTGCAGAGGGACGGAAACAGACGGGAGCTGAACCTTCCTGCTTCGCGGCAACAAAATGCACCAGTGTGGAGGGCAGAGAGAGAGAAGTCCCTGGGGGACGCGTGGGACCCCGACGATCACCGCAGGCCAGCGCTGAAAGCTGACCCACGGGGCGGCGGCCAGGGAGCCTTGCTGCCCATCTCATCTCGGCTAGAGACCAAGGTGCAAAGTCAGCCTCCCTCCTCAAAAGCACTGAGGAATAAAAACCATACACAAACCACAGAAATATGTGTTTTTACAATGGAGTAAGTTCCATTCTTCCAGGTGACAACAAAGAAACAGTCTACCTTCCATGTTTATGATGTCGAGGGATGAAAATACTCGTGAAATACCATTTTTCAGATTCTGGCTATTCATACTTGTTAAATGACTTTTTCTTGAAATGTCCACACATACACACTGACATGCACACACCTCCTGAGTGTGCACAGCTTGGCAGTGTCTCCGACCTCTGTGTGCATGGCTTCTCCACACCACTGCATGGAGTGAGAGACCGTTCATTCTAATGGCCACATTTCACTCCATGTGTGAATATACCAGTTTATTTTTCCATTCTCGACTCATTTACTTATCCGGTTCCATTGATGCATCCTTTCAATATTCTGCAACAGGCTTGATAAAGCCACTACCGTTTACTGAATTCTTCTGTCTGGTCAGAAACCGCATCAGGTGACTGACACGGTCATTTACAATTAATTCTACATGGCAGCAAAACAATGTACAATAAAACCGATGTTACCACAGGCTATATAACTAGCATTCCCAACTTGCAGAACGGGAAGCCCAGCTGCAGGAGTGTTGCTTGCCCAAGGTCAAGTCCTAATGAATGGCTGAACTGGGATTCAAAGCAAGGCTTTTGTGACTCCAGAGTGTCCGTTCTCGAATGCTGTCCTCATCTCAAAGACTAAGTTAACTTCTGGCAGATTTCCTGGGGTGCTGCAAATGCTCTACAACGCGGTCTGTGTGGGGTGCACACAGGCACAAACACTCACCAGGCGGTACACTTCAGACCTACACACGTCACTGCGTCATGTCATACCTGGCCTTTTTTAAAGAAAAGACTATTTCCTATGCAAGTGCACATGTCCCAGATGAAATGATCGTGAACAAAGCAAGATATAAAAATCTTTTTAAACTTGACTTGGAATCTGAGTTTGATTTTTACTAACAAAAGGTATGCGTATACAGTAAGCCCTCACCTAACATAGTAGGTTCCGGGAATGACAGCAAAGTGACGTATAATAAAGCCAGTTTCACTGCAGGCAAATTGATGTAAACAAGAGTCAAGTTCCTGCGGCATCTCATCAACCTTGTAACACAATCGTATTCAAAGACCTGCTATGCCCAGTATGGTGCATTGTAACGAATTTCCACTATGAAGATGGAGCTGGACTCTTGCGGAGCCCTGCTCACATCCCCAGGAAAATGGGCGTGTACCCATCTTCCTCCACGAGACAGCTCGTCCAATGAGATACGTACGTCTGGAAGTGCGCATGCTTCCCCACTTTCTCTTCCAGCTTCTCCAGGAAACTCAAGTCAGTAGCGGGACCAGGACGAATACATTCCTCATCCTTCAAAAGGAACAGAGAAGCCTCGGTCCACAGCACCACATTCCCCCAAGTCCAAGTTGAACTGCTTTCACCAGCTGTGGCAGGATGCCCTGGACTAGCACACTGTCACCTCACACCGGTTCAGATGAACATTTCAGGGTAGGTTGGCTAACCTATCACAAGTGCTCAGCTTCTCAGATTTGACAGCGACACCACGGAACCAGAGACTAGAAACTCCACGGGGGGAAAAAATCAACTCTGCCGCTCACCTGATGCTTGTTTCCAAAGGCTTCAGAGGAGGCTCCCAGCTTCCAGACGAGGCTGATATAGACACTCAGCCCCATCTCGTCTCAACTGCACACTGCTGGTCAAGAACACGTTCCCTTCTACTCGGAGCAAAGCCTCCACGGAAGCCCACGGTAAACCCCCCAAGCCTAAGCTTCCGCATTTCTCAAGCTACATCTTCCTACTTCCTGTTTCGGGTCTCCAACACGGATGACATTTCATTGACCACCTAAAAAAATTAAGGATGAATCGACCCTGTAGCTTTCATTAAAACGATAAAAACACCACCCAAAGGCTGGTTGAAGTTGGCGAGAGAACGCGTACAAAGCAGCATCTCTATGCTTTCCGATTCCATCTATGCAAAACCAAACGGGAAGAAGTAGTTTTTACTAAAACATCGTAAAAGGCTAGTCTAGCAGTCCGTGTGAGCAGTGAGTGTGCTCGACCAGCGCACGCCCGTCCACGCTTCCTGGAGCCTGCTTCCCGGATGTGCACGTGACAGGTGCCACAGCTCCTTCGCGCCCCGGCTCGCAGGTTACCTCCTTAGTGAGCCCTCCCTCGACCCTCTGATGTAAAATGGAGCCCCCTCCTCAGCGCAGCTGATCTTATCTTTTTTTCACCAGATTCTGCCCGTTCGCCTGTGTGCTGTCGGCCTCTCCACGCCAGCATTTAAAGCCTCCCAAGTGCGGGGAGTTCTGATTGTTCCATGCGCTGCTGTGTCCCAAAGCACAGGGCGTGACCATGGCACAAAGTGAGCATTCGATGGGTGCTTGCTGAGTGGATGCAGTCGGAATGCTCGCCACGGAACAGGCACAGCTCCGAGCCCTGTGCACACAGCATCGTGCTGAACGTGTCCCTACAGCCCCTCTGAGGTAAGCTCTGTACCCATTTCCAGATGACGACACTGGAGCTCAGAGAGGTTAAGACACCTGGCTAAGGTTACACAGGCAGCAAGCAAAAGGGCTGGGATTTGAACCCAGGTGGTGCCCATGCTCCTGGCAACCAGAGTCACCACTCACTGGAGTCCCTGCTGGGCTCTTCCATGCTGGGTCCCTAACAGGGTGGGCAGTGGAGGGTGAGGCCTGGGGGAAGGGAACCAGTTATTACATGAAAAGGGAGGCAAAGAGTGGTGTAGATGATCCCGAATGAACAGCAAGGCAAGGAAGTCGTTTCTTATTGGCCCTTAGAATTTGTTTTAAAATCTGATATTTGGAAATTAGAACCACTGTGGATCTGAGGACACTGACGTTCTCAGACAACCCGAGTCCAAAACGAGGTCACAGGCCCGCCCCGTGGAGCCTCGGCTCAGACTCAATGCGTTTATTTTTTTAAAATAAAGCCTTCCTTCGTGTTTCTCGGCTTCCTGCTCGATGCTAAGCACAAAAGCAGCCGCTCCGCAGCTGCCGCCAGACACCTGCCCACACGGGGTCCCCAGGTTTCTGGCTCACCCTGCCGTGTCTACGGAAGATAGACGCGCATGCTCTCACTGCTGAGGCCTCTCCTCACCACCTCCCCGTGGCCTATCACGCAGGCCTCTGAATGGAAATGAGAGGGGAAAGCATAGCTTAAAGCTCCGAGCAAGAATTCAGTGAAATGGCTCAGTCTGTACACTTCAATCCCAGCGAATTCCACTCAGCCCTTTCTAATCCTGGGAAAAGCTCTGCCGCACGCCCGCCCTGAACACCGTAGGAATAGGCCCGAAGGTCGACACTAACGTCCTCACCAGAATAGAAATGATTCCCTTGTGTCTTTCTTCAACCAAATCCAGGATGGTCTTGTTGTTGAAATACTGAATTGGCTCCCACTAAAATGACAAAGAGGGAAGCATTCTCCAAGAAGGATTTAGATGAACAGAAAACGTATTTCTTTTAAATAGATTTTCCCACGTTTCTTTCCCCCAAAATCTGATTTTCAACTCTAATATTGCAAAAAAATAATACCTTCTGAGTATCAAAATTACTTCACAGGAAATAAGCAGAGAAGGCGTGAAAAACAATTCTTAGTACTAATCAGGGAAAATCACCAATGAAATCATATTTCTCAGGTAAATATTTCACTAGACTAAGAAGTCAAACGAGGAGAAAACATCAAAATGTTTACCTCTATCCCTTCCATTTCATATTCTGCCTGTTCCGCCTTTAGGGTGCTTTCAATTAACAGTTGCTGAAGTTTTTCATTGCAGTAATTTATACAGAACTGTTCAAAACTAGAGATGCAAAAGGTTTAAATAAGTAAAGCTATGCAAGTAGACCAATTTTTTAAAAATGCTATTTACTTTTTTTTAAATGCCCTGGCTGGTGTGACTCCGTGGGGCGAGTGACTCCTTTCCGTCAGTGCCAACGGAAAGGTCTCCAGGTTGATCCTTGGTGCGGACGCAGAGGCCTGGGGTGCGGGCAGGGGGGTCGTGGAAGAGGCCACGGACCGATGTTTCTCTCCCTCTCTTTCTCCCTCCCTTCCCCTCTCTCTAAAATAAATAAAATATCTTAAATTGTATTTATTTATTTTTTTTAATTCAATGTATTGGAGTTAACACTGTTTAATAACTGAAGTTCAAGCGCACAAGTCTATAACACACCCTTTGTGTGTCGCGCTGCACTAGAAGTCTAGTCTCCTCTGCGTCACCATGCGTTTGCCCCCTTGCCCTCCTCATCCTCCCTGACCCCCGACCCCGCTGGTAACCACCACACTGTTGTCTGTGTCAGTAAAGTTTGCCGATTTGTGCGTGTTACTTGTGGCTTCCAGTTCCATTGTATTCACTCATTTTTAAAGGATGATTTTTAACATAAAAAATCAAAACCTTTATTAAGCAAAGAAGTTACTAAACAGATCACAAGAGTCAAGCTCAAAGACGTTTTTATGGTTGCTCGACTTCTAAAACAATCTGTGCCAGCCTGGATACTTTCTAGGAATGGGGACGTCAACTCCAGTACGACCAGAGGGGCATCTGGCAGAGCACCAGACTCGGGTCTCAAGGAGGAACAAAGGGCCTCACCCGTTCTTGTCGAAGACTTCGAACCCGTAGATATCCAGCAACCCAATCACAGTTTTCTTGGTGAACTCCTGGTCAAAACAACACACACTGTTCGTCGTTGGCTCTCTTACTTTGGGACACACAAAACCTGGTGGCCGCCCCCAAGCTGGGCCTTGGCTATAAAGTTCATGCCTTTCTCTAATAAGGGCCCACAGAAAAAAGGTAGGGTGGAAACAATTTCCCCAGCCCACTCCCATCCAGCTTCCATATCCATCACCCGAGCCGAGAGACCTTCCCCTAAGCCTCCCAAGCTCACACGCGATCTGGGAGGGAGGAAGAGAAGTGGGAAAGAAGGCAGGGAGGGACCCTACAGCCAGCCAGCCAGCCAAGGGGCTGTTTATCCAGCAGAGAAGGCAGGTGGTACGGATATCATGTTAAATAAAGGGCCAAGTGCTGTCAGGCAAGGATGGACATTTAAGAGAGCACACGCCTATTTTTGAAAAGGGACACCATTTGACGTTATGTGTGATGGACGGGCACACTTCACGCTGTGTGCTCAGCATGATGACACTTCACAGATGTTGCGTTTCTACAGATCGAAGGCAAGACCCTCCCCCTACAAGAAGATTATGACTTGCTCCGCTTTACTGCCGTGGCCTAGAATCAAACCCGCAGTATTTCCAAGGACGCCTGTGCTGAGTGGGCGTCTCCCAAACCTGCTCTCCAGGAGTTTAACCACACTCACGTCACTTCAGCCCTTGCGCCACTTCTTTAAGGTCTAGGTTTGAATGAATTCCCTTTTTATTTAAATCATTCCACTTCAAAAGGAAATGAGTGTCTGCAGGGTGACGTCAGCGGAGTCCTATTTTGTCTGACCGGGTTAAATATACTACTGTTAATAGTAGGAGTTTCTGTGTGTACTGAAAGCTGGCTGGCATGCTTCGAATGCTTTGGGGCACGCTGGAAGAAGCATTTAGCGGGCATTTTTGTGAGCCTGCCCACCAGGAGCTTATGGTCAATTCTCACCAACTGTTTATAAAGCATTACCATGTCAGGGAGGGCAAGTCATCCAGAGCGTGTGGGCTGACCTTGCTCGCCAAGGAGGAGTTGACTTTGTTGACCAGCCAGGTGAATGTGCGTCCGTACACGGCCTTTGCCATTGCGTCTCTAGCGTAGACAGAGAGCTCCAGCGTCAGTGGACACATAACCTGGAAACAACAATGGGGGCATCATTACAGAGGTTTTTGGTTTTGGGTTTTTTTTTAAGTCCCCTGAGTTTTCTAATTACCCTGCGATGATGACCACCAGGGAAGATGCCACCTCCCCCCTGTCACCTGTGCACGAGTAGCTATGCTTGGGTGCCAGCCACTGTGCTGAGCTAATGAGATACGACCACGACCAAGACAAACAGTTCTGCCCTGGCCGGGTAGCTCAGCTGGTTAGATCACTGTCCCTACAGGCCAAGGTTGTGAGTTTGATCCCCGGTCAGGGCACAAACAAGAAGCAAACAATGAATGCATAAATAAGTGGAACAACACATTGATGTTTCTCTCTCAATCTAAAAAACAAAGAAAGAGACGAACAGTTCCAACCTTTGTGGGCTGGGCCCACCTTTGGGACGGTGGTGAGACATTTAATAAGTCACACAAAGGACTCATGTTGTTCATAAGCTGAGAGTGACAGGTGCTGTAAGAAGATACAGATGAGGCTAAGGGGGAGGTAAACAGCGAAGGCTCCTTCAGGAAATGGCCCTGGGGACTGAGGGACAGGGAGTCGACTAGAGGAGACATAGGGAAGAGTGGTCCAGCAGAGGGGATGGCAGGTGCCGAGACGCTGTGGCGGGAAGGCCTGGCGACTGTGAGGCATGGAGTGCGGGCGGGATGTCGGGGGATGGGGAAGTTCAGGCAGGAGACGCTGGCAGGAGCTGGGCCGTGCGGGACCAGGGGGGCAGTGTTGGGGGGGCTGCCCCCTCCCCCGGGGGCCACCGTCCTTCTGGCAGCAGCGGAGGGGACAACAGGCGCACTCCCACCCAGAGCCACGGTTACCTCCTCAGTTTTGGCCTCGATCTTTCTGTGGGTGAGGGCCTCCAGAAGGGCTGATGGCTGGACCCCCAGGAGCTGCGTGAATGAAAACCAAAATGCTGGTCAGTGCCCTGATTTTCCTCACCGGCTTCTGAAGAGCTCGTGGAGTTTCCAAGGTCAGGGTGGTCTGCCCTGGTGGATAATTGTGCTTTAATACCAAACAGGCCACCGTAGTTCCCTCCACCAACTGGCTCCTCCCCACACTCGGCTACCCCTGCACCCTTTACCTCTCCTAACCGGGAAGACCGTGGTGCCAGCCACGTCCTTTGGGGACGTGAGCGTCCAGCTGTCTGGCTCCCCTCTGTCCCCGACCCCCGCTGCCTCTGAGAGCAAACATCACCTTGGCAATCCACTTGATCTCCTGGACGACGGGAATGGTCGCGCAGCCTCGGTGGTTCTCTCTAAAACAGATGTTGCCCAGGTGTAGGATGCTGGCAATAATTCCAAAGAGATTCTAGGAACGTGGGAAGTGGCGAGGAGGACAGGGAGAGAAGACGACAGCCACCTAATTGACGCATGTCATGGGGGGCGACACCCGAGGGAAAACCGCCCCCCACTTCCGGCCCTGAGCTCACAGACCCAAATTTCTCTCCTTCACTTCAGCTACTGGGGCTAGAGCAGGGGAAAGAGCTCAGTGCGTCAGAATGGGCCGGTGGGGGGGGGGGGGGCAGATGTCTCTTAATCTCCTGCACAGGACACTCTTATTTTTATATCGCCCCCACCCAATGAACCATTTAATGTTCAAACACTATGGTCCCAGCCAAATGTATGTATGTATATATGAATCCTATTGTCTTAGAAAGATCAACCGTTTAATAATAAAAAGGCCAAACGATGTAAAGGCAATGTTTGCACATCCTACAATTTGTTCCACTTTGTTTCAAAATAGCAGAGTAAATTCTGTGAGAATTCATTATCTATGAGATTCTGGGAGACTGGACTTGAGGGGAGGAAGCAACCACCTCTTCCTTTTGCCAACACTGGGAGAATCTGGGCTGCCAAACGCAGAGCACCCAGTTAACATCTGAATTTCAAATGAGCAACGCGGAATGTTTTAGTGGAAATCGGTCCTGTGCCACGTTGGGATACACTGATACTAAAAAAACCAAAAAATCAGTCATTGCTTATTTGAAGTTAAACCATAACTAGGCATCCTGCGTTGTGGTTGGCCGAATCGAGCGGCTCTACCGCCCAATCACCGAGGAACCAGGATTAGCCCAGAACTCGGTTGGGCACTGTCCCGCAAACTGAAAGTCCGCAGGTTCAATTCCTGGTTGGGGCACAGGCCTAGGCTGCAGGTTCGGTCCCTAGTTAGGGCACATATGAAGGGAGACCAACTGATGTTTCTCTCTCCCCTCCTTCCCTTTTTCTCAAATAAATAAATGAATCCCTTGAACACACAGCAAAACCAAACAGGACTCCCCGCTCAACCCCAGACCTCCCCGGCACTTCTGCCCTCTGGGCCTGTACCTCCAGGTCATCTTCAGAGAAATCGATGACGGAAAACGCGTTGGAGACCGTGTGCCAGTCGTTCTTGTCATTAACAGAGGACTCGTTGGCACCATGACCCTGTCGACAAAAACAGGGTTGCTGCTGGCACCGCTGGGAGGACGGTGAGTCGGGAACACATGCCCCTGACCGAGAACGGCTCTCTGCACGAGCACGCAGGAGCCAGTTCTAGACAATGTTCTGAATGGCGAAAAAATATATTTTGCTATGATTATCTGGCATAGGATGATTCGCCAACTGTCGCTTGATTCAGATTTACTTGGACGTTTATTTAAAAAGCCTTGTCCTGGGAAAACTTGCAAAATTACCATTAGTGGTATATCTTGTTGTGTATTTCTAAAAAGAGATCTTCTTGCCATTTTTGCTTTAAAAAAATTAAAGACACGTCTCAGTAAGTATCTGCTGAAACACAGTGGGAAGTGACAGCTTGATTTAAAACAACCTGCACACACTTAGCGACCACCAGCCAAAACTCGATGCAAGGGGACCATCGCTTCAGGAGAGTTTGGCGACTGGAGAGAAACACAGACTGTGGAAAAACGATCACAGCAGAAGTGTGATGAGACCCTGCCCACTAACTCTAGGCTCGGTCTTTTAAATAAGTATCAGATCAACCAATGTCACAATTTAAAGAGAAAACATTCTAGATGAGGGTTTGATTATTTTGGCCTTGGAGAACCGGGTATTCTTCGTTTCCTGGTTATCTGAAGATTCATTTGCTTACACAATTTCCTTGTGGCAAAGGGAACTGGCTAGTGTGAAATCTATAGCCCCCCCAAACATCCCTTCCTACATTCCCAGCAGCCTCTGCTCTATCCCCCACCCCCAAGGCCTGGGCCTGTGGAGTCAGCCCTTCAAGTGCACCTGGAGGTTTGGGAGCAATGGGTACACATGGCAAAGTAAACCCAGAGAGTTTGCCAAAGTTACAGAGATTGTGAAATGAATGAAAATAATGCAAACTCTTGAATCGTCTGAGCCACTGTGGCATGAAGGGCTGGCTGAGCTAACCTGGTCAGGACAAATTTACAAGGATAGAGCGTGATACTACACTCCTGAAGAGAGTACCTGGATTATCGAAGGTTGGGAGAAGCCCTTAGGAAAATGAATGAAACCCTTACATATTTTTGGAAATTGATCTGTGATCACGCTACACAACACTGAATGTGATGTCATCACACAGCTTTGTTGGGAAAATTAGGTCTTCAAAAGGAAAAATAACTGTTTAATTTATTCTTTGAATTAGTGCCGGGCTTGTTAAAAGGATCGTAAGACTCTTTTATCCTCATTATTTATTTTTCCAAATTTTTATCATCCTTTCCTCCATGATTTACCGCTGCTTGTTTTGGAGAAACATCTTATAAGACCATGTTTACTCTTTCAAATGACATCCCTTATGCCTCCTGCCAGTGACCTCCTCCGGTCAAAGCCAGGCCCTCTAAGGAGACAAAGATCCAAAAATCTTGGGGCAAAAAGGCGCTAGTGGCAGCAAGTGCTGACAGGTGCTACGCGTTCTGGGCATTCAGGCATCCTAGTGCTGGCTGGAGTCAGTGCTGGGAAGGTAAAGTCTGAGTCGGGTTCATAGCACCAGATCTCAGGATTGCGGAGAGCAATGGCCTGAGCTGGTTTGAGGGGGCGTGTTCATTCTGCAGCTAACAAGTCTCAGAATGGAAGGCAGGAAGGCGCAAGGAGTCTTCTCTACACTAGATTTAGAAGCGGGCAACTTGGCATCGGTCGTGGACACCGACTGTCAGCGAGTCTCCGCCAGGCCTAGACTAGGAGTTCCCACCTGGCTGGGCCTTAGAGTCATCACAGGGTTCGTCTGATCACATTTATAGCCGCAGGGCAGTGTTTAATACAACCCTGATGTCCAGGTCCCACCCCAGACCAGTTGAACCTGAATCTCTGGTTCGACCCAGGCATTTAAAAAGTTCCTTGGGTTCCCTGGCCAGGTGGCGCCCCTGGCGGGAGCATCATCCCGAGCACCATAAGGTGGTTGGTTTGATCCGGGTTGGGGAGGCAGCTGATCGATGTCTGTCTCTCTCCAAAAATCAATAAATATATCATCCTTGGGTAAGGATTTAAAAAAATTTTGTTTAAGCTCCTTGGACAGTTCTAATCGCAACCGGGGCTGAGAACCACTCGTCCAGATACTGGAGAGTTTGCTGGGACAACACCCGCCAGGTGCAAGAGGAGCAGGTTCTGACAGGCGTTGGGAAACCAGTCGGCAGCACACCTCCCGCACTGGCTGACACAGTCCTTGGCACCTCCCACAGAGGCCCCCGCAAACACCCCTGCCCCACCCCCCATGGGGCCACCCAAGCCAGGGGCTGGTCCTTCCAACCTGTGAGAGGTATCGGTACAGCTGGGGGTCTCGCTCCAATCCCAGGGAAGCGAGGAGCTCCTCTTCGCCACCTTCTAGAAGCTGGTAGAAGATGTGGAAATTCCGCTCCCCCTGGTTCTGGTAGACAACTCGAGACTTTTCTATCAGGTAACTGATGATGTGCCCTCCTACGGGGATGCCCTTCAAAACAGGACAAAACAATGCGGCAGCACAGCAGTGACCAAGCCGCTGTCCTACGGGGGCTGCTTTCCAGGGAACAGAAGTGCTGACGGCAAATGACGTCAGACCTGTCCATCTTCTGGGGACGGTGGTTTCTGGGGTTTTTTTCTGGGCTCTGTTTAAAAAGATTTTTGCCCCCAAGGTCATGAAGATGTTTTCTATGTTTTTGTCTAGGAGCGTGATCGTTTTACCGTTCGTGTCTAGGACTGTAAGTGATTACCGTTGAATTTTTGTATACTGAGTGAGGTAGGGGGTCGAAGGGCTTTTTATCCACATGAGTTTTTAATTGATTGGCACCATTTACCAAAGAGACAATCCTATCCCTGCTGAGCCACTGTGGCGCTTTTGTCATAAGTCGGGTGACCTGTACACGGGGGTCTTTCCGGACTCTGTTCTGGTCCGTCAGCCTGTTTATATACCCTTGTGCCAATACCACACTGTCTTAATTATCATTTTTAATACCACATCCCACGAAGGATTTGTATTCCAGAACATATATAGAACTCTCGCAAATCAATGAGGGAAAAGAAACCCAGCCCAAAATTAATATGGGCAAAAGCCCTGGCTGGTGTAGCTCAGTGGATTGAGCCCAGGCCTGCGAACCAAAGGATTGCGGTTTGATTCCCAGTCAGGGCACGTGCCTGGGTTGCAGGCCAGTTCCCAGTGGGGGACCCACGAGAGGCAACCATACACTGATATTTCTCTCCCTCTCTCCTTCCCTTCCCCTCCAGATAAATAAAATCTTTAAAGAATAAAAAATAAAATAAACATGGGCAAAGGACTCTAACAATGACAAAACTTCATGAATAATCAGGAAGACACAAACTTAAGTCACAGTGAGAAAGCACCATACCCTAAATTGAAAGGACCAACATACCAATTCCCAAAGCTTCATCGATAACCGGGAAGACACAAACTTAAATCACAGTGAGCACCATCCCCCCCCAGGACGGATGCCTGACACACCAGATGGTGGCAAAGGTGTGGAGCGCTGGGCCCGTCATTAATCATCGGAGCATCGCTGGCAGGAACCCAGCAATGCCCCTGCTGGTACACGCCCAACACAAATGCATGCCCGTGTCTACGACAGACGTGTACAAGGGTGTCCAGGACACTGTGTGTCCGAAGGTCCATCAACAGGAGAACAGCTAAATGGTGACCAAGTCGTACAGTCGAAAACGGACTTCCGCCATGTGCGGCAACATGAGTGAACTCAGCAGACAGAATGTACGATCTGATTCCGCTTTTATGAAGCCCAAGAACCAGCAAAAGTGATGTGACTGTAGAAGCCAGAACAGCGAAGCGCCCTCGGGAAGCGGGACATGCACTGTCAGAGAAGTGTCTGGGAGAAACGTATGGGCACGTGACATTTTTGTATCTTGACCTGAGTGGCGGTTACACAGGTAGAGACGTGGGTAAACATTCCCTGAGTTGTAGTCAGGTATCCTTTCCAGGGTGTGTGTTACATTTCAACATCAAGTTTGAAAACACACACAGCGATTAAGTTTTTTCAAAGTCTCAACACCAGCCTCTGGAAAACCCGGAGACGGTCAGTCCCCGTCACCACACTCAGCGCTCAGCGGGGTCCTGTTCTCCAGGATGAGTGTCACGTTGTCACTCGGAATTACACGTCCTCGAGAACCTGGTCTACCCTTCGCACTTGCCTGAGCCCCGTCTAAATCTGGGCAAAACACAGCCACACTCAGCCACGACGATCGTCTCTGGCCACTGTCGTTGCAACGGCAGCAGAGGTGAGTGGGTGCAGCAGACGAGCTGGCCCGCCCAGGTGACGATGTGTGCCCGAACATCCGGCTCCCTGGGGGATGTTTCCCAGCTCCGTAAGAAACGGCCTCACCCTGACACGCGGTCCCGGGACCGGTCCACCTGCGGCTGTCGGTCATTCGCTGTCACTCCCATCCAACCCCTCCTTACAGAAACACCCCCCAATTTAACTAGCCATCCTCCCGTTGGCGGACACTGAGTCCTTGCCGGTGGTGCTGGTTGTTTCCAGCGCTTTTGCCGCAGGAGCAGAGCTGCTGTGGGTGTGCTCGCAGGTCTGCGGGACCAGCTCCAGGGGTGGAGCGTCTCCACCTTAGATTATGTGACTTCGACTTCACACAATGATATGGGGGGGGGGGGGAAGAAGGAGGTCTGCAGCTGTGAATACGCGAAACACAGAGTTTACTCTTGTATTGTTATTTCTTTTTTAAAATAAAGATATAGCACATTTTAAGAGATTTTATTTATTTATCTTCAGAGGGAAAGGGAAAGGGAAGGAGAGAGGGAGAGAAACATCAGTATTTGGTTGCCTTTCCTGGGTCCCCTGCTGGGAACTGGCCTGCAACCCAGGCATGTGCCCTGGCTAGGAATCAAACCGTGATCCTTTGGTGCGCAGGCCCACACTCAATCCACTGAGCTACACCAGTCAGGGCTTGTCATTTCTTAATTACTGTATTGCTATCCATACGCACATCTGCAAACCTCATTATGCCCCACCCTGGATATTGTTTTCCAAATGGGTTGCCCCCATGTACCCCCAACCAGCTACCTGTGAGAGTTCCTAGTGACCCGCACCTTTGCCAACACCTGGTATTCTCAGACTTCCTCACTTCTACCCGTCTAGCAGGTATAAAATGGTATTTCACTGTGGTCTTTATTTGCATTTCCTAAAATGAGGACTGATCCTGGAGTTCTCAGCTACTTGAGCCAATAAATGCCTTTCTTCCCTGAAGGCGACTTGGACTGGGTTTCTGCTGCTGGTAAGTGAAGGGGTGCCCATGAGCCAGTAGTAGGAGCTTCAAGTACCTTAAAGTCAAACTGTATGTCCATGTATTTCCCAAATCGGCTGGAGTTGTCATTCCGGAGCGTTTTGGCATTTCCAAAAGCCTTGGGATACAAAGTGGGGGAGAGGGGAATGGCTGAACCAAACTGTCACCCACTGTCATTTAAACTCACTATAGTCCTGACCCCAAATGACATGCATATTATTTAAAAAAAAAAAACAGCAGGGAGCGGGGAGCCAGGAATGAAAGCTATACTTTATCTTCTAAGAAGAAATCACTGACTACAGAGAATTTGCTGCTAATTTACTAGGGTTGGAACTAAAGAAAAAAAGGGGGAAATATCTTCTCCCTGGAATCCAATCCTGGAAGAGATTAGCGAGGGCCTAAGGAAGGGTATATGGGACCCTCGGCCCTTCCCTGCTGTTCTCGAAGGCAGCGCTGGCGGCCCCCCTCACCAGCCCCCTTCTTACACCACAGAGACAAACCATTCAGCCCAAAGGTCCCCTGGGAAAATTCCTTCCACCTTAAACGTCTTTTATAGAAAGGACGACAAAACCGCAGGGGAAAATAACTTGTTTGAAATTATCCAGCAAGTCGGTGACTTGCAAGAGCAGAAATAACCACCCAAATGATTTTAATTAATAATAAAAACACGAACAAACAATCGAACATTATTTCAGTGCTTCCGAATTTTGTCGTGTGCTTTTAATGCACTCATCCCGTTCGATCCTCAAAGCCCCCTAAGAGGTGGGCACTGTGAGCAGACCCAGTCCACAGAGGGGAAAAACAGGCCCCAGGGTGGGAAACGACTCGCTGAAGCTTGCTGGCACATGGTTGCCTGGGACCATGATCATGTCTGCGGGACTTCAAGGTCATGGCCTTACCCGCAATACTACCCTGGAGACCCCTCTTCTGACCTCCCAGACAGTGAGTGACCGACCTGCTCAAACAGAGGACTCTTCTCACTCAGCGACCTCCCTGCAACTCCCCCGCACGGGCCCTGAAAGGTTGCATACCTCCAGCACTGGATTGGAGAGCAGCAGTCTGTCCCGGGCTATTTCCAGGGAGTCGGTCATTGGACAGGTCATGGCAAAATACTGGAGAATCTTCTTGGAGGCCTCCGTCTTCCCTGCCCCGCTCTCTCCCGAAATGAGGATGAGGTGGTTAGTTAGCTCCGAGCACATCATGCGGTAAGCGTTGTCAGCTATGGCGTAGCTGGAGAGGCGGAACGGAGGCGGTGGGAGTGGGAAGCGGCTGTGACGCTCCTGCCCTCGGCTCAACGCTCACAAGGACAGAAGGACAAGGCACCCTGCCTCCGGGTGCCTTGTATATGCAAGGTACCCTGCAGGGTACCTCCGGGAAGGTACATGCAAGGTACCCTGCATGTACCACATGCAGACCGTGGTACAAGGACAGTGAGTTCAGACGGAGGTCAGACCCCACCATGACCTGGCCATGGATCACACTTAACGTGTACAAGACAGCAAAGCTCAAATAGTATATGAGATCAAGTGAAGAACTGGAACAGCCATAGAATTTCTTAATTTTACAAACTTATTTTTTATAATCTATCAACATTTTTTCTAAATTAAGCCAGATACCAAATTACATCCCCAAGAGATGTTCTACTAGTTGCAGATGGAAATAACATCTTGTCTAAATATTAAATAATTCAACAGATATAATAAGATCAATCTCACGGTTTCTCTCAAAACCTAGGGAATTAGAAGTATACAGAAAGGAAATCAAAAAAGATTTTAAAACCTCTGTGATATCTTTAGGACAACAGCTAAAACTCCTAAGTGATTTATCTCCAAGATCAGAAACCAAAGCATGAAGGCCTCCCAAGTTTATGACCTTCGCACGTGGCTGACTTTGCAAGCGATTTCAGAAATCTTTGGTGCCAGTGATGCAGAAAGGTTTCTAAATGCCTTGGGAGGTGAAGAGGTGAGTCACCCAGAAAAATAGAGGGAGAACATAAATATTAGCCCAGAAATCAACCAGGAAGGAGAATGGGAAGTTTAGCAAAGCCCAAATCATACAGGAAATTGCTTGTCTTAATGGGTCTGCAGCCCTGGTAAGTTCCTACCAACGGGGCTTCTCTTAGCTGTGATACCAGGCATGGGGGGGGGGGAATGCAGCTGCGGCAGCCCACTCTGCAGAGAAGATGCCTGTCTGGCCTCTTGTAGATTTCTCGGCTGTTTCAACAGATTCCACCTCTCATTGTATCTAAGCTGAGATTTGACAATGATTTGCTAGTGTTTTCCACTGCATTCAAAGACTTATTTTGCAAGGCAGCAGCAGTTCAAGTTAGGGAACCTAATGAGTATGCATCAAGGATCTGGTTGAATGGATGGATGGATGGATGGATGGATGGGTGGGTGGGTGGGTGGATGGGTGGATGGGTGCATGGATGAGGGGTGAATGGATAGAAGGACAGACAGATGCATGAATGCACGGGTGGGTGGGTAGGTGTAAATAAAGGAGGGGGAAGAGACAAAGGAAAGAAACAGGGAAGTACCCCTGCTGATGACCCGATGGGTGCTACTTACACATGTGGTGGCAGTTCAAAGAAATTGACCCCTTGATAAAGTTCCATCTGGCTCAGGGTGTAGATGCCGAGCTCCTGGTACGGATTCACAGACACGAGCAGGGTGCCGATGTAAGTCTAGGGCAATGGGCCAAAGCACTAGTGAGGGTCCCCGCAGTGCGAATGGCCACAGAAAGAGACCGTCACGTGCTAGGAGCCCCACGTGTTCATTTGGTGCGGGTGACATAACATGATGAACAAGACAGGCAGGGAGGGGTACGTAAGCCACCAAGGGATCCAGACTGTTTCAATTAGGAATAAATAAGAAAGATGTAAGCAGGGTAATTAGACAGAATGACTAAGGAAGGCCACCCCAGCCAGTGGGCTAAGGGAAGCCTTCTTTAAGGAGCTGACCTTTGAGCTAAGACCTGAAGGATGAGGAACAAAGTTGAAAAAGTCAGCAAGGAGGGCGTGGCAGGCTGGCTGCCATGGAGACTGGTGATGGAGGGGAGAATGGCAATCGGTAAGAGGTAATGGGGCCAAGACATGGCCTGAGACCCTAGATCTAGCCGTAGACCTTAAAGTTACATAGGTTGATAGACACCCTTTTGGTGCTGAGACCGGTTTCATTTGGGTTTCTGTCACTGGCCGCCACGAAGGGCTCAGCCCAAATGGGTCAGAGCGCAGCAGGCGGGGGGGCCCTGGACACCTCCTTTCACTGGCTGACCTGACGGAGTGAGCGATGCTCTTCACAGACGCGAAGCTGCGAAGGCAGGGAGGGAACCACCCCTGGAGGAGAACACCGAGAAATGGGTTACGTTACATAGATGAGGTTCTCGCTGAAACGCTTGCGAAGATTGTCCAGAAAAGCAGATTCGCTGGTGTACGCGTCCAACAGCACGAAATCCTGCACCCCGACCCTGTCCCGGGCGGTCAGCGCGCCTTCCATGTGCAGACGGATGTGCCTCCTCCGCACTTCTTCTCTCTGCAGGAAACAGAACGGGCCTCAGCAGCTCATTCATTCTGATTTGCACATCTAATGTGGAAATAGCAAGATGCTAAGCCCTGGGGCTGGTAGAGAGCCAAGATGGCGTTATGCTATCCTCATTAAGAGCTTGCTGGAGGGCGGAGGATCTCTGGGGGTTACTGGGACCAGAGCTGGTCTGTGGTCACCATGCAGAACAACTCTCCCGGGCACAGACGAGCAAAGTGGGGCAGGTCACTGCTGGGCAGGAGACCTGGCGCTGCACCATTTGAGCTGGGAAGACCCTGGGAAACAGATGTCCAGGACTCGGGCCACTTGAGGCTGGAGCTTGTGCAGACAGAGTGGGGTCACAGCCATAGCAAGAGGTCTGGTGTGTGTGATGTCTACTTTGGGAGGACCGCGGCGAGGTAGTCAGCAATGTCTGGTCATGGCTATGAGGTCTCCAAGGGACACTGTGCTCTGGGCCCACAGTCAGTGCCTGTGCCCCCACCCACCCACCACTGTGCAGCTGAAAAGCAAGGAAAAGCAAAACATTAGCACAGGGAGCCAAGAGGAGAAACCTCCTGCTACTGCCACGGCCCTCCAGCGCCCTCTACTGACACTTCTCACATCAAGGAGAAATGCTTGGGTGGGGCTTCATGATCGCAGAGTAAGGGCGGATTTGGGTTTGAAAGAGGACAAATGAACAGTTGGCACACACAGCTATGTGAAGGTTCTAGAATAGCTGAAACAACCTTGAAAAGGAAAAACAAAGTTAGGGGACTCCCACTCCTTCACTTCAGGTAACCAAGAGTGTGTGTCAATTGATTTTTGACAACTAACCACTGTCAACACAATTCAGTGCAGAAAAGAAAAACCTTTCCAACCAATAGGGCGAGAACAAGTACATACCCATAAGAAAAAAAAAACCGCATTTCAACCCCCACTTTGCACTATACACATAATATATATGAGATATATAACATATTACATATAGTAGTTATATAACGTAATTTTATATTATATTATGTACAGTTAATATAGTAACTTGAGAGGGATCTCAGACCTGAATGCAAATGCAAAATCCATATAAAGCTATTAGGAGAAAACAGGGCAAAATGTCTTTGCACCCAGAGGAAGGCAAAGTTTTCTTAGAACGCAGGGAAAAAAAAACTTAGAAATTAGATTTCACCAAATATATAACTTCTCATCAAAAGACACTGCTTAAAAAAAAAACAGGCCAACTCCAGGGCTGGCATGAAATATTCACAAAATACACACCTGCAAAGGATCTGGGTCCAGAATGAAAGGCACCTTCAGCTCAATAATAAGTCAAAATCAATTTTAAAAATCGGGCAAAAAACCTGAATAGTTCACAAAGGAAGACAGACACATGGTCAAGAAGCACATAGAAAAGTGCTCAATGTCATAAGTCATCAGGAAAATGTGAATTAAAGCCACAGCGAGATGCCGCCAGAACAGTTTCAATGCAACAGACTGGCAGCATTGAATAAACAGCAACGAGGATGCGGGCAGATGAAACTCTTGTGCTGCTGCAGGAGCGCAGAGCGACGGAACCACTTTGGAAGAGAGTCTGGCAGTTTCTAATGAAGTTAACCGTGCCTCTCCCCTTTGATCCAGCAACTCCATTCCTAGGTGTTTACATAAGACAAGTGTGAACATGTGCCCACAAAGAGAGGCTTGACCATAAAGGTTCACACCCACTTTATTTGGAGCGGCCCCAAACTGGAAACAGTCCAGCTTTCCATCCGCTGGAGAATGGATGTGGGCCATCGACACAATGGAACGGGCGCAGCGATAAAAAGAAAGGACTGGAAGGCACCGTGACACGGATGACTCTCACGGACATTATGCCGAGTGAAAGGACTCAGACACAAAAGACCGCATGCCGTACGATTCCGTTTATATAAACCCTGGGACAAGCAAAACTAATCTACGGTGAAAATCAGAACAGTCGTCGCCCGGCTACAGGGGATTGTCTGGCAGAGGACATTTTTTGGAGCAACGGAAATGGTCGCTAACTCGATGGGGCTGTGAGTTGCACGGGTGTATCTATTTGTCGAGATGCACGTTATGATGCTGTGCATTTTTGAGATAGGTAAACTTTGTTTTAAAAAGGAGCCTAAAAATAATCAGCTGGGGAGGGTGTGGCGAGTGGGTGGAGGTATTAAGGGAAACAGAATGGTGGGTTGACTGTTGAAGCAGGGTATGGTAGGGATGTATTATACTATTCAGTCTACTTTGTATATAATTGAAATTTCCCACGGTAACTGTTTTTACAAAACAGAGTGGCCACCAGGTGTCTCTCTACACTAGCCGAAGTGAACTAGAACAATCTAAGGTAGAAAACGATGCATTTAGATCAACGTTTCAGTGATTCCAAAAGCCTCATTGTAAAGTTTTGTTTCGTTCTGTTTGGTTTTTATAAGAGAGGCAGAAGGGCACAGTGATTGCACACAAGGACTTTGGCGCACAAGCTCGTGCAGGTTCAATTCTCACTTCTGCCTGTCTCTTCCTGGCGGTGCAACCTTGGCAAAGTCTCTCCATCTGTCCACGTCCTGGCTCTGTTCCTTGTTTGTAAAATGGAAACTATTGCACCCACTTCCCAGGGTTGTTGGTCTGAACAGAACCACGGAAAGCACTCGGAACAGTGCCAGACACAACGTCGGTGGTGCAAGCAATTGCTTCTGGCTTCCTATTAATAATACGATGATCAGAAACAAGACTATAATACGGCAAAAATCTATCGGTGAGTAGTCAGCAAGACTCCACTGGTGACAAGCTGGAGTCTGGAATGGTATCTAGACCTTCACCCGTAACGTTGGCTGCCTGTGGGTGGAGGGTGTAGGTAGGGAGAGACGAACCTCGCTTCTCTCTCCCCTGTGCTGGGGACGGCAGGGTGATGTGCTCCCGAGAGTGAGCGCCCTGCTGCAGCCTTATGCGACCTGCAGCCCAAAGTGAGCTGACAAAACCCCCTACATTAAGGAATGCAACAATGAAATCCTATGAGAAACTTCAATATAGAAAGTTAAGGAAAGCAGAGCCTTCCTGATTAAAGGGAAGGTGAAAATCTCACCAGGCTGCCCGTGGACACACGGATGAGTCTGGGGAACCCCTTGGTTACAGACAGTTTGCAAAACCACCGAGCGATCCCTGACTCAAGTTTCCCAAACTTCACGATTTGAGTATTTCCTCCACACTTAGAATCAGACCTGTGCGACCACCAGGACCATTATTTACGCCATGTATTTCTTCAAGTAGCATTTGCCCCATGACTATATCTAGTGAAATATTTTTTATGAAAAATGTTCACACGTGAAAGCATTAAGAGCATAAGAAACCAAATGCACTCGTTACTCGGCTTCAAAAGCATCAAGCTGTGGTGTCCCTTGTTCAGGTTTGCTCCCTTCCTCCCCACACTTCAAGGTCAGTCACCAACATCCTATCACTTTTTAAGAGTTCAGCAGGTATCTCTGAAGGACAAGAACCCTTTTTCAAACATACATACACAACCCCCTTGTCATACATAGGGAACTTCATGATGTTATGATACCAAATCAAATTTTCTCTAATGACAATACTTTTTATACTCACTTTAATCACATCGGGACCCAAAAAAGGAGGCCTAGACATTGCATTTAGCTGATGTCTCTCTCGAGTGTCTTTTGTTCTCTAGGTTGGTTCACTCTCCTTTCCTTTTCCTTTGGAAGTTATTTGGTGAAGAAATTGAACAATCGGTCCTACAGAGTTTCCCACATTCTAGATTCTGACTGCATTCTTATGGGGTCATTTAATGTGTTCTTTTTTCCTCCTGGATTTCCTGGACACTGGTCAACGCATGTGAGTGGTGGCTGCTGCGTTGGACGGCAAAGCAACACTTGCCTGAGCTCGGAAGGTCGTCCTGGAGGGCTAGCCTGCCAGCTGGATTCAGCTGTGAATGGCTTAAACCCTTTGAAATTTCAGATTCTCTTTACAGCCCAGGCTATGGTCGATTTGTGTTTGAGGCAAAATGTAAATAAACCCTGAGACTGTGGAGTGCTAGATTTTTACTTGTATTAGTCAATTGTGTTGTCTAAATTTTCTACGTCCTACCAATTTTTTGTTTTTGCTGTTGCTGCCTGTCAGTTTCTGAGAGAGGCTAGTTTAAGATCTTCCGCTATGAAACTGTAATAAAATAATTACAGCACCATAGGTATGTACAGTAGAGCTCTTTGCAACTCTAAAAAGGAATGAGGAAATGTTGCTATACATGACTCTGAAGTCACGTCCAGGATGGATTTCCCAGTAAAAAGACAAGGTGGAAAATTGTATGTACAGGGTGCAAATGTTTGCCTAAAAAGGAAGGAAACACATCTCTATGTATATATGCTTATATTTAAGAAACAATTTTAGCACTTTAGACATTTTTAAATGGCTATTTACAGAAGGAAGAAGGGAGTAGGGCAGAAAGGACAGAAATAAAGCTAATAGTTCTTCGAAGATGTCCTCTTTTGTTCTTTAAAACCATTAAATATTTTACATGATTATAAAATAAAATTTAATCCCTGAAAATAAGGAGTAAAATGAAAGAAATGAACCCAAGTGTGTATCAAGTTGCTGGTACAGTTACATACAGATCAACTATTTCACGAGAGCTCAGAAACACCATAATGTGCCTATGCTGCCCAAGTGACGTACACTCTGAAGACAAATAATTCAAAACTTTCAAGCTGTGCTCAATAATCATGTTGGCAATAGGACTGGTATTGCTATTTAGAGACTACCGTGTGGAATTAAGCCAATGAAAAACTGACTGGGTTATTGAACTGGAGTTTTTGGATAGGAGAAAAAGGAAGAGGTAAGAAAAATAAGATTAAGTATAAACCCTTTAGTTATATATTTGAATTGATGGGTCAGAATAAACTCATGGTATAGTTTATTTAAAGGCGACCTTCCTGATTCCTTTACAATCAAGAACAAGGCAAGTGTGCCCGCTCTCCCCACTCCTGTTCTACATCATAGTGAACGTTCTAGCCAGAACGATAAGGCAATGAAAAGGAAGAGAAGGCATCGGAGGTGGAAAGGAAGATGTAAGACCAGGTCCTATTTGCAGCTGATATGATGTTACGTAGAGAAAAATCTTAGACTCCCCCCAGAACTGTTAGATCTAATCAACACAATAAAAAAGTTGCAAAATACAAAGTTAGCATACGAAAGTTAGCGACATTTCTATGCATTAACAGCAAATTATCTGGGGAAAGAATAAAGAAAATGATTCCATAAAACACACTTTTGTGAGCTCTCAACCAAAAGGCTTAGAAACCGTGACCAGCCCGGTAGTAATGAGCGCCCCCTAGTGCCACACTGTGGTATCTACCACCTTCCCACTGAAAGTAATCAGGGCTCATTGGGCAGATTCAAGGTCAAGGCTGAGAATGTATAGGGTAAGCCCCAGACAGCTTGGTACCCTGATCAGGAAGGAAGCTACCAAAGACTATTAAGGCCATGTGAAGAGGACTCAAGAACCCCACTTAATAGGGTCCCACTGGCCAAAAATGGGACAGTTTGAGTATCAATAAGGATAATAACTACCACGGAATAAAGCACATCAAATATACTTAAATCTATGAGCTCATTATGAAATTAAAAACTCGTCACCTTCAGAGGATACTATGTTAGCAACTCTGGTAAATTAAGCACATATCCTGCCTTTCCTTTCCAAACTCTATCTCAGGGCAACCAAAGTGTTAAGGAAAGTTTCTTTTAATAGAAAGGTCCCAGCTAATGTGTGAAGAAAGAATGATAGAAATGGAATATTATCATTTTTGGAAACTCCTAAGAAAATGTGTGTAAGAACACTGACATTTTGAAAAGACGGCCAGCCCTCTCCTGCTAGAAGTACAAGGTCTGTCCCAAAGGTATCCAGCCATGTAATGTGAAAAATAGAGATATTTATTGAAGGAGATATAAGAAACATTGTACATGGGATAGTGACGCCTCAGTCCCCTTCAAAGTAGGCACCTTTGGACCTCACACAGTTCTCCCAATCACCATCAGCTGCCCCATCATATTTTCCTGAATCTCATCGACGGTCTGAAATCTCTTCCCTTTCAAAGGTGATTTTAATTTTGGGAAAAGCCAGAAAGTGCAGGGCACCAAATCTGGGCCATAATGGGGCTGAATCATCTGGGTGATTTGATGTTTCATAAAAAAACTCTGCAAGAGACATGCGTGAGCAGGCATGTTGCTGGGATGAAGCTGCCAATCACCAGTTGCCCATGGCTGCGACCTTCTGAATCAGCTGAATAGTTTCCTCAGAGTATTGTTCAGTCTTAATGAAAATTTTTCACAGAACTGTTGCTCTACTGGCTCAGTCATTTTGAATGTGACGGCCACACAGTACACATGCTCATTCAACAGTGTCTACCGCCCCCACTGACTAGTACGGCAAAGTCATCATTGTTCACGCATGTTCATTGCAGTCCACTCTCCTTGGCTGCCGGGTTACATTGATCTCATGCAAACTGTTCTTACTATATTAACAATGGTTGGACTTATTCCGGACAGACATCATAAACTACACTGTCTGTGAAGGTTGTTTTTTTTCACCCAAACAAGTCAATCCCGCATCTGATCAAACCTCTGTTAAAGAAAACTGTGAGGAAATCTGTGTGTTACGAGAAATGAAACAAGAAATGCAGTCCTGCTTGGGTGGCTCTCTTGGTTGGAGCATCATCCTGTACACCAAAAGGTTGTGGGTTCAATCCCCGGTCAGGGCACATACCCAGGTAGCAGGTTTGACCCACCCCAGAGGGAAGACAGCTGATCAGTGTTTCTCTCTCACATCGATGTTTCTCTGTCTCTCCCCGCTCCCTCCCTTCTCCCCTCCTTCGCTAAAATCAATAAACATATCCTTAGGTGAGGATCAAAAAAATAAAGTGGTGATCTTCATTTGTTTCCCCTCTAACACAGAATCCTGCAGCTGTCTCACGCCTAAAGCTTTAAAACCAGCAGGGATTTCAGGCCAACTCTGGTGAGCAGGACCTACTCTGTCCGTGTCTCTAACTCACAGAGGAGAAACGCTTATCTGTTTTTTTTTTTTTCTTAATGCAATACTTCAATATGATTATCCCCATGGGAAAAAAAAAGCAAGACTGTGGACATTTTTGGTGACAGTTCACACATCTTCCATGAGGACCATCTTCCAGGGAAGACACTTTCTCCCCTCTAACCCATGAAGGAAAGACAAGTGAAAATTCGAACCTACGCCTTTCAGGAAATTTTAGCCTGAGAGCATCAGTGAATCACAGCCATTCTCGTGTCTGGGTCCCTGACATTATTAGTGAGGTTAGTGAGGGAGACAGACAGAAAGACGGAGAGACCTCTGTGGCAGTGACTATCTACCTGGCAGCGAAACAGCCTTGAACTCTGAAGCTGACACCTCCACACGGATTCAAGAGGCACAGAAACCCCCGTTTGTTTCGTCGTAAACTGACGGGAGCCGGCACACAAACCCAAGGGTCTCGGTCCTTAGCGAGACACTGAGTAGCCTCTCAAATCCCAGCGGTGTTCCCGGTAACACTCCCTGGCACACAGCAAGGTGACATTAGAAATTCTCTGCACTCTCACATTAATACACACACATATCCAGACCCCCCCCCCAAAAAAAAGATGAAGTTCAGCCAAGAGAAAGCGCGGACCATCCGTTCCTGGGACCCCTTGATCACTTCTAGGAAAACAGGCTCCGGGAGTGCGGTACAGGCTGACCCTCCAGACGCTGGGACAGCGCAGAGGTTGGCAGGAGCCGCTTCACTTTCCCAAATCAAAAGGGGGCAAAGTGAGTGAGAAAATCTCCGGAGCCCAAAGACTCCTTTAAACCCCGCAACTTGAAATACTGCATGTGTCTCATGGCTGCCATCTTGAAAAACATTAGTTTGCCAAAGGCGGCCTTTGAGCCCTGCTGGGGAGGCGAGAGCTGCCGACGGCCCATTGAAACGGGGCGGCACAAAGGCCTCTGGGCCACAATCACCGTGCTTGTGAAGGACAACATTTTTGTGCCCAAAATAAAACACTTTAATGCGGTACAATCCATTACACATATAGTCCTCCATTTCCTTTCAGTAATTATTCATTAGAAAACATTTAACGTCACTGCGGATTTCACACTGGGCAGTCTGGACACAAAGAACAAGAGATGGCCCATTTATAAGGGGCCGGGGCCCTCTTTTCTAATCTGAGAAACTCCGCGGAGGTGGGGCCCGCAGCACACAACAGGCCGGCTAAATTGTGCGGTTAACGGTCAAAGCCCCCCTGCCTACTTTGACACTCATTTAAAGATGACGGGGAACAAAAGAGATTTGTTCTGTGCGAGCCTTTCTTGTTACGCGGTCTCCCTCGGCTCCGCACATGAAACCGCCAGCGGATTTTATCCCACCTGCCACCTCCCTCCCGCCCTCGCCGGCTCTCTCCGCTGCTGCTCGGCTTGTTCCCACTTTAACACAAAGAGACAGGTAAAGAATATCGTGAAAAGCGGCCCATTCAGCATGTCAGCTTTCATAACACAATTGCCTGTCAGGTTCCCTGCGAGCCAGGAGGAATCTCAGACGTCTGGGTTCAGGCCAGGAATCCGGCCCGCAGTTCGGTTAGTCCTCGGGGCGGCTCCCCAGCCACCCCCCACCCTCCTGGAGCAGAAGGCCACCTCTCGGCACAGACACCGAAAGCCGTCCTGAATAGCAACGGTTTGAAACTGTGCTCCACGCCGACACCAGTGGGCTCCACGCACATTCCTTTACTGCCCACGAGCTCAAACTGAGCTTCAAACTCAGACCCAAAGACCTGGAAGCCTATTAGCAGGAAAGATCAGGAAATAGCTCCTGTTAGAGCCATTTCTGAAGACGTTCTCTACAGGGTAAAATACAGCAGTTTACCACCAGAGGTTCCTTCCTTCAAGTGCTGAGGGGGACTGATGTTCGTGAAAGCCTGGCCGGAGTCAGTTATTAACGGACATGAGTCATCCTGCTGAAGTACGTTCAGACGTCAACACTGCTGGTGTGGTTTCCAGTCG